GTCGTATGAATTAGTAAGTAACCAAGAGAAGGAGATGGATACAGGCGGGGGAAGAGGACGCGCCAGCCAGCCTCGGAGCCGAGGTGGTCAGCACATCCCCCCCTCCGATGGTCCCACGGTGGGGCGAAGGAGCTAGGGAGAAGAGAAGACCGGAGGGGCAGAGGCAATGGGAAGCGAAGACGCGACGCGACGGTGACGAGAGTGAGGACGTGACGCGACGGTGACGGAAAGGGCGGTTCGACCGACGGCCGATAGCGCCGAGAGCGGAGAGACGGTGAGGTCGACCGGTGGAACCGGAAGGCTTCACGTGGTGATTCGACACCTTCCGAGGGTGTGTGACAGGGATCGAGCAACGAATTGCGGCTGCGTTCCGATGAGATGAATGAGGATACTCTGAGGTGAACCTGCTGACCTGACTCTCCGGAGCGGTAGCGTAGTGATGGATGATGGGGTCGTGGGAATCACTCGGAGTCCGAGGAAGCGGATTCGTCATCGATCTGATTAAGGCGGGAGAGTGCATCGACGTTCGTGTGCGTACTTCCGGGTTTGTAATGAAAAGTCCAGAGGTGTAGAAAGGGTTGCAACTCCTGGCGTACCTTCTGGATGATAGCAGAGAACTCCTTGTGACTCTTGGCGAGGAGCATCCCTCGGATTGGGAGGTGATCTGTCACAATGCCTACCTTGGATCCTTCCAGATAGATCCTGAAGAAGTAGAACGCCCATCTCAGGCACTTCAGCTCTAGCTCAGCCCCAAGTAGCTTCCTCTCCGACTTGCTCGTCTTCTTTGAGGAGAAGGAGATGGGTCTCTCGAAGAGAAGATGTCTGACTCCCCCAATGAGGACGATCTGCGGCTGGTGGATGGGTCCGCGGTCGAGGGCTTCCTCTTCGGTGTCGAAAGATGGCAGTGCGGACTCGCTGATTGAGAGGTTGGCGAATTTGTCTATCAACGTGTCGGATGGCGCTGATTCAACAGGCGGGAGGTCAGCCAGAGAGGCGTCGAGAGGTGGAGTGGTCCATCCGGCGTCGTCTTCCGTAGGAGGAGCTGGGTCGTTGTTGTTGTCCTTGAACTCGTTGATGATGTCGACGCACCCATCCTCCATGAGAGTCTTTTCATCGACCCAGGTGAGACGTGACGACCCTTTCCACTTCACTCTGTACTGCTGGCGCTTCTTCCTGAAAAGGCGCTGGTCTACGATGCGCTCAATCTCCCACCAGGTGAGGCCACTTTGCTCTGCGCGCAGGCCGGGGCGCCCAAACTCGTCGTCGGTGGGGACTAGCTCCAGCTGACTGGTATCCCATATCTCGTTGCCTCCCATATCGTCAGGGAGATCCAGAAGCACTCTGTGTTTCGAGAGCACTTCTTTCACCAGGAAAGGTCCTTCCTTCGGAGGGCTGATCTTCGACTGAATTCTGTCGGCCAGCAGAGGGCGATCCGAAAGTCGGAGCATAACCTTGTCTCCTGGTGCGAGCTTGGGTAGGGGTCTCCTGCGAGAATCGAAACGCAACTTCATCCGAGCGCGGGTCTTGTCCACGGCTTCGCGAGCCTGTTTGACTCTGGCTTGGCTGAATGCGAATCGCTCTTCGATCCTTGACGTGCCGGCGTGTCCACTGAGACGGTCCAGGAGCTTTGGCCTGTGTACGTATAGCAAGTCGAAAGCGCTGTAGCCTGTCACCGTGCTGGGGGTCGTGTTGAGCGCCAGCTCTACCGCTGGGATGACTTCCGTCCACTGTCGGTCGTCCTTGTCGACGCATAAGGCAGTGAGAGTCTTGATCACCGTTTGGACATATCTCTCCACCGGGTTTGCGGCCTGATGATACGGAGCTGAGGGGGTCAGGGAGGCGCCCAGCTTGTCCGCCAGGGCTTGTCCCACTTGACCTATGAACCTGCGATCATGGTCCGAGATGATCCTTGCCGGTCGCCAGCCTTGCCTGATGACGGAATCTTCCAGAGCGTGGACGATGTCGATGGCTTTGGATGTCGAGGGGAGAGGGCGCAGTATGACCGTCTTGGTGAATGTGTCGAGGACAATCAAGCAAGCGTCGTGTCCTTGGCTGGTACGCGGAAGCCCAAGCATGAGGTCGACGGAGATGGTGTGGAAGGGCACGCCATCGTGGTCGCTGTCCTCCGACAGTTCCCCAGAAGGTCGTCGAGGTTTGGTGCGCAGGCAGATGGGGCATCGATCCACGAATGATTTGACCGCTTCGCCCATCTTACCGTGATACCAGGTCTCATTGACCACAGCCAGAGTACGCATCAATCCGAAATGGCCTCGATGAGCGTCCTCGAAGACTGAAAGGAACATTTGGCGGGGAAGACAGATCCTGCCGTCGCTTTCGCGCGTCAGAACACCCTTCGACCAAGCGTAGCCATGAGGGATGTTGCCAGCTTTGCAACTGGAGACGTACGACGTCCAGGAGGGGTCTTCCGCCTGGAATTTGCGGATGTCATCTAGGATAGAGTCCTCTAGCTCAAGGGAGACGGTGTAGCAGCCGTCGGTGATCTCTTGGGCAGTGGGCGAGCCGACAGTGCTTTCCGGAAGGCGACGGAGGAACTGCTGGTGGAGGGCTGCTGCGAAATGTTCCTGGGATGCGTCAACGTACAAGAAGAACTTGCGATTTTCTGAGGGAAAAGCCAAGGTGGTGAGGTTGGCGATCGTGTTGTTCATGTCGCTGAAGCATTTGAGCCTCTCGGTCGTCCACTCTACTTTGACATCGCGGGCTGAAACCTTGTTGCCTTTCTTGTCGATCATGACACCTTTGCCTTCCCATCGCACCCCTTCCGTGAGTTTCTGGAGTGGTGCCGTCTTGGCCGAAAAGGATGGAACATGGGCCCTGTAGTAGTTCCATAGACCCAACACTCGCCAGAGGCCGGCCAAATCGGTGGGAGGACGGAGATCGCGGATGGCTTTGGCACGATCCTCTACTATGGAGACTCCGTCAATCGATATGTGGCGCCCCAGAACCTTCAGGCCTTGGAAGGCGAAGTGGCATTTGGCTGGGTCGAGCTTGACTCCCGCTGCAATTACTAGATCTAGAAGCTTGCGAATTGAGGCTGCATGAGCGGAGAGGGAGCGCGAGAAGACGATAATGTCGTCTAGGTAGACGAGAGCCTCAGCCCATCGCATGGATCCTAAAAGGTTGTCCATACAACGCTGAAAGAAAGCTGGCGCTCCTTTCAAACCGAAGGGGACTCTCTTGTATTGGAATAAGCCTCTGCTGCACGTGAAAGCCGTCTTCCATCGGTCGGATTCGATCACCTCTGCCTGATGATATGCCTTAACCATATCTAGAGACGAGAAAATGGTTGCTCCTGCAAAGGCGTCGAAGATGTCATCCGCTCTGGGTAGAGGATAGCGATCGTCGTCTGTGGCTAGATTGAGGTTGCGGTAGTCCACGCAGAACCTGGGCTTTCCATTCTGTTGGATCAGCACAATCGGTGAGGAGATGCGAGAGTTGCTGGGCTCGATGATCCCTAGATCTAGCAGCTTATCTACTGTCTCGTCTACGAGCTTGCGCTTGCGCGGGCTTTCCCTGCGTGGAGCCTCGGCCTTGAGTTGACTCTCATCTTTGACTGGGATGCTCATCTTCGGACCCTTGAGATGACCGGGTCTACCGTCTAGTGCGAAAGCCTGAACGCGTTCCCTCAGCAGCGTGACGATCTCTTCCGGAGGTTCCGTCTCTCCCGGTTGGATCCCGACCTTGAAGACCTTATCTATGAGAACGGAGGGCGAATCATCCGGTCTCGCGCCCTTGGCAAAGTAGTCGGCGTCCTCCCTGCCATCCAGTGGTCTGCAGTCGATGTCGGAAGGCTGATCCGGAGAGTCTAAAGGATCCATTGAGTAACAGGTGGCTGAAGGACGACTGAGCTCGAAGTGGGCGCTCGTCAAGGCTGTTGGAGAGTCCAGCAGTGACACCACTGAGAGGGGGGTGTCGGTATCGAGAGTGATTTCAGTGGGAGAGAGATTGCTGATGAGGATGTGTGATGTTTTGCCTGAAAGAACACAGCGGGGCACCGAGAAAGCTGCTTCTCTGAGGTCGTCGATGAACACATTGGGAGTGGTTACGTAGGCGGCGTCGTGGGGGATGAATCGGTCCCAGCTGATCTTGACCATCACGTGGTGGAACGGGGGAAGAGTGGTCTCCGAGTGACACAGAACATTTGCTTCGTCGCAAGGAATTCGGAGGCCCCTGAGACAGGTGATGTCCCAATGGATTGCTTTCCCTTGTACTTTGAGTCTTGCCTGAGCCGCGTGGAGGTCCAAGACGACGCGGTGTCCATGGATCCATTCTGAGCCAAGGATTATTCCTGGGCCAAGGTCTTGGACGATGTAGAAATCATGACGGAAGTTGAGTTGGTGGGGTTCGATGGACTCCCAGGCCGAGATGTGGAAGGCTATGGTGGTGTAACCCCGAGTCTTGGAAGAGCCGATGCCAGCCACGGTTAATTCGCCAGGTCTGAGGGGAAAGTGTCCTTCGTGGACAAGACGATGATCAATGAGGGACAGGGAAGAGCCGGTGTCGAGTAGGACTGGGCGTTTCCAAAGGTCTGCACCGACGGGTATGCCGATTAGTGCGAAAGTGGGTCCGTAGCCCTTGTGGGAAACTCCTACGCCCACTCCGGGGAGATCTGGTAGAGAAGTGGTGGAAATGCCTAGTGGTGTGGCCGGTGCCTCGAGAGATAAGTTGGAAGGATTGGACAGGAAGCAGGAGGCTTCCTCGATTGACATCGAGAGCTCAGAGAGTTGGTCTAGGTCTAAGATGGTCATCGGATCTGGGTTGACATAGAAGCTGGACGGATTGGATTCTGGATAGGTGTCGGGCGGCTTGGGTCGAACTGGTGAGAGGGGGGATGGTACTGACTCGGATGGATCCGCCGCTGCCTCCGAGTGACCATCCCCCTCTAGTTTTTTGCTGAGGGAGATGGGATCTCCGTGATCTTGGCAGATGGGGGTGCCTCAATGGTTGCCATCTTGTTGAGATTGTCTCCCGTCGCTGGGTGCGACTGCTCATCCCACTGTTCGACCCAAAAGAGCTCGGCGTCTGCTACGTTGACGGAACCTTTGGGCTGAAGAAGGTCGTGCATCCAATCCCAGTGTCCGGCGTCGCACATCTTGCAGTTGCGGTTCAAGACCATTACGTCTGAGGTTCCTGGTACTCGGTACTTCACGGTATTTCCTTCCTTGAACAAGCCATCGGCGCGGAACGTGGCCTTCAAGTCGGCTGTGTTGAAGCGACGAGCTGACGCTGTTCGGGTGGTCTCCTGTCGAACCGTTGTGGTGACCATGGGAGCCAACGTACTGGGCGCGGAAGACGGAGTCAGATTGGTGTTTCCCCTCATGGGAATCGAGTCAATCTTCTTCTGGTTTGCGATCATCTTCTTGAAGGTGTCCTCCTGCTCACGGAGTTCGTTGAGGAGGTACTTCAGCTCTGGGTTGTGGCTCATGACTGTGCGCACCATGCCTTGGCATTCCTGAGGCAGCCCTGCTTTGATCTGGCGAGCGAAAGAGTTGACTGGCCTGTCAGGGTATGCTTGGCGTAGTAAGGCCAGCTTGGCGTAGTAGTACAGGCTGATGTCTTCTATGCCATCCCACTTCCTGGCTTCGGCAAGGTCTGCAAGGACCGTGGGATTCGGACGGAAGGCGAGATTCATCTCGGCGACCCATCGATCCCAGCTACGCAAGTTCGACCTGGACTCGTCGTCGAGCGTAGTGTACCAGAAGCGAGCACCTTCTTTGAGGCAGAACGGAATGCAGCGGACGATGGCGTCATGCCAGGCCTGATCGTTTGGGCGGAAGTGGATGTAGGCCGTGATGGTTGACATCCATATCCCGTAAGAAGTGGAGCTGCCGTCGAACTGACCCAAGTCTTCTGGCTTGACCGGAGGGGGTCGAGACGAGTTGTCCATCGGTAAGTCTCGTCGGGGTGGTCGCTCCTGCTCATGAGGATTGGCTTCGTAGGACTGAGGTCGTTGATCGGGGCCTCGTCGCTCGAAACGCTGGTGGGGTGCTGGGCCTCGGGATGAGTAGTCCGTGCCGGCTGAGCCATTGCGGTGGGAAGTGCCCTCGTGATGATTGTCGGGAGATCCTCGGGGGGAGACGCTGTGCTGAGATTGAGGAGGACTTGGGAAAGTCATCTCGGATGGTCGTAGAGATAGAGCCGTCTCTGCTGCCTCGGACTCCGTCATGCCCACGGCCGTGAACGCCTCTCGTGGGGTGAGGTTGCTATGAGGTGCCAGTAGCAACTTGATTCCCTCTTCGCGTAGCTTGCGAATGTCGCGGGCGGCGACCTCTGGGGACCTGGGTGGCGTCGCCTGAGGAGCAGGGAAGACTTCTCGCAACGCCTGTGTGAAGACTTGCTGCTGCTTTCCCATCGAGTAATCGATCATCTTGAGGACTTGATCCAAGGTGAGAGCGATGGCAGTCCCGGGCGCCGTGGGCGCGACATCTCCCGGGGGGCTCTGCTCGACTGGAGAAGTGCGGGTGCCCGCAGGCGGCTGGGGTGTGGGATTGGGGTCGACCATGTTCTTCTTTCGCTGTCTGGGCTTGCGAAGAGGTTGGTCTGGGTCGAAGCGAGTGGGAACGATGGGTTGAAGGTCGCGGCGAGAGGAAGGAGGAGTCGAAGGACGGGAGGGAGGGGGACTGCTTGTTTCAACGACAGGCTCAGTCGATTCAGTTGACATAGACGAGGTTCGAGGTCTTGAGTAGCGTGGGAACTAATCAAGAGATGGAAGACCTTCTGTCCACCATGTGCTGAGCGTAGTCGTATGAATTAGTAAGTAACCAAGAGAAGGAGATGGATACAGGCGGGGGAAGAGGACGCGCCAGCCAGCCTCGGAGCCGAGGTGGTCAGCACACTTATCTCAATGGCATCTTGGACCACGACATCTATATGAGACCGCCACAAGGAGTGAAATTAGCCGCTGGAAAGGTGTTTAAAGTGGTAAAAGGACTATACGGACTCAAGCAATCCGGAAGAGTCTGGAACCTAGAGCTAGACAAGCTCCTTCGGCGCTTAGGGTTCCTGCCACTCGCATCAACACCTGCCGTTTATTCCAAGGGACACGGCGAGAGACTCGTGGTCGTGATCGCGTACGTAGACGACCTTGCAATCACCTCACCATGCATCGGCGAATTAGAGACAGTAAAGCAAAGATTGGGCGCAGCATTCAAGCTCGAAGACAAAGGCCCCGTCGACTCATTCTGCGGCATCAAGATTGACTATGACAGGACGGCAGGTACGCTAACTATGAGCCAAGAAGCGTTTACTGAGCAACTCGTCAGCGCCTACGCAAGCCATCACGCACCAGCCAAGACGCCAATGCTCGACATACCGCCTCATGACACGCCAGACCCATCCCTCAAGACCAGATACCAGCAACTAGTGGGCAAACTGCTGTGGCTGTCCAACCACACTCGACCAGATATAGCATTTGCAGTGGGAGTGCTGGCGCGCCACATGTCAGCGCCATCCCCAGCAGCCTGGCATGCCGCAGAGAGGGTTGTGCATTACCTCAAGGGCACATTGCACTACAGACTGGTTTACGATGCCGTCGCTGATAACCTAGACGTCTATACTGATGCCTCCTGGGCCAGCGACCCCCACGCAGGTCGCAAAAGCACCTCAGGGTCGGTCGCTTTCCTCTACGGCTGCCCCGTTGCCTGGAAGACAAACCTTCAAAGAGCTGTCTCCCTATCAGCGGTAGAGGCGGAGCTCATCGCAGGAACAGAAGCAGCCAGGGAGGCAGTCTTCATACGCAAGCTTCTACGAGAACTTGGCTTTGACATGCCCGCAACTCTGTTTACTGACAGCCAGGGCTGCGTACAGGTTGCAAAGGACCCAATTCATCATTACAAGCTCAGGCACGTCGACACTCGCTACTTCTACCTTCGAGACTGCGTCCAAGAGGGTGAGATCACCGCAGCATTCACTCCAGGGTCCGCCAACGTCGCAGACGTCCTGACCAAGCCTCTGGGTCGCCACCTCCTCGAACGCCATCGTACAGATCTGCGTTTACGCAGCAGCAGCGTCGAGGGGGGGTGTTGAAGCATCCGTTCCGACCCTCACTTCCGTTCCGTTTGTGCCCTCTGCTTCTCCTATTCGTCGCTTGCTGCTGCTTTTCATCCTGTTCACTTCACTACTACTTCTTCACCTAAAACCTTGCTTTTCGCACCCTAAAATCACTCCCTAACGCCTCCAACGTGACCCCGCTGTGACTTTCGGCTCCGACTTTAACACGGAAGACGAGGGAAGAGTCAAGGCCGCTCCTTCCGCTCCACTTGTCCGCAACGTCAATGGTACGCAGCCATGGTCCCATCACCAGCACCTCCATACCAAGAGCGGCAGCCAGAAGGAGCTCAGGCCATTGAGGACTCGTCTCCGATGGCTTCCACCGGTCGGGAATCACTGGCAGTCAAAAGGGCCACCGAAGTAGCCTTCGATTCCGCACCGACTGAGCCCGCACCACTTCCGTGCCCGCACCCCTTGCCATCGTATTGGACACAGACTTCTTCAGAGCCAGGACCGGCCCAAGGAGTCTTCACACCACAAGATGGCGTGGATATGGAGCCTGAGGTGGACGTGGCCATCATTGGCGCTGGCATCACTGGCATCTCTGCAGCATATCATCTCGCCAATAGGCTCACGCCCAGGTACGATGGGCAGCCGATCAAGGTCGTCGTACTGGAGGCAAGAGACTTCTGTAAGTCAGCGTACAGGAGAACTTGATGATCATACCAACTGCTGTACAGGCCAGTACTGATGGCGCTTTCCCTTTCTGCTCTGCCCAGGCTCCGGAGCCACTGGCCGTAACGGGGGTCACCTCACCCCTCTTTCCGTCCTCAGCTATGACGAGCTAGCCAGCAATCCTGCCCACCTCTCGCGTTTCCTCTCCTCCACTTCTCGGGAAGAGCATTGGGGCAACGATAGAGGTACAAAGACGGATGAAGTGATACGTAAGATTCTTACCCTCGAGGCACGTACATCGGCAGAGATTCTCATGATCGTCCGAATGGCTGCGGCTCGAGCCAAGAAGCAGAAGATGCTCCGACAGAAGCAGGGTGCAGTGACCTCAGATGAGATTCAAGAGGGAGACTCATTAGATGTGGAGTTGGTCAGTGGATCAAATTGGCATCTCTGTCAGTCCAGTGAGGAGGAGGCCGCCTTCGATGCCAGCATCGAGCGGGCGAAGCGGGCTGGGCTCAGCGACCTCGCCATGCAAGTGAAGAAGGTCCCCTCAGAAGAGTGGCATAAGAGGTTGCATGATCCCAGCAAGATCACAGCCGTGTACGAGATTCCGGGGTCGACTGTTCATTCTCGGCGGTTAGTCCTGCTACTGCATCAGCTCGCCTACGCGAATGCGCAGCGCAGCAAGACGGACCTCAAAGTCTTTACCCAGACCCCAGTTCTGGCGGTCAAATCTCTGTCTGGAGGAGCCTCATCGCTCGAGACCCCTCGTGGCAATGTCAGAGCTCGCTACGTGATCCATGCGACCAACGCATATGCCTCCCACCTTCTTCCCCAATACGCCGGCCCCAAGGGCATTGTGCCCACACGAGCGCAGTGCGTCTCCGTCCTCCCCAGCAAATCGCCTTCGGAGGGCGAACCTCTGTGGCAGATGGGCTTCAGCCTCAACCACGGCTTCGAGTACCTTCAGCAAAGGCCCAATAGGAGTACAGATGGGGCCGTGCAGACGTGCATACTGGGTGGGGGACGATGGGCAGCCATCGACAGGGAGTGGGGTGTAGCGGACGATACCAAGACCAACCCAGACGTGTCCGCTGTCCTGAGACCGATGCTCTCAGATCTCTTTCCCAACAACTTCTCAAAGGGAGACCCAGTCGAGCTAGAGTGGACCGGTATCATTGGTCATTCGAAGAGCGGAGACCCCTTTGTCGGTCCAGTGGTAGCTTCGGCCCCAGCTAGCCACGGCGCTAGTGCTGTCGATGCTTCTCCTCATCCTACTTCATCATCACCGACCGAGATAGTGCCAGGACAGTACATCGTCGCCGGCTATTCTGGACATGGCATGACAAGAGCATACTCCTGCGCTGAAGTCGTCGTGGACATGATCGTGGCGGATCGGGCGGGCGAAGAGTGGGTGCCGCCTGTATGGTGAGTAGCACGCGAGACGACTCGAACTCTCCAGTTATGCCTAGCAAAGCTGACAGACTTCTATCTTCCTCTCTTTACGTTCTAGGTTCCCTCTGTCCTATCTGACGGCCATGCCACGACGGATGGTTGGTGGCGAGGGCAACAGTGTCCCGCAGAGCAACGGAGGGAATTTCAATCAGCATAGTGCGTAAGCAAAGTCGCTACATCCACATCCTTGTACATACTACTCTTTCCTCTAATTAGATCACTGAATTATTCGCACTTGCCACTGCTCCTCTTGCCATCGATCCAATCTGCAGACGCCTCTCAAAGCGCCGCAGGCCTTCCGAGCACAAGCACGACCACCGCCACAGGTACCTACCACCTCTTCTCCGCCGGCTCCAATTCGGGCGGTCAGCTTGGCACAGGCTCACAAGAGGACTCGCACATCTGGTCACCGGCCCTATATCGGCCCGCTGGCTCCTCCTCTGATGCAGAGAACGAGAAGCAAGAGGCACTGGCATTTCCCCCAGCAGGCAGTCGTGTCCTCCAGCTTGCAGGCGGAGCGAACCACACTCTCGCTTTAGTTCTCGATGAGAGCTCCGGGAAGAGGTCTGTCTGGCGCAGTGGAGATGGGGAGAGAGGTCAGTGGGGCGCTCCTGAGCCAGAGGGAGGAACAGGAGAAGAGAAGGAGGGCAGAAGGACAGCCACCCTCTTCACTCCTCTGCCGGTGCCGGCGGGTCTGATCGAGTCCAACCTTAAGCCTAGACTAGTAGCAGCTTCGTGGGAAAATAGCTACATTGTCTACAGCCCTCACTCCTCTGGATCAGATCAGGAGCGGGGGGACGATGTGCTTGTCGTGCTAGGGAGGGAGAATGACTTTGGTCAAATTGGACTGGGCAAGACCGAAGGCAAAGCCGCCCCCGGCGCCGCCGCTGCTGCCACAGCCCCAGGCGTAGGGGTCATCTCCCTCTCTGGAGCGGTCCCAGACGACGAAGACGGCGCGAGCGCCAGAGAAAGAGGCAGGGGCAGATTGGAGATTGTGCACCTCGTAGGCAGCGTCCGACACGTGGTTCTCCTCGCTTCTTGGCTCACCTCTTGCGGATCAAACACGCATGGGAGGCGGTACGCCCTCATCGGATGGGGCGCTGGGCGACAAGGGCAGCTTGGCTCACTCGACGCGCAGAGTACCACACAAGGCAGGAGTACAGGGTCAGGAGCGCCTGCGGGTGCTGGCGCGGGCAATATCATCTGGACCCCTCGGCTGATCCGACTCTGGTCTAGTGAGCAGCTTGACATCGACACGCAGGCGAGTCTCTCCCTCGGGAGGGACCATACCGCCCTCCTCGTGCCGTCTCACTGGCGAAGCGAGTCAAGCAGGAACGAGGAAGAGGAGGATCAAGGCGAGAGCAGGCTCCTCCTGCTCGGCTCGAACAAGTATGGCCAATTGGCCATCAGCGCGTCCATTGGCCCAGGTGCACAGAGCGAGGTACGAAACGCGATCAGTATCGCCTGCACATGGAATTCCACTCTGCTCTTCCTCGCCGATGGCTCGCTCTTGGCCTCTGGGAGAAACGACAAAGGTCAGCTGGGCGGGGAGACTGAGCAGAAGCAGCAGCGATCGCCAGCGCTAGCGCAGCTCGTTCGAGTGCCGGCGGTAGATGCGGGGAGCCATGGCGGTGCAAGAGCGCTCAAGCAGGCTCTAGTATGCGGGTCAGAGCACGCCCTCCTCCTCGTGCAGTCTTCCTCCTCCTCCTCCTCCTCCCTTCTGCAGGGATCACCATCGACAGAAGTGGGAAGACAGTCGTCCGTCTGGGGCTGGGGCTGGAATGAGCACGGTAACCTGGCTTTGGGCGGGCGGCGCTTCCCAAGCGAGGGACAAGGCAAGGAGGAGGAGGCAGTCGAGGATCAGAGGACGCCCGTACGCATCTGGCCTGCTCCGGCTGCTCTTGAGGCAGCTGGAGATAGCGCGCCTGCAGTGCACGAGGTAGCGACGCACGTCTGGGCAGGGTGTGCTACGAGTTTCGTACAAGTCCTCCGGACAGGAACGCAGAGATAGAGATAGACAGACGTCTCAAAGTGGCTGATCTAGATGTGGTGTACAAATACAAATACTTCTCGTAGATCAAAGATAGACAACCTGGACTGGTTACCGAGCACCCCACATGGCAGCTTCTTCGTCATCGTCACCCACGCCTACTTCGCCACGATCGCGTGGACGCCCATTCGTCGCCCCGCTTGCACCCCTGATCGAAGCGTCTCTAATGCGTGTCTTCTCCCAGCGAGATGCGAGGGGAGCAGCAGCCGCAGGAGGCACAGACGACTCGGACTGTGTCTGAGACCCATAGACGCCACCCGTGCCAGCGCCTCGGCTGGCTTGTCCATTGAGTCTATCGACCTCTCCATCGAGCATGACCTCATCCTCTTCCTCTCCTTCATCGACCTGCTCCTCATCTCCCTCCTCCTCGGCACAAATCTCCCAAACCGCCTCGACCTCATCCGGACTTAGCACCATCTCGATCAAATCGCTACACTTGTCAGCCACATTTCCCAACTCCTTTACACATTCTTCCGGAATCCAAGAGGGTTCATCGGCAAAGGCTAAACGACTGAAAGCGAGGATAAAGCAGTGTCGGATGCCATTGAGGAGGAGGTGAGACTCGTGCGAGTTGAGACGGTCCGCTAGATCTTGTGGGTGGTCTTCTTGGTGAAAGATCTGAGAGAGGAGGGAAACGTCGAGGACGATGCGCGTTACGATGCTAGAGAGGGATGGATGAACAGATGAGACAGGTGGACTATTCAGTATACTGCACTACCGGTTGTCCTCCCGCCTCCTTTGACTTACTCTTGAGCGACTGTCTCCTCCCCACCCCTGCGTAGGCCATCCTCATTCCATATGATCGACGTATCTGTATGGATAGCCTGCACCAGCGCAGCAAACAGCGATTGCGATTCTCTCGCCAACAGCAACGCGTCGTGGTGCTTGATCACCAGCTGTGAGATGAAGATGTTGATTCCACAATGAAGCCGATGAGCATCAAAAGTGCTCTGATTGTGTCTCAGATCAACGAGATGCTTGGCGAGTAGGTCCAACAGTGGTGTGCGCGACTGGTAGACTAAAGCTGGCAGACCGACCTGCAGATCTGGATCAAACTTGCAGACGACGAGAGTCTTCCACATGTCCGGGTACTGTACGAGCTGAGTGAGCAGTCGGACGAATCTCCGTATCGTCTCTGCTGGTCTCTTCACATCCAGGAAGATCGCGATGGTTCCCGGCGCTTCGAAGATACTCTTCAGGTAGTAGCCGCTCTGGTCCCCAATGTGCCAGACAAAGACTTCCAAAAGCGACAGGACCGTCTCAAGCACATCCTCGCGTTGGTCCGTACCCATATCCCATGAGATGTTGAGAGAAGCTTCGTTGTCTCGCTTAGCCTTGGCTCGGATTTTGCGCGACTGCGTTGCATTGGGACGCTGAGAAGCCACTTGCAGAGGCTCTGGCTCAGGCGGTGCAATCGACTCAGGGCTTGTAATCCGCAGTGGCAACACTCCCCCGGCCTTTCTTATACACTCTATCAGGCAAGAGGGGATCTGGTCTGGCGTCGGCACTGGAGGGCGAGCTGTCAGACTTCGCCGGCGTTGCTGAGTCCCTGGCTGTTGAGTCGCAGCAGCGATGTTGACTCCATCTGCCATTTCTTCGCTCGCTTGAGGGGGAACCTCTAGCTCATACGCTAGCTCAGAGCTCATGAAAGCATTGATGATTGCAGGCTCTGCAACCGACAGTGCCGTCATCAGCGCCATCACGTCTTGGAGTGCATCTGTCATGCAGAGTCGAAGGTAGAGCCCGAGCAGGGTCCGCAGAGATACCGCTAGGTCCTCGTAGAGGTCCTGCATCCCTTCGTCGATGGCTTCTTGGCAGTCCCAGTAGTCACGTCCATCAAGCTCGTCTAATGCTTCTTGATCTGCAGGTAGCTCGTCAGGCAGAAGATCGAGGAAGGTGAAGCGATGCTCACCGCCATTGCCACTGGTCCCGTCGGTCATCGTCGTCAGCAAGAGCTCTGTGGCGACTTGTTGTCGTCCTCGAAGCTCAGGCCGTACTTCTGTTGGCAGGTCGACGTCCAGTACCCGATGTATCGTAGCTGTATGATCAGCCACGGGCTTTGGCGTGGCCACACTACTTGTGACATATCGCGATCGAGGTAGGCTGAGAGGAGGCTCTGACTGAGGAGAAGAGTGAGCCAGCAGAAGACCTACCAACGCTGCGCGGCGGCGGAAGAGCGCAGATACGGCCCACCTGTAGCGACGCTGTCGGGTAGCTATAGTGCTGGCCTTTCCGTCGAAGGTCGTCTGAGGCAGAGAAGTCATGGTTGTGTCTGCTTGGTTCGCTGGTACAGGGTCGTCTGCAATCATCGTCATATCGATGTCATGAGTTTGTGAGGCGCCAGCTCGCTCACTGATGTCCTGCAGCCGCGATGCCACTGGCTTTGGAGTGCGTTTCGTTGGCAGCTCGGCGGTGAAGGAGTTGTCAAACCCTGGGAAAGCCGCCACTTTCTTCTGAGCTGAGCCGCGGGTTTTGTTGAGGATCGCAGGGGCAATGAGATCGTCTCTGCGATTCTGATCTCTTCCTTTGGAGGGGCTGTCGTCCAGCCCCACTCTTCTTGAGGGCGAACTGTATCCTTGACTACCAGATCGATGAGGCGTAGAAGGCGAAGGTAATCCTTGCCCTCGACCGCGCCTAGTCGGAGTGGTGGGCATCACAGGCGGTGGTGCGTATTGGCTCTGGGAGAAGCCAATGCTTTGCGAGCCAGCAGGCCCGATCCCTCGACCCGGCCCGGTCCCTCTCCGCCGTACTGAACCAGGCCAGGCGACCCTCTTCACCGAAGTTTCGTGCTCCAGTCTGAAGAACGCAGCGTTGGTGTCGATCCTCTCCTTTTCGGCCGCGAAGGACTTTTCCCTCTCCTCGAGCTGCTTCTGAAACTCTTCTTGTTGCTTCTGAGCTTTGAGCCTTAGTTCTGCAAGCTCCCTCTCTGCCTTCTCGTTGCGCTCTCTGACCATCTTCACTTCGCCTTCACGTGCGTACATCTTGTTTTTGGACATCCGAGTCTCTGCCAGGGCAGCTCGTAGCTGGGCTCGTAGATCCTCCAGCTCATGGCGCTGGTTAGCATTGAGGTTCGGGCCTGTGAGCGCTGCCGCTGCTGGCTGAGCAGCTGGTTTGCTTGGCGCTGCATGCCCATTGAGTCCACCCTGGCCTCTATCCGGAGGTAGATAGGCGGGAGATGGGCTAGGGAGACCTGCCGCTTCTCGAGCATTATTGATCCTCTCTTGTCGTGGCACTCCGACTCCTAGTTTGCGAGACGGAGCAGCCTGTGGCGGTGGCTGCTGTTGTTTGGAAGATCCGGGCTGCTGCGAAAGCCTCACTGCCTCTTCTTCTGCCTTGTCCCAATCTTCCACATCACCGGCTCCCGTCGTCCACTCCTCCCCCTCCCATGGATCCTCATGGAGAGACTGGCCATACCCGGCTCCGATGGCAGGAGGTCTGCCAGGTCCAGAATGTCTGATCTCAAAGTCGTCGGGACCTGGGCCTCTTCGTGCTTGTCTTTGCGAAGAAGCCCGCGTGACATATCCATTCTCGGTCCATATCACCTCCAGGGACTCCTCTTCTTCCTCCGGAGCGACCTGAGCTGGAGCAGGATGCAGATCGAGCCTCTGCCTCTTCGAAGGAGGCGGTGACAGGACACGGCCATTGGCGTAGCGAGAGCCTCGTGGAAGGCCTAAGTTCGAGTTTGCATGCCTCACTCCATTCTTGGGTCCTACCCGGCTGATACTGGCCGCGATGGGAGTTTGTGAAGGTCCAGGTACAGCTTGGCTAGCTACGAACTCTGCCTGGGCCAGCGTCTCGTCATCGTAGCTGTCCCCATACAGAGCATCGAACTCGTCCCCGTCATCTGACATCTTGCACGAGGTGATGGGCAGAGAGCGGCATTGATGGGCTCACGTACCTGTGAGGTAAAGGGAGACGAGTGGATGATCTCTGCGTGTGATGGAGGTGACTGGGTGGGAACATCGACCTCTGTGCGGGAACGCGGTGTGCTTCTGGCCGAGGCGACGCCCTTTGCGCTTTTGGCGTTGGTCCGCCGCTCTTTCCGTCTCCACACCAGGCGACGAGGCTGCGTACGGCACAGAGTACCGACAGGCCCACCCTCACCGTCACTCCATCGTCTTGGCCAGCAGTGATGGCGAGCGAAGGTCGAGCAGAGATGGTCCCTGCTGTCTCTCATTCATCTCCTGAGCGCTCTCTCTTCCAGTCTCTTCCCTACGAGATCGTCTGCCAGATCGCCAAGCATCTCGGCCCGCGTCGCCATCCCTCTGTCCATCCTCACCCAAAAGCGCAGACCATCGACGTTTCCGCCATCATCGTACCGGCCGAAGGGGGAACACAAGATGTCCTCTCCTTTGCATATACCTCAAAGCTATGCTACGCTTCTGCGTTACCTGTGCTGTACTATGCTATGATCCTTCAGTCCACTCGGCAGGTCCGCCTCCTAGCCCAATCCCTCACCATGCCTTATCAGATCAAGCCAGTCGACTTCGACGAGTACAATCTGTCGAGACAACCACGGCACCTCTTCTTACCCAATGATGGCCTGCTGGCTGGCGGAACGGATCAACTCTCGGATCAGTACCAGTGGGCGCCCAGCATACGGACCCTCTTCCGGTACTCCAGTCTTCTGGACAGTGCTCTCCTGGGCTCGAGGGTAGACGGGGCAATACTGAGCGAATTTCTCGACGAGCATGTACAGGCAAGACCCAGGCGGGTAACGATCGTGAATCTGTGAGTCAAAATAGGTTCACGCTTTGGCGCCATTCTGTTTTGACGCTGGTCCTTGCCTCCTTAGCTACTCCTCCCCGCCCTTCTCAATGTGGAGCTTACGCCCACTGTCGAAGGTGACGCATCTGCATCTCATCAATCTGATCCCCCGCGACCCAATCCTACAGCTCCTCTCTGGGACCTCGAAATATGCAGAAGGACCTCACCCAATCACTCATCTCCGTCTTTCCTGGCTGCACTCCGATACCCTCCACGGCTTCGGAGAGTACATCAAATGGCGCCGTTCCTTCGATCAATGGGATGCTCTTCCCGCTCTGGAGCGCAATCGCTACGGAGTGCAACCACCTGAACGGCCGAAGGTGCCAGTGCGGATGTTCGAAGCGCAGGAGACGCTCTACACCCTCGCTGTACAGGCGGGAAGGATGCCTCACTTTCGTCGTTTGCTCCTCGAGCTGGTCGAGCTAGCTCCATTGCCTGTGCCGGAAGATCTTCCTTTGCTCGACGAAGAGGAGCGCGGCGCGGCGTCCATTGATGGAAGTACGGACATTGCAGGCGCAGTGACAACCACGAACCACCCTACAGGAGCGCCTGCCTCGCTGGACGAAGCAAGAATGCTAGCAGAAGAAGCAGAGCGCAACCGTACTGCTCACCGAGACCTGTATTGGATCGATACCCGCGATGGGAAAGAGGCCTTGCAGACACTCTTCGACGAGTCGCGTCAACAAGCCCTCGCCGAGCAGCACTATGCCGATGCCAGCGGCAGCAGCAGTGGAAGGCAAGGGGCTCGTGCTCGTCGACCTGCCGTCGAGGTGAGAATCGTCGCCCCGCGCCCCGGAGGATGGGACCGTAACGAATGTCGCGCCGAGTTTGAAGCTCAAGTCGAGGCATGCTCGTACACTCAACGTCAAGGCCAGAGTCACGATCGTCTTGAGCGTCAGAGTACTGGTAGCGGGCCAGACCATTTTGAGGAAGAAGACGATGGAACCTGCTTCTCCGACCCGGACATCTTTGACCTCGCTCGACGTCGGCCATGGCTAAGCTACGATGGGGCTCGAAGACCGGACGGGGCTTCGCTGTCAAGCACTTCTGAAGCCGCCCGAGGAGGGGAAGGAGGGGGGGAGGGAGGAAGTGGAGAGAGTGTGAAAAGGGGAGAAGGTCATCTCAAGGAGGATGGAAGTCAGAGAGTGGATTGGAGAGCACTCAACCGCACTTGGTGGACGGGCAGTCTACCGCGGTACGACGCCTCGGCACGAGAGGGGCGAATGGATGCTGATACACAGACATGATGAATAGGACGCTTGCATCAAAGAAAGAGAGATCCGTCTGGTATAGATTTTGGACAGGGCAGACACGTGTACTCTATCTTCATCGCAGTGTAATTCTAGCAACCTTCCCTCCTCCCCCTGGCTCGTAATTCCATCATATAGCTTCCTCATTCTTATACCGCCTTTGCCGCCTTCTGCAAAGCGCTCATGATCGTCGGCAGATACACTTTCCGATTCGCCTTGACCGCCTGTTGTCTCCACACCTGTGCCCAAATACGCTCCTGCGGTACACCCTCTACAGCTACTGTCAATCCCGAACGCAGACCAGAGACTCGTTCTTTCTTGCCCGTAGAGTGGAGACGGGCTCCCTTCCATGGAGTGGAGAGGTCGAGGGGAGAGGTTGAGGGAGATTCGAGGTAGTGCGTTACGGAGCTGAAGAAGCGGGCTGCGTCTGGGAAGTTGGGAGGAGGAGAAAAGGCGAGGATCCTGTAGAGGCGAGGAGGGGCAGGTTGGAGCGAGTCAGTACGGTGTTCCGCTACCGAATTGGGCTGCTGGCCGAAGTGACGACATCGCATTAGCCCATCCGAAGTCGCCAAGTCTACTCACAACTCTCGCCTGTGCTTCTGAGTCTCCTCGTCAGAGAAGCTCGTGCCCACGACGGCTACGCTCAGCTTCTGACTCTCCATCCACTGATGCAGCGATTTCCACCATTCGTCCCACGCTCTTCTGCTCTCCTTTTCACTCTCCCTACCCATATCTTCGCCTCGGTGTAGCCAAGCAGGAAGGCCGAGGTTGACAGAGGAGAAGCCGGCTTTCAGCTCCTGCGAAGGGAAGAGAGAGGCGATTGATTCGGGAATGTCCGAAGAGGAAAGAGATGAAGTTTTGTAGTCCCTCTTGAGCAGCTCGAGAGTCGTCAGATGAGAGACGGCATTCTTGCTTGCGGCCAAGATCTCCCAGATACCCTTGGTCTTGCTAGCCGTGTCTTGCGAGCCACTAACTGAGAGGGATGAGAAGTCAGAGGCTGAAGAAGCTACTTCCTCGGGAGCGTGCTGGAGGAGGGCCTGTCTCAGACCAGTCACAGATGAAGTTGCGGCAAAGGAGGAGAAGGGCAACAGCAGCTCCATTGTATTCATATCGGTCTGGCTAGCGCGACCGCTCGGCATACGTCGTAGCTGCAGGTGTAAGCGTAGGTCAGCTCCTGCTTTGAGTATAAAGGAGCTCCTGGCGGTAGACATTACTCACATTGTCCGTATCAATCAGTATCGAAGCCATAGCCAGATCAGAGAGCTCCCTCAGCATCCCCTTCGCCTTGATCTCCTTTTTGAACAGCTCAATGATAACGCTCTGAGCGCTTCCAGTAGGGTTTCCCCTCCCATCAGCTGCTCCCTCCGGCTCCCGAAAGACTCTTAGGCTGGCGTCCCTATGCTTGCCCGCGTCCGCATGATGGTCGACTAGTATGCATACATTCCGGGGCGAAGAGCCATGCCAGGGCAGCTCGAGCTGTGGGTGATCGACAAGACCCAAGTACGTGTTCTTCGAAGACGAGAAGGCGTCCGCCTCCTTCGGGTCTAGACCCAGCCCGCTTTTCGAAGCAGGATCAGTGAGATCTGATAGGTAGAGGACGTCCTCGTCTCGGATCCCGGCGGCTGCTGCGATTGCGACATTCTCTGGCCGAAGACGAGTGTCTGTCCGAGCTGTCTGGATCAGAGGCACAAAGCGAGCCTCGCTTGACGGCAAGGGCGAGGCGAAGGGGAGAGAACTATGCGGATAGTTTGTAAGGAGGTAGGCGAGGGAGATAGCCGAGGAGAGCGAATCGAGGTCTGCAGTGGACAAGAGAAGGGGACTCGTCAGAGAATACAGCAATACACAGGTTACCAACTCTTTCTAGCTCACCTCCGGCTCCATTGCCCATGATCATCACTAAGGGCCTTCCATCTTCATCCTCGCCTTGCAGATGCTTCAGCGCTGCAGCCTTTGAGTCGGCCAGGAAGCTACTCAGCGAAGGTAGCGAGCCTCCTCCCTCTCCACTCCCACTCCCACTCCCGTTGACCGAATCAGAACTCGAGTGCATCTCGCTATTGATCATCTCAACAACCTCAATTGCCGGAACGACGGGCCCTAGGGAAAAGGCGGGCGAGAGAGAGGACCAGACTCCGAGGTAGAATGTGCTCGCGAGTGTGCAGCACACGAGGAAGAGGACGAGAGCAAAGCGAGGCAGGGAACGACGACGATGGAAGGACAGGTCGATTGGCGGCCAGAAAGACATACAATGGCAGATTCGCAAAATCGTGAACAGCCCTCGGCGAAGAGGAGAGGTTCAGACTGTAGGAGGAGGTGAAGATAGGGTGGAATGAGAGTCTGTGAGAGACAAACGGAAAGAGGTCTCGGCTGTGCCGCGGCAGCTCCACCTGCGACTGATCGGTGGGGCCGAATGGCTCACGCAGGGGAGGTCCAGTACAAACGTATCATAAATGGATTGCAAATGAAGACGAAGAGTGAAGATGCACAGCGATACGGCAATAGATATATAGAAAGGTCGTGGGCACCCTTGTCAGGAAGGGAAAGGGGTATAGAGCAGCGAGCCCTCTACACACGGGCTCAGAAGCTGATCAATCTTTCGACGTCGGTCTCGGCATCGCCGTCCACTCCTTCCCTGCCACAGATGAGCTGCAGGCGACTGCTGTTCTTCTTGACGCTCAATAAGATGGGCTCGCCCATAGAGCTGGCAGAAGAGTCGTACTCTTCGCCTCCTGTGCGATTGCGAGCAGCGAATGGCGTAAGAAGGTGCCTGGGCACCGCGCTCTTGATGGGTGTTTGGTGGCGACTGCTGGTCTTGAATGGAGATGTTCGGCTGCGCTGCGCCGCTTCTTCTTCCTCGTCGGACTCATTTTCGTCGCCTGTAGCTTGCCTCGGTCGGAATTGAGTGCCGCGTACGACACTTCGCGGAGTAATTGGACGACTCTTGAGTGGAGACAGACGCAGCGGCGCAGTCTCGAAGAAGACATTCTCGCCATTCTCTGCCTGCTGCAAGAGTTGATCGCGGCGGAGAAGTTTGTCAGCTGGGGAGCTGAGATTGTGTCGTGATGGGGTGAATTTGCTGGGAGTCTTGACAGGCGACGATACAGACTTGAGCGCAGGTGTCGCATTCTTGACATTCGGCGTGAGGGAGCCCAGTGGTGTACGAGCAGGCGAAGGCGCGACTTGCTTGAACACCCCTCGGTGGGAAGGAGTCGAGGGAGTAGCAGCTCGGCGATGCTCCTTCACCTCCACCGGGTGCTCCTCTTCCGACCGGTCGACTTGCTCAGCGAGGGCGTCCTCGTGCTGCACTGAATTGGCAGCAATATCCTGATAGACCTCTTGAGGTACGGAACGCTCTACGAAATGCTGCAGCTCCTGCCTGTGAGGAGTCTTGGGAGGCTCGCGGGAGCTCACAGATGTAGCCATACTCTGCATTGTAGCATCCCACGCAGCGGATGCAGCTCGCTCTCCTTCACTCTGCTCCATCGTGCGGTCAAAGGGACGATGTACGCTCTCATGGCCTGCGCTGTTGACAGCGTTCTGGCCGACAGGGGCAGTACCAGCAGCGATCTTCTGTCGCTGGACGTTGTTTCGCTTAGAGGCCTGAACCGCAGTATCTCGGGAAGCAGCAGCCTCCGCTCTGGCACGATTGGCTGCTTTCATCTTTGCAACCTCAGCCTGCTTCTTGGCGACGATGGCCTCCCGAGCAGCTTGAGCCGTGGTAGCCTTGCTGGCTATCGTCTTGCTTGCGGCACTGTGAGACGCAGCAGAACGCTGAACCGACGACGACGCAGCAGCCCCGCCCAAAGCCCTGCTTTTGCCAGTGATGCCTTGTGTTGTTGATGACGCGACCTTGCTAGAACCCTTGACGGGACTCTTGGCAGCGTTCTTCACAGGCGCCGCGGGAGCCCTGCTCTTGACCGGAGCCGACTTAGGTGCAGGCGTGGCAGCCTTACCGGAAGAGACTGCCTGACTTGATGAGGTATGGGGGGCTGTAGCCACTGCAGAGGGCTTCGAGACCACGCCTGATGCAGCAGGAGCTACTTCGCGGACAAGAAGCGCCTCGGCAGATGCAACAGAAGGGACGGCAACTCGGACTGCCGAAGCCTGACGCTGCAGCGTAGGAGGCGCAGCTGACGTAGGCATGACTACTCTCAGAGCCTTTGGTGTCTTGGCAGGCAGACTGACAGACTGGCTTGTTCCAGGAGTACCCATGCCGCAGCCTTGCTCCGCTGCTCGCATTTCTTCCTTAACCCTCTCTTGCTGCTCCATGGCGGCCAGGCGCTGAGCAACGCGATCACTCGGAGCGACTCCGTGACCATCGCAGCCCGCTCGTTCGTCGTCTTCTTCCTGCGATCCACTGTCCTTATCTGATGGAGGCATAGGGGTAACAGGAGCAGTACGGCTAACTCTGTAGAGCTGATCCTCGCTTTCTGCAGCACCCAGCTCTGCGTCGTTGGTGGACACAGACCTCTGCAGGGGCGGATGGACACCGTCAGAGGCAAGCAGCTCATGTCGCCTGAGAACGTCCGAACCTTCGTGTCCTGGTCTGAGACCGGCCGAAGACGAAGCAGAAGCAATCCTGAGCGCAGCAGAGCTCTTTGTGCGGTGTAGTCGGGATGGGCCGGCTTCGGTCCCTGTCGGAAGTCCGGGCTGGCGGTGCGCATGAATCGCATCCGCTTCGTCGTCATGACTCCTTGGTCGCTCTGTGCGATGTCTTTCACGGCGGCTCTCGCTCTCCTGTTGCGGTCGAGGCCTTTCAGCTTCGGCCCTTGAAGCGCCACCGAAGAGAGAAGCTGTACTGAAGCTTCTCAGCGCTCCTGTCGATGGCAACGTGCTGGGTATGGGCCTCTTCTTATTCTTCGCGGCTGCAAGAGCTTCCAGGAACTGCTCGCGCTTCGGCGAGGGCTGCTTGACCCTAATTGTTTCCTGTCCAGAAAAGTAGTCGCTGCTCGGATCTTCTGCGAGTGCTGCCGGCTTACGACGCGGCTCAGCTCGCTCAGCCCTAGGAGCAGGGGCCACTGGCCTTTCTGAAGGAATCTCAACGTGCAAAGGTCCCGTCTTGGGCAACGAAAGGTATCGTCTGGTCGTCGGCGTCAACGGAGCGGTATAGCTGATGAGAGAGAAGATAGACAAGATTCGTCAGTCACATTGCCCACATACTGCCTCTTCCTGCTGTCTATCTTGTCACTCACCTTTCCACTCTCTCCGGCCAGAGATCAATGTATACCTGAAACAGTTTCTTGCAGTTCTGTCGTACCTCAGGGTTCGAGTCTTTTGCCATCGATGCAATCATTGCTTCCACCTCTGCTGCTTTCCTATACAGCCTGTCACTAGCTCCCGACTCGAAGAGGGTGACCATGCAAGCCACCGATACGGCACGCAGACCAGCGTACTTGTCTTTGCTGGCTTCCCTCAGCAGGGGAAGGATGTTCGGTAGCTTGCAATGACGGGCGACGAGCTGAAGACACTTCTCTGCCCGCTTGAGAGCTACTTTGTTGGTCCTTGCACAGATCTGGAGAAGAGGAGGAACGTAGACGTTGACAAGGGGCTCGAAGCGCTCAGCCATTCGAGGAGCTACCGACGCAAGAACATCGCCAGCGGTTCCGGAAAGTCTTGTACGCTCTGACAGAAGCTGGAATGAGCGAATTAGGAGCGCAGGTCAGCCCTCGCTTTCCCCTCGCACCTGCATGCACTACAACATCGACTCACTGCGCTCGTCAAGGGCTCTGCGACGCTCTTCATGTGGTACACAAACTCGTCGAACTTGTATCCTCCTCCTTTTGCCACTGCCTCCAGTTTGGCCAGTGCTCTGTCCAAGCGCTGCCACGAGTCTTCGGTCTCCTTCTCTGCCAGAGCATCTTGGATAGTCTGGAAGTAGTAGGCCAAGTCAGCGGCCGATTTGATTGGGATGCGCTCCTCCTGAGCAGGAGCCATCTTGATGTACGGAGGTCAATGCAGAGTAGAGCTTAGTGTTGCTGTGGTTCCGCTTGTGCTTGAGGAATGCGAGGACGATGCTTGAGTATCCGGCGGGTGATGGAAGAATGGTACGAAGGGGGGTGACTCAAGTGACAACACGGAAAGGGGACTGCTCTGAGCGTAGAATGTCACTCCACTGTCCGTGAGCGTCGGAGCTGGAAAGTGTCCATCTCCAAGTCGCGCGAGGTGTCCAGGTCCAGGTGCGGTCGGAGTTGCAAAGCAAAAAAAGGACGTCGCTCTGCAGTTCGTTCGTCGTCGGTGCGGACGAGGATCAGCATTGACGTTGACACCTGGCGGTCGTGCAAGTATCGTCCTTCTCTTCCCCTCTACTGCTAGCTCCTTTTGACCCATTCAGTGTCCAGGAGCCTCCAAAGATGTCCTCTTCAGCCTCTTCGTCGTCAGGCCGCAGCGTCTCACCCGAGGCATCCGACTCCGTACGTGCCATCAAGCCGCTGCCTGCCGCCGGAGCTTCGTCTTCGTCTGCCTCACCACCGCTTAAGAGTGCAGCAACAACAACATCATCCAAGTACTCATTCCGACCAGACGCACAGCCATTCTCACCGGCAGGACCCAGCACTACTGCTGCTACTGCTCCCACAGGCAGGGTGAAGCATGCTCTGCCACCAAAGCCAAGCACAAGCTACTCGGCGCCCGCAAATGGCGCCAAGGACAAGGAAGAGGGTATTGGAGCAAAGAGTGGCTTGGTGGGAGAAGATGAGGCCGAGCAGTCTGCTGCTGCGTCCTCATCCATCTCCTCGTCCAAGCGTCTACGCGTAGACCCGTCCCTTGTGCCACTCCAGCCGAAGCTGTCTAAGTCAGCCGCTTCTTCCTCCACACCGCCTCAGCGACTGATCGTGGTACTGGAGCAGGCATGTCTAGAGACATACAAGATGTCCTCTTCCGGTAGCAGCGGTAACAGCAGGGGTCATTCGAAGGGAGGGGATGACAAGTATGTGTTGCTCAACTGCGACGATCATCAGAGAGTCCTCGCAAGGATGGGCAGGGATATCGCAGAGGCAAGACCAGACATCACACATCAGGTGAGTGGATTGTTGGAAGTAGTAGGCACGCTCCAACGCGAAGCCTCCCGAACCTCCTTGCTGACCTTGATCCCCCATCCCGTCCCCCTGCAGTGCCTCCTGACACTACTGGACTCTCCGCTCAACAAGGCCGGCATGCTCCAAGTCTATATTCACACCGCAAAGGGCGTATTGATCGAAGTGAATCCTCAAATCCGTATTCCCCGAACATTCAAGCGGTTCGGTGGTCTGATGGTTCAACTTCTGCAGAAGCTCTCCATCCGCTCGGTCAACGGTCCCGAGAAGCTATTGAAAGTGATCAAGAACCCGGTGGTGGATCACTTCCCACCTGGCACACACAAGATCAGTGAGCAGCAGACGCGCAGTCGACTGTCCTGCCCATCCGCTGCCTTACTGACACCGAGGCGTTTCTTACTTCTCCTTCTCTCCAGCCCTATCCTACGACGCCCCGCTCCGTCGTCTCTCCTCCTACCTGCCCACTCTTCTCCCTTCTTCCGATGCAAAAGACGCCGCTCCTCGTACCCTCGCCGTCTTCATCGGTGCAATGGCCCACGGTAAAGACGACTTTGCAGACCAGTATGGTCTGGATGAAAAGATGAGCGTGAGCGAGTATTCACTCAGTGCAAGTGTGGCTTGTGGAAAGTTTTGTTGCGCAATGGAGGATATTTGGAATGTTGCTTGAGGTGCGGGGAAGGAGCAGCAGGGAGAAAGTAGCTCGTGAATCGTCTCTAGCGGCAGGCTATAGTCACAATGTCTATGATCTCTTTCCTTCTCTGCTGCTGTTCTCTTGCCCAGTCTTGACTCGCTTTCAATGTCTAATCTAGAGCATGCCTTATGTAGATTTGATCAGGTACAATTACATGTGATTTTGTCATCGTAGTCGAGAGACGACGAGGAGCGTCGTGCGCCAATTCTTCCTCTCTCCCCCACCTCAACAGCATCCATTCCACGCCGCTACTCATAAGCCTCTCCACCCCCCGCATCCTCTTCACCACCATCATCCTCTCCATTATCAAAGTAATTCTGCGCATAATCATCCTCTTCCTGATCTTCATAGTCGTCCTTTGGTTCCAAATCATCCTCTTGCCCCAATCCATCGTCTTCACCTCCACCGCCTGCACCACCACCACCTCCTCCAGCAGGACCTCCAGAGGCAGTCCCATCGTTGGCGGCTTCGAAGGCGTCCCAATTGAAGTTGGCGAGAGTGCTCTTGCGTGCTTTCGCTCTGGCTATAGTGGAATGAGGTAAGTCAAGGGGATAAGAGGTGGATCGTCAGTACCAGAAGCATCGCGACGTAGCTCGAATGGCTTCCCTGTCCCTCTTCGAGTGCAATGCATCGAGGCAACTCACCTCGAACCTGCTCCCTGCGCGTCTCGCCCTCCATGTACACCCTCCAGACGTCTCTTGGAAAGACTTCTTTTTGCAGCCGTAGACGCTTGAGCGAGGGCGGATCTTGCTCTTCGGGCCTGTATCGGTCGGTGTAACGTGGAAGCTCTGTGGTGAAGAAGAGACATGGAGGACAGGGTGAGAATCTGGAGGTACTCTGGGGGCAGTGATTTATAATAGGGTACCCCTGCGAAGGCGTCTACTCACCCTTGATCTTGCGCTCCCCTGCTGCGACCATTGGCCAGTAAGCTGAGCGTCGCATTGCGTCGAGGTATTCGAGCTGAAGCGTGGCTGCTCTGCTCTCCTGCTCCGAGGGTGGTTGGGGTCGGGGGATATTAGGTTGGTACTGCGAAGGGCGTAGACGAAGAGGTGCAGCCCAGGTGAGTAAGAGTGAAGTGAGTGGTGGAGCTTGCCTTGCTGACCTAACTCTCCTCACAAACACTCACAGGGTATAGATTCTCGGTCTTGCTGCCGATGTCGTTGACCTGGGCAAAGGAGATCTCGCCCATGGGCACTGTGGGCTTGGAAGGTCCTCCTCCACGTCCGCCTCCTCTTCCTCCCCTGCCACCACCGCCTCCCCTCGATGCCATTGTCGCCGTAGAAAGGTGATGTCACTTGCTTCGGCTCCTCTAAAGGGCAGGTGAGGGAAGAAGCCTTGGGGTGACTGCTCTATATGCTGGCTGTATAAAGGTCGCTTGGTGCGGCTGGTGTATGACGCTGAATCTACGTGCGCCGCCTGTCCGATCTCTCTGTCCGTCGTGGGTGCGTCCGGTTGAAATTTGTTCCGCGGGTGTGGGTGGGCGCGTGTGTGTGTGTGCGTGCTGCTTCCGATCCGGCTGTGTGTCTGGGTCCCTTGTTCCCTGCGTGGATGCGTGGGTGCGTCTGCTGCCCGCGAGTCGCGCTTCGGAGCTCGGGCGACGCAACACACGCACACACGCAGAGGCTTGGCTTGGCAGCAGCAGCAGCAGTGGCCCCGCTCCGTTTGTACACAACACCCAACACCTTGGCCCCTCTGCCTGTGCTCCCCTTGTCTGTCTCGCTCACCCCGCTCCTCCTCGCCGCCGGCTGCTTTGCCCTGCCCCTCTCGCTCCTCTTCCTCTTCTGCTACTCGCGCCTTCTACCATTGTCCTCACTCATCATCTCTTCCTCGCCATACCTCCCTCTTCCCCCTCTCTCACTGCGCTCCGTGTAACAATCCACTTCACGGCCCATCTTCACGCTCTTTACCCAGGAACCCCTGCTCCTATCCGCCTCAGTCGCGCCTCCGGCTCCTCCTTCCCCCGCAATCGCCCGTCCTCCACTCCCGCTACCTCACAAACGTTTGTACCTGCCGGAAATCTCACAACATGGTCTGCACAGCTGCCGGCTTCATCAGTGTGCTGGGATCAGCAACGGTCATCGCCCTCTCCCTCGCCATCGCCTCTGCGCCTCGGGCAGCAGCAGCAGCTAGCGCTATCCCTACCAATATCAGCGACACCTGCACGACCTTCTTCAACACCCTCAATTCAGATGCAAGCATCAAGAGCTGCACCACTCCACTCCTCTCAGCGACTCAGTACTACACGGGTTCCAATGCCACCAGCAGCACCGAAGCAAAGACGGCACTGCAGGACTCCCTCTCGGAGCTGTGTGCCAGTGATGCCGGCTGTGATACAGACCTGGTCAGGCAGTACCTTAGCTCCTTCTGGACTAGCTGTATGACCGAGATTCAGAACGAGAACAAGGAGGTACAGGACGTGTACGACGTCTTGTACCTCTTGGTGCCATTCCGAGAGGCCATTTGCTCAGAGGACGATAGTGGAAACTACTGCCTACTTGAAACGGCCAACTCCACTACCAGCAGCACTACATCCAAGCGAGACCTCCCCGCGCTCAAGCTAGGACTGCCTGGGAACGTTCTGAAAAGGATGAGGGATCATGCATCGATGCTCCCCAATGCCAAGAGACATGAAGCAGCAGAGACCGCAGAAGTCGCAGAGCCTCTGGAGGCCCGGCAGTCCAGTGACAACGCTACCGACGCAGCCTCAACGGTAGACTCTCTCAACGGCACCAACATCGCCTTCCTCTTCCTGCAACCGGACTCGGACAAGTCCGTCCTCTGTGGCACCTGCGCCCAAAGTATCCTCGCCTCCTACATCAAGTTCGAGACGGCCCTACCCTATGCCATTGGTCTGAGCAACTCGCATATCTTCAGTGGTCAGAGTGCACTTTACAAGGCTGGACAGGCCACCTGCGGAGATACCTGGGCTACAAAGGTGAATGAGATTGCCGGAACAACAGACTTTGCAAAGGTGGCAGGAGCGGCGGGATTGAAGACTTCGCTTGCGCTACTGGTGCTAGGAGTGGGCTCGGCAGGACTGGCATTGTTGATGTAGATGCAGCCAAAGACAGGACACAAAGAGGCAGCAGAGTGCGTGCTGCGGTATACCATCTCCCATTTCCCCCATACCACTCCCTTTTCCTCTCCCCACTTTTCTTCCCTTGCGCTGGCGACGAGCAGACTGGCTTCTGCTCCTGCTTCCACCCATCCGCACTTATCAAGCACTCACCAAAACCTTTCCAGCATCCCAATTCTCCTTTGATTCTCTTCTCGCTTCTCCGCCTTGAGTTCTTCGTTTTCATTCTTTCAACTTCTCGCCTTTTGCTGCTCTTTGCCCTGTCCAATTCACACCGCACCGCAGCTCGAGCCATACAAGCTTCTTTCTCCTCCTGCTCCTCCTAGCTGCTTTCTCATGCCCGTCCCTCTCTGCTCGCGGCTTTGCGCTGGTGCTGGTGCTTGTGCTTGTGCTTTTAGCCCCATTCCTCTTCTCGTCCCTCCTTTTCATGTCCTGGAGCTGGAGCTGGAGCTGGAGCTTGCAATGAATCTACAACATCTGTAATCTCGCTTGCACTTGCTAGAATCCGCTCGCTCGTTTGTGCCACTCGCTTTCTCCCGTCCGTCCGTTGGTTGCTTGCTTGCCTGCGAATACGGAAGTGCTAGGAGCAGGACCAGGAGCAGAAGTCAACACTCACATGGTGTCGGTTAGACGGCGATCTCTCCCAGCCTCTGAAGATGCTCGCTCAGGCAGACTTCCAGGGAGTACACCAGCTAGCTGGATAGGAGGTGGTGCTGCTGCCATGTCCATTCCATTCCACCCACTTCTTCCCTGCTCCTAGACTTGGCAGTACAAGCCTCCCAATCTGTCACACCGGCTAGATCACACGGGCACATGTACCCACATGGTCAAACTTTTTTTCTTTCTTCACCGTGGTAGTAATGAGATGCTGTGTGATTGACCTTTGACAGTGCAAATGACGCAATCGATGGGTGAGAGAAGCCGCTGAAACAAAGTACAAGAAGAGAGAGCGAAGAGCAAAGAGTCGTAGGTAGGTAAGAGTGGGATGGTAAAGTGAATAGCGTAGAACAAAGAGCCAGAAGCGAGGTTGTATAGAAGGGGGAGTAATGAATACGCCCACTCGCTGCATGATCCCTTTCCTGCGCCATCAATGGTGCCTCTTTCCCCTCCTCCTTTACTTCTTCTCCTCCTCGTGCTCCACGGCAGTGATGGCAGCTCGCTTCTCGTTGAGTCGCTGCTGTCGGCGGTCGCGCATGTTGCGGTTTCGCAGACGGCGGGCCTCCATCTGGTCGGCAAGGTGCTTGGAGCGAGCCTTCTCGGCCTTGGCCTTGTGAATGTGCTCCATCAGGACTCGCTTGTTCTTGAAGACGTTACCCTTCGACTTGAGGTACAGCTCGTGGTAGCTGAGTGGAGTGGGAAGTGTGTGGCAGCATGTCAGCAGATGTACATGAGGGGTGTGAGGTACGCAAGCGACGAGCGTAGCGGCTGTCACTATTGAGTCGAAGCATTGTGCAAAAGATGCGCCGCTCAACGCTCGGCTTAGGCACCCTGGCCATAGTGTGCCGTGTAGGCCCACACTTCTCTGCGATGACATTGCACCCCCGCACCATGACTCGATGACGAGCCTCTATCCATGTCCGGCTGTATCTGCCTCTGCCTGACTACCATGGCCCCCCTTGGCCTTAATCGAGCACTGCCATAAACACCCGCTATTTGTGTCGTGTGACGCTGGCTCCCGACCTCGTCGTGCCGGAGAGGATACTCACAGGTGCTTGTCAATCTTTCCGGCCTCCCTGTACTTTCGTAGCAGTCGGCGCAGGACACGCTGGCGCCTCATCCACTGCACCTTGGTGGGCATACGGGCTTCAGCAGTACCCTTCCTCTTACCGGTACCGGTGTGTCGGCCGAGACGCTTGGCAGCCAAGAGCTCACGAGTGCGGGCTCGGGAGTGGCCAACGACGGGCTTCTTGATGATCTGGCCATCCTTGATGAGCTTTCGGATGTTGGCTCGAGAGTTGGCATTGGCAATGTCGTTCTGCTCGGCGGGGTCACACCAGATCTTCCTCTTTCCGACGCCGAGGACAGAGGCGGCGAGACGCTTTTGACTCCTGAGGTTGACCATGATGAGGATGTCTGAGTGTGCGAAGGCGACGATGGCGCAGAGAGGATGAGAATGTGCGATGAAGATAAGAGGAGGAGGAAGTGAAGCCAAAGGACGGGCCAGCAGACGAGGGAGGCAGGGAGCGGGCGGGAGGTGAGAAGAGTGTAAAAGAAGCGGAAAATCGTCAGCGCTGTTTTCTCGAGTGATCACGAAGGACTAGACCATTCGTACGACGAGCATGCGGTGTCATAAACTCACCTTTGTTGCGGGACTTGAGGTGTGGTGGGAGGAGAGGCGGGTGGTGAGGTCAGAAGCAGGACGGGATCGAAGAATTTGGCTGCGACGTCTCGCGGGCGGCTGCTGGCCCGGGTCGCACAACCCGGGTGCATTGCGCCAGTGGGCGCGACGCACCGCAACCATGCGGGCAGCCTCAGACTCGGGTTCGCCCCGGGTTCGCATCACACGCCGTCAGCACGAATTCCTCCTCACGCCCTGGCCCGCTTTGTAAATTCTTTCCCGTCACCTCACCATCTTCACCCTCAGCACACTCGACGCACACACACATCACATCCTCCTCGTCACACACACAATATGGTTGGTATCTAGTGGGAACACACAAGCGTCGTGCGAAGGAGATGTGAAAAATAAAAGCCGGAATGGTCTCTCGAAGAGGAGAAGGTGGCGGTCCCACAGTTGCTGCTAGTAGGGCCTACAGCCTTATGTGGCCTGCTATAAGCGCACTTCAATCGATGCGAGCGCTATGAAATGCAGCTATACACTGCCGGATACGCTACCAGTACTCTTGTTGGGGTCGAACGACCGGCTTACAGTGCAGCCTAGCTAGGATCTGTGGCATGGTCACACCAGCCAATGTGTCCCCTGCTCTACGCCCTGCATCCTCTGGAAAGGCGATAGACGTGGCCGGGTGCTCTTGGCAATCTCCAGACACACTTGTCGAGATTGCACAAGGTTCGTTGCGACAGCCTCCTTCAGTGCTCAGCTGAGTCTTCTCAGATACTGACTACTGTCGGAGGCTGGAAGCTCTGCACCGGGACCACTGCCGTCCCTCGAGCTGGTCGTGACCTACCTCAAGGGGGTAGAACAGGCTTCCGCATCGGTGTTGGCCATGCATGCGAGAGGCCAGTGCGATGGAAGGAATGGGAACGCATACGAGGCATCCTTGCGTTCTGCCATGACCTACTGCTTGTTGCACAACTTGCTGACTCCTACTATTCATATCGCGCCCTTGCCACAGACTCTCGCCGTCGACCTCCTGAACCCCTCTGCTGAGCAGCAGCAGCGATCTCACAAGCTCAAGCGTTTGGTACAGAGCCCCAACTCTGTGAGTGGCGATATGACACGCACACCCTCGGTTGCGATGCCGGTGGCTGACCTCATACCGCTCCACTATGCACCTTTTCCTCACAGTACCACATGGATGTCAAGTGCCCCGGATGCTTTGCCATCACCACTGTGTTCTCGCACGCCCACACCGTCGTTCTGTGCGGATCCTGCTCTCAGGTGCTCGCTCAACCCACTGGTGGAAAGGCTCGTCTGACTGAGGGATGCTCGTTCCGAAGGAAGGCATAGAGGCACACACACACACACACACACACACTTCATCTTGTTGCAATATCATTGTCTCTGTCATCTTCAGCATCACCTTGAGCTTTCCAATGCTCGGTAGCGCCGACGACTGTTCCTGACCACGTCTTCCTTGTAGTGTAGCATTGCAAGGACAGAGGCGTGCCGCTCGGGACCAGTCATGGATGATTGTACCCATACGTTTCACATTACTTGACTCTAGCGTTTCACATTCATCGAATCCGATCCTCTGAGTACAAAACTAGCCTGATGCTGTCTCTGTGTCGAATCTCGGCTCACCAGCCTTTCTCTGTATGGCCTGCCTTTGGGGACATAGCTTCCCGCGGCCAGGTCTTGCGAGCATCTCGTGTCAAGATGGCTGCCATTGCAGCATCTCCGCTTGAGAAGGTGCGAGCAGCGGTGTCTGTGCCAAGCTTCAACTTCACCACATCCCTCCCTCGCTGACTGGTGCTGCCGATCTGATCACTTGGACCGTACCAGCTCCCGAGTGACCTTCACCAGATTGGCTTGTCCCCCTTTTGCAAAGGGATGCGCTCAGGAGCTTCCAGGCGAGTGGGCTGCAGCAGTGCCTGTCGGCCTGCCTGCCCATCTTGGCTTGCCGGCCGTGCCTGAGAGTCGATTGCCGGGCAGAGGCAGACTTCACGCGCCTCGCGAAGTGCCCGCCCGCAAAGACCGACACTGACTGACAAGGGCTTGTGTTCCTTTCACCCGTTGCCTACCTACACTCCCTCACGACACATCGTCCCCACCCTCGCTCCCTCTCCGACGTCTTCCCTCTCCCCGAGACACGATCACTCCTTGCTGCGTCCCACGCTCTTCGCCCTCGATACCCGTTCTGGTCACTCTCAAGACCTCTCCTCCTAGATCGGCTTCAAGAACCCGCGACCCCTTTACAACCCTTATATTCCCGCCTCTTGCTCGATCTAGACCTGCCGCGTCTGTATATTATCATCCTTGGCATCGACGACCTTTACACTATCGGCCAGGCATCGGGGAAGTCTTCACTTCGACGCCTTACCGACTAGACGAGAGTTGCAATGCTAGCCACGTCTATACACACCAAGACGGGCAGGCCCAGGCGGGGGTCCTCCCATCCTCTTCTCGCCTGGATCCCGCAATCATGGCCCCAACGCCTCTTCATCCTCATCACACTGACCGAAGCATGCACAAATGTGGCCATTGAAGCGGTCTTGCTTTCGAGGTATAACTCCTCGCAGGGTACCAGTCTGGGGGCGGACACGCTGAGGGCGTTGCCGGTGTTTGTGCTGTGCTTTTGCATGGCGCATACATATCAAGTCATCTTGACCATTGATGCCTGCTATAATCGTAACATGATCATGGTGGTTGGACTTGGGGTATTCAACGCCGCCTTCTTGGTGTATTCTGTAAGTAAGCGAGAAGCGGCGCTAGGGACTGCGTGATTGCTGCAGCAAGCTGAACGACTCTTGTCGGCTCCTCCTGCCATCCCCCTCACTCCAGCTGATCCAAATTGGCGAAGTCAGACAGGTGCTAGGTGACGGCGTACAAGAGGGTTCCGGACAGCATGTACCCGTACAGATCCTCACCGGAGCAATCCCAGTGGTGATCGGTGTCGCACAATTGGCATACATGGTCCTGGGATGGTCACTGTGGAAGGAGTTCGGATGGCAGATCTACAAGTCCATCATTGGAGCTGATCGGATGCTCAAGAAGGCTTTGATGCAGTATCAGGTCTACGTGGTCCTTCTGAAGTTTGACTTCTTCGTCTTCCTTGCCTTTTGTCTTCAGGTGAGTAGCTACGAGTGAGACTGTCTCTCTGCCCGTAGCTTCAACTGACCCTGCCCACCTCTTTCACCATTTCACAGCTCGTTCTGATCGTGCTTACCTCTGACATCGTCGAAAAAGTCCTGACGATGGTCGCAGCGCCATTGGTGCTCTTCCTGCTCATCTTTGCATGGTGGTCCGTCCGCCGAGAGAAGAGGTGGGGCATGATCGTCTTCATGGTTGGTCTTGTAGGAGCTGCCTTCTACTTCAGCTGGAAGCTCTGGCGCATCTGGTCACAAAAGGACGGATTGTACGCGGAAGTGTACAAGAGCTTGACCGTATTCTGCGTCCTGGCGCTAGCGCTCGACGTATCAACCATGATCCTCGGTGTCCGTTGTCTGACCAACTTCGGCAGAGGGCTCTGCCAGGCTATGGACAGGGCCAAGAACGAACGCAAAGCTGCTTCCGCTGTGGGAATGCATCCCCCTGGCTTCGGCGGATCTGGCAAGGACCTTCTGCCCTTGAGCAGCAACAGTACGCTTCATCTTCCGGCTCAACCGCGGATCAGCCTCGATTGAGGAGCTGCTGAGCGATTGGCAGCTCCAACACGCGCTCTTGTATATATCAACGACGACTTCCCTGGGACCCATCTTCGCCGGTTCGAATGCGGTCACCTCAAGCACCATACCCCTCCCTGTCCCTGTCCTTTCTAGAGTCCTCCCTCTCCTCCTCGACTCAACGCCTGTAATTATAGTCATTATGCCCCGTCATCACGTCAAAGTCTTTCTTGACTCGCACCGTCATTGCTTCTTTAACCCATCATTGTTGCCAATGTCAAGGGCTCCACACCATTGGAGCTGCCAATTTTGTGGTACTTCAGGGAGCGCTGAGTCGATGTCTCTGCATCTGTGCACTTGTTGCCCTCAACCGATCGTCCTTGTTGACATGGCATCTCCGGTCGACCGGAAGACACGTTCACTAGCCGGGTGTGCAGAGCAAGAGGCGGGACTCGAGCCACTCCCGCGAGCGCCGCTGGGGACGCCGGTGGAGGCAACGCGTAGAATCAAGACATGGCCACTTACTCACACCGCCTCTTCTCCCCTTGTCTCCTTTCTCCTCCAACCGGGATCCACACTCGCTCTTGTAGCGGGTGCCGGTCGTCGACTTCATCTTCTGACACTGCTTCACACTTCATCTCCTTGCACCTGAGGCCTGCATCCCGCTTCCGGACACGTTACACGCCTGGACGCTGCTGACAGGTCTACCCGGCTCTTGACTCGACAATCAAGCTCACTGGGCAAGGACTACACTCAGTGTTGTAGTTCCTTGGTAAGCGCTACAAGATCCTCACTGAGACCTCGCCTATCTCCATGAGCGCTATAGGCCACAATATGGCCTCCATGAATCCCCGAGGCAAACATCTGGCAGCCAGCGGTGATGGTGGAGGTGGCGGGGGAGGGGGCAGAGATCGAGGCCAGAACATCAATCATGTAAGTCAAGTATGGCTCCTGTACAAGTTTTATCTCTCGGCTGGAGAAGCTGAAGTCCTTTGCCGCTCCTCTACAGCTCCTCTCTTTCACGCTGCCGCCAAGAGCTCGGCCGCCTCCTCCGACCAATGCTCGCCGGTCGAAGCGCAGCGGCGGTACGCCATTCAACAAAGAGCGTGAGTGGAGAAGCCTAGCTGCTGAGCTTCTCACTATTTATGCTAAAGGCAGCTCTCTTCCCCTATAGGCTACGTGTCCGCCCAGTATCGCTTCCTAGTCAAGCCTACAGGCGACTACACTGCCTACTTTGCAGATGCAGACATCTACCTCAACTGGGGCGACATTCTCTCCGTTCTCATACCTACATCTTCAGCCTTGTCTGGCGCAGCTACCTCAGCTCTTCCTTCATCTTCTCAGCCATCTCTAGAGACTCACGAGGGCGCTGCATGCCCCATCTGCCTCAGCCCTCCCACTGCTCCGCGTATGACGAAATGTGGCCACGTCTATTGCTACCCCTGTATTCTGCAGTATCTCTCTACGACGGATGGGCCTGCTTCGGCTGGTCCTGCACCCATCCCCGGCGCTCCCGTAGGAGCCAGCGTCAACTCTGGAAATGCCCTGACTGGACCTACGAATCGTCAGTGGAAACGGTGTCCCATCTGCTGGGACGCTGTCTATGCCCGAGATCTCAAGGCGGTTAGATGGTGGGACCCGAAGGCAGTAGCTGCTCAACAGGATCGTCAACCAGCTGCTGGCAACGAGCAGATAGGCGATATCATCGGCCATTTCGAGAGCGGAGACGAGCCTTCCACATCTCAACAGGCGCCGTCTACCCAGAATCCAGACTACCTGCGCATGCGTCTGATGGAGAGGCCGCAGATCACCACCTTGGCTCTGCCTCAATCTTCGACCTGGCCGACTTCCTCGACGTCACCCTCCGACCAGCCCTTGCTCGCTCAACATCAAGCACCATGGCATTTTCAACCAGACGTGATGACGTACTGCAAATTCATGCTCGCCACTCCTGACCTCCTACTCGAGTCGCTCACACAAGATGTAGATGAGCTGGCAGCTGAAAAGAAGCTACTCAGCTCTTTTGGGAGCACTCAGGGTGATGACACGATAGCGTACGTGACTCTAGCGGAGAAGAAGGTTTCGGAGCAGATGGGGAAAGTTATCAACGAGCTGGACACTCCTGCTGTAAGAAGCGCGATCGGTCAGGCGAAGAATGACCTGAAGGAGCACGAGGAGGCTGAAAGGGGTCAAAGGGTTCGAGACAGCGAGAATACCAGCCGACGGAGGCGAAGACAGATCGAGAGGGAGAAAGAAGAGCACCGCCAATCAGAGGATGCCAAAGCGGCAGAGGATGGGGAGTCCAAGGTTGAGGATTCCCAGGACGACACCTCGAGCACTCCCCTCAACACTCCCTCTGTTGAATCATCTGAAGGCGCGGAGGCCTTCCTTGCCCTTCGAGCGCAAGGTCAAGGAGGATCGTATCTTCCTCGCCCCAAGGAAGAAGCTAAAGCCTCTGCAGCTATGGCGACAAGCTCAGACGAAGCCACAAATGCAGCGCCGCCGACCGCGCCTGCTCCAAAGTCTCACCAGCGCCCTCGACGCAACCTCAATCCTCCCGCCCCTTCTTCTTCATCCTACCTCTTCTACCAAGCCGCCTCCGGTCAGAACATCTACCTGCACCCTTTGGACATCAAAGTTCTCCACTCTCAATTCGGAGCCTATTCTCGCTTCCCCCGCGACATCGCCGTCAAGGTCCAAGGAGCAGAAGAGGGCAGCATGAATGAGGAGCTTCAGAAGAGGTGCAAGTACCTCACGCATTTGCCCAAAGGCACGGACGTCGTCTTCATCGAGGTCGACTGGGAGAGTATGGCTGCCGTCCCCGCTAACAGCCCTTCAACAGAGGGCGGTATGGAGGCGAGCGAGCCACGCTTGATCGAAGAGAAGACTCTGAAGCCCTACAGTCAAGTGCTTAGGGCTAGGAGAAACAAGCGAAGGGACAAGGAGAGAAAGGAAGACCGAGCCAAGCTCAAGGCCGAAGAGGCCGAAGCCGCTTCCCGTCCTGGAGGCGCAGCAGCTGCAGCGCGTCATCACCAGCAACAGCAGCAGATGCAAAGCAGCAATGGTCGCCACGTCCATATGCTCTCGAGCAGCTACGGCAGCGAAGGCGGCCGATCTGCCGTCTCTTCGCACGGCCAAGCCACCTCGCCCACCTTTATGGAGTCGGCCCTCTGGGGTGCCGAGCGCGACTTTCCCATCCATCCTGGTCACCACGGCGGCGTCGACGACGAATTCCCATCGGCGCTAGCGTTGACTGCCGCCTCGTCTTCCTCGCCAAACATGACCCCTACACGCAGCCCCGCCTCTTCTGCTACACAGCCCTCGTCAAGGACGGGGACTGGGAGCAAGACAGTCTGGGGAACCGTAGCGCCCAAGCCCTCCTTCTCCTCTACCTTGCATGCCTCTTCTCGCGGTACCTCCGGTGCAGGTGGCGCAGGAGGCGCATGGGATGAAGACGTCGATGATGCCTGGCTTGAGCTGGAGGAAGGGTTTGTACTTGGCACGAACAACTCGCGACAGGTCAGACCGGGGAGGGGATTGAATTCCCAGCAGGGCAATAGACGTACAAATGGCACTGCAGGTTCCGGTGCCACTACCGGTGTGGGAGCGGCGGGTAAAGGCGATGGAGGGCGTGCTGCACCCATCGAAGGAGAAAAGGGCAGCACGACGCCTGGTGCTGTCCCCAGTGGTGGCGGCGGTGGAGGAGGAGGAAAGAAGCAGAGGAAAGCCAAGCTGGTCCTCACCGGTGGAGGGAGGGGCACTGGCTGATCTTCTTCCTTGCTCTGCAAAGCAAAAGCAAAATCTGTCTGTCTATCTTCCTCTCCTCCTTTTATCTCATCTCATCTTGGATTTTTGGCAATCCATTACCAGCATTATAACCTTTGTTCGCAAAATCGACACCAGGAATTGTGGGCGCTGAGGGCGAGGGCAAAGTGGTAAGAGGTGAATCGATGATATGACATGACTCAACACGCTTTGACATGACTTGACATGACATGACATGGCATGACAATGACAATGACAATGACAACGACAGTGACAATGGCGAGACTTCGAAAGAGACAAGAGACGGACCAAACAGAAAGGAAGGAACAAGTACATGATCTGACATGATCTGATCTGATCTGATCTGATCTGATCTGATCTGATCTGATCTGATCTGATCTGATCTGATCTGGATCTAAGAGGCAAAGTAGGACATGAGCTTTCCCACTTCGAGTGTCGAGTGTGGCTCGTGGTCTTCGCAGACTATGGACTGTGCGGACTATGGATGGATGGGATGGGACGAAGTAGATGAGTGGATGACGATAGGATAGTGGAGCAAAGTCTAAGACTGAGATGATGGGAGCGGGAGAAGAGGTTGGCGACACACAGACAGACAGATAGACAGACGGACAGACAGACGGACCTCGGACTGGGGAAAGGGGAAGGGGGAAAGAGGGTATGGAGTGGTGACTAGACTAGACTAACGAGCCGTATTAGGAGGTACAGGCACAGGTGGCATCCTAGTACTCCTTCCCAAACTTCCAAATGACGCGCTACCTCCCTCACCCACACTAGGTGTTATTCGACCGCTCGCGCTAGAGGTGGGTGCTTGCGAAAGGCGACTGCGCGAGGCGGTATGACTTGGGGGACCATACGCCTTTGTGATTCCGCCACTCAGGCTGGCACTTGTGCTCGACCCTGGTGGGATCACGCCTGCGGTGGAAGCGCTCGAAGAGGTACTACTGCTCCCTGTACTTCCCCCGCTCGTACGACCAGAGCGAATGCTCCCGCTCCCGCTGGCAGCGCCATTGGGCAGGACGAGGGAGCTGACTTTCCCGCTGGCGAACATGCTCGTCCCACCTCCAGCGCCACCTGCTGGAGCTCCACTCGAAGCAGAAGGGAACATGCTTGTGCGTGGAGGAGGCATCGATGGCCCACGTACGCTTGCTAGCAGACCGCCAGTCGATCCTTGGCCGCCACCGCCCAGCAGGGAAGAGTCTGCGGTACTCTTGCTGCCCATGCTGCCTAGACTGCCTCTACCACGTCGGGCGGGGCCGGCTTCGGAATCTCGCAACTTGTAAGGAGCTACTTGGTCCCTCAGTCGATGTGAGGTGGCGGTCACCGTGGGCAATGCCACGTTCTCGTCTCCGAAGAGGGAGGAAGATCCAAAAGGAGGACCGGCAGTCGTCTCTACACGTCGAGCTCTACTTGCTGCTGTGGGTGCACTGAAGCCCGCCCTCTTGGCAGGGGGTTGCTCGTTGCCCAGCTCGGCATTGACAGCGTTGTTGAAGAAGTTGCCAGAGTTCCTGCTCGGTCGCAAGCGTTGTCCAGCGGCTTCATCCTCCTCTTCCTCTTCTTCATCTTCCTCGTTCAGGGCGCCATTGCTTCCACCGAGGCCACTTAGCTTGAAGGCGGGCCTTTGCGAAGGAGCTTGAGGCACGATGCTGTTGTTGCCGAACAGACTTCGACGACCTGCTGGCTTGGCAGCCGGAGGGGCCACCTTCGGCGGTCCTGGAGCCACAGGTACTCTACGTGCCGTGGGCTCACTGGCTTCTCTCGCCTTGACGTCTTCCCACTCGGCCGAGACATCCGAAGAGGCAGATGCAATGGACAGCTGTGGAGAGAGAGCTCTGACAACCGGTGCTGCTTTGCCGTCGTGCTCCTTTGCTTCTTGGAAGCGGACGCCTTTCACAGCATTGCTCGAAGGTGCACTCGGAGGTTCCATCGAGCCTGTTTTCGTGCTGGTCGTCTGGCCATCGAGTGTGCTTGCGGGAGTGCCCAATCTAGCCATGCTTGCAAAGGCAACGGGAGGTCGCGATGCTGGTCCTGCAAGGCTAGGTCTGCCAGGTCTCACCCTCGCTGGTGACCTGCCTGGAGAGAAGGTAGCCACTCGGTTGTTCTGTGTGGCAACGACGCTCGGTCTTGCTTTGCGCGTGGATGCAGCAGTGGGCCGATGGACACCCTGTGTGATTGATGAGCGTCGAGTGTGCAAGGCGGCAGGCTTCGAGGAGGAAGCCGCTGGTCCGTTCCTGCTCGAGGAGGCATTGACCGATGCGTTGTTCAAAAGACTAGCCCGCGGACGGCGGAAGGCGCTAGCGGTCGAGCGGCCTGCTCCCTTGCTGCCGTATGTGCCCCTTCTCGCATGCGTCTCATTGCCAGTCTCGGCTCTGAATTTGTCGTCGTTCTGCTTGATGTCGTTCCTGGCAGCTGCAACAAGATTCTTAAGATGCGTTGCAACCTCTTCCTTGTCTTCGCAATGAGAAGCCCTCCATTCCAGCTGTCCCGCAAAGTCCTTCATGAGTGCTGTGCTGCGACTAGCAACTTCCAGCCAGCCCAAGCATCTCTGGGCTTGTGACCGGTAGCTTTCCAAGGCGGCAAGCGCTCTTGCTTTCTCCCTCTCTGCTTCCACCTCGGCCTTGAGAGAGTCTGCTACCAGCTTGACCCGCTCGGACGATTCTGCATCGAAGCGACTGTTTCTTGGCGCTCTGTTGAGCAAGCCCATGAGAAGGTCGATTGAGCTACTCAGATTGCGTGCGCCATCTCGGCTGGCTTGCAGCAGAATCTCATCCTTGCGCATGAGGCTCTGAAGGAAAGTCCGCTCCGACGTCCAATCCAGCGGCTCCTCTTCTTCGGCAGAGGCGTCCTTTCCTCTTCTCCACTCTCTCAGCAGACCATTGATCTCATCCAGTCTCTGCTTGTACAAGCTCGAGCTGTGTTCTGCTGCCTGAACTGCCGCTTCATGGCGAGACTCGCGACCAATGCTCATTTTGGCAGCTTGCACCTTGGTCCGCAATTCAGAGAGCACAGTCTCCATCTCAGCCTTTGCCTCACGCTTCTTCCTCTTCTCGCTTTCAGTCTCGGCAGGACCTCCCTCTGCGAGCTGTGCTTTGAGTTGAGCGACCTCCTCCTTGAGCTCGTGAATAGTCCGAACATACGTTGCGACGTGCCTGTCGACGTTGACGACGTTCTGGCTGACCTTTGTCCGGATATTCTTTGCTTGATTAGCGTACTTGAGGGTATTATGCGTCTCTTCGTAATGACCAGAGCTCGGGCTGACGCAGACGATCATGACCGTCTTGCAGTTACCACCCAGACTGAATTTGAGTAGACGGGTAAGCTTGCTATTGCGGTAAGGGATGTGTTGCTGCTTTACGCCCGTTTGGCAGAGTGCGTTGATGCAGTTGCCCAAGGCTAGCAGCGATTTGTTGATGTTGGCTCCTTCCTTCATACGAGCTCCATTGTTCGACGTTGCCGAGGCTCTCTCACTTCCAGCAAGATCGATGATGTTGAGTGACGCGGACGTAGTCGCATCTCTCACGTCACCCGTCTTGGGACGCTGAGTGACGTTGATCTGTAGGACTGCATGAGACCGACTTGAGACAGCATTTGCTTCTGTAGGGCTCATGGTTCTCCTTTGGTTGCCTTCCTGGATCATCAACAGCACCTCTTCCGGACTTGCTGGCGAGTGCTCTGAGATGCCAACGACGCTCATCTTGTTTGCCTCGTCCTCTCTGAGAGGCAGCCCTTGTCCGGGCGGGGTAGGAGCCTCCGAGAGCAAGTCTCGGATCATTTCGTTGTAGATCTCCAGGTATGAAAGTCTCAACTGCACCTCTGATTCAGACTGGTTGTCTGCAATACGCTGGTAGAGCTCCTTCATCGTGAGGAAGATGAGTCCCGGATCTTCAGGAGTGCCTGAAATGGTGTGAGTCTTACCACAACCTGTCGCCTGGGAGGGAGATCGACGGTGGTGAGAACATGTGAGCATCAGGGGGCCTGAACCGAGCGATGTCAGAAGCTACTCACTCCGTAGGCAAATACAGTGGCATTGAAGCCGTTCAAAACGCCGTCGAGGAGGGGATTGGTAGTGCCCTGGAAGACGTCCCTCTGGCTAGCCCCGTCATTGAAGACTCGATCGAACGCGTACCTCACGTCCTTTGCCCTCTTCTGGCCATGAGCGAGATAATTGGCCTGCGTATTATTGTAGAGTCTGGAGAGGGGATTATTGTCGGGTGGATCGAAGATGAGGACCTTCTCATCGACTGTATGAACAATGGGCCGGAGAAAGCGGGTACGTAGGCCTGCGATGGGAGGCAACTGCTTGGCAGGGGAGCCGCCGAGACCACCATCGCCAAGGAAGGGCAAGGCGCCATGTTGAGGGGCGAGCTGAGCTGATTCCCTCTCGGAGAAGGGCCTGACTCGCACTGCTACGGTGATGGAAGCCTCGGCCATGGTGGTGGGCAGTCTCTGTGGGCTGGCGCTCGCACTCGATCACGCCAGGGAGGGCAAGTGGTACATCGAAGAGTGTATGCCCGAGACAGATGAGCCTTGCAGCCAGCTCGCCGTCGTGATGCTGAGGGCAGGGTATGAGGGGGGATGTGCGTTGGTGACGATGCCTATTGGCGTGGGGTGATGCTCGATGGCTTCCTTGCATCTTTGATTCCTGGTGTGTGTGTTTCTCTCCACTGTGGTCCCTGATTGCTCTCAGCCCGCGAAGATCAACACGCGCGTCTGCACGAGGCTCGCGGCCAGGCCAGGCAGCAGCCATCCACCCGCGGCCCCACTTCCCAGTGATGTCCCCCTCTCCACCTTCCGTTCCGATGTCAGACACTTGCCCTCTTGCATCCCCCGCTCGGCTCGGCAGCGCGGCTTGTGGGGTGGGAAGGTGGCTCATCTCCGTGTATTCCTTTGACGGGCTCAGCCGCGCCCCGCCCCGCTGCCCCGAAAAGCGAAATCCGGAGTGGGGATTTGCAATGCTCGGCCGTGTCCTCCGTGAACATCGACCGAGGTGTATAAAGGAAGTAGGCCATCACCGCTCCCGACTTTGCTCCGTTCCTCCTCTTCCTCTCAAATCACACCATTACCCTTGAGACCGACCAAGATGAGGTTCATTTCTGCCGCTGCTACAGCAGCCGTTACCCTCGCCGCCGCCTCTGGACTCGTGGCTGGTGAGTAACTTCTTCCTGCTCGTGGTGGGCCCAGCGCCTACGCCAGAGTCACCTGACACCACTTTTCTACTGCCTTTCCCCGCCCTCTCCAACAGCTCATGGTCCAGAGTCCAAGTCAGAGGTGCGCGAGTTCCATGACCGCCAAAAGACAATGTACCATTGTGCTCCGCAAATTGCAGCGTACAATGCACAGCGTAGGGCCGACTGGTCTCAGAAGGTTCTGGGAGGCGCCCCCCTCGCTGCAAAGAAGTACTTTGTAGACGGCGGCTACAAGGAGAATCAGGTGGACCCTGCCGATGCAGCTGAGATTATGGCTTGCAACCCCATTACAGAGACAAAGATCCGCAACTCGAGCTGTGTCCTGGCCCCAGAGACGACCGAGGGTCCCTACTACCACACTCAGGGTCACCTGATCCGATCCAACATGGCAGAGTATCAGCTGGGTCTCCTCTTCCTGATGAATGTCGGAGTCATCGATGTTGAGACCTGCGAGCCCCTGCCCAACGTCCTCGTGGACCTGTGGCACGCAAATGCCACTGGCTACTACGCTGGCCACCCTACTCCCAAGGTAGGCATGGAAAATGAGAAGCCCATGGCCACTGGACCTCGAAGGGGTCTCATGTCGGCCTACCCGCGCACAAATGAGGAGGAGACTTGGTTGCGAGGAGCTCTTCCTACAGATTCCAACGGAGTAGCCGAATTCACTTCGGTCTTCCCCGGTTATTACACTGGTAGGGGTACCCATGTGCACGTCAAAGTCTTCCCCGAGTGGGATGTGCTGCCCAATGGAACTTTCACCTCCACCAATCTGATCCACACTGGTCAATTCTTCGTAGAGGACGCCCTCAACGTTGAGATTGACAAGATCCACCCTTACAACCAGAACCCCCTACTGGCTCCTGGCAAGGGTGGCCGAACAAGGAACTGGGAGGACTCGTTGAACATTTACCAGGACTCGCACGACAATGGCTACATGCCCACCTTTGACATTGAATTCCTTGGAGGAGTTCTTCAGCAGGGACTGATTGGTTATGTGACCATGGGAGTCAACACAAAGGCTCGCTACGAGGCCAAGTGGACTCCAGAATCTGGAAGGGGAGGAGTGGTGAGCCAGGTACCTGTCTCTTCCGAGACCAAGACTGAGCTATGAGGTCAGGGATGATGTGACGATCGAAAGCACTGCAACATCAAAATGAGACGCTGGGATACCTTCTTTCCGCAAGGATGTCGTTTCGGAAATGGGCACGAGGCGGGAAAGTGAAACCTTGTTGCGGAATTACTGTATGCATAGTGTCCGTCTCCTGTTCCATCATTATCAAACTTGTTGGACATATCTACAGAGGTCTGAGCAATTGCGAGGCTCTCCTGTCTACCCTCAAAGCTTTCGCTTGCTTCACCTAGGCCTGTCGCAAGTACTCCCCGCACATCATAGCCCCTCACCGAGCCCTGAGCTTCTCTACGACCCAAGGGGCAAAGTACACAAAGCGTACCGTCTTCCTCAGAGGTAGACTCCCTGTAAGCATTCTCCCCGTCCGCCATTGATCCATTGGATCTTCGTCGTCGTCGTCGTCGTCTTCGTCCTCTTCTGTGAGGTAGTCGCTTTCTTCTTCGAGCCCTTCAGAATTCGACTGTGACTGTATCTCCGTCTCTGCATCTTCTTCGTCCTCCCACTCCGGCACTCGAATAGGTGCGACCATCCCGGTCCGGTCAATGTGCCGGTCAGCGACAGTTGCAAAAGTCATGACCATGTGGTCCTCCTGTAGCGCCATAAAGGAGATAGGCACTGCAAAGTCGGGATGCGAGGTTCCTGGTATGGCAATGACGGGGAGAGAAGCTCCAGGTCTTGTCGCATCACCTCGGTCTCCAAGCGAGGTGCCCTCTACATCCACATTGCGACCTTCATCTTCACTGCGACGCGACACTACCGATTTGCCCACTTCGGGAAGGGGAAAGAGGTAGACGCGATCACTGCAAGCAAGCAGGAGGCCGGTGTGGATTTCGGGACCAAAGGTGGCGCATGGTAAGTCGATTATTCTTTTCAAACCAAGGATGCATAAGCTCGGCTAGGTTGGGCTGAGGCAGAAGCCAGTTGACTCACTTGACTTCCCAGATGGCTCTGTGATTCCCGACTGTGCCTCCAAGTGAAAGCCAGCCACCAAGATCATACTGATCAGATAGGACCAGGAAGAAGAGGAGAGCTAAATGTTGTCAGCATTAGCACCACAATGCAGCTCGACTCTGGGAACGGTGCGAGGCAGAGGCGGATCCATGCAGAGGCGGAGAGAAAAGAGCCGGCAGAGGCGGGAGGATTCGGCACAGAGGCAGGGCGCCCTGAGCCACTTCAGGGACGTGCACCCCACCCTGCCACGCCATTTTACTCTGACAGTAGAGGCACTGGACCAGTGTCTGCCCGCCTTCACGTCTTCGGCGCGTTATCTCTTCCCGCCCATTTTATCAGCGGCTGCCAGGCCTTCCCGATAATCCAAAAAGCACCCCCCAGAAGCTGATTGCGATTTGCCGCTTCCCGATCTTCCTCTCCGTGAACTCAATCTCGACCCTTGGCTCCCGCCCCTCCGACCCACCACCAGCACTCCTTGAGCGATCATGTCTCTCTCTGGTATTGTAGTCTTGGCCAGGCATGGTGACCGTTCGGGCTTCTACCAAAGCCCAAAGACGTACGCCGCCTCCGACACCAACCTCACTGTCCTTGGCTAGTGAGTACGCGCAAGGGCAGAGGCAGGATCGACCCTGCTGGGCTCGCGCTGAACATGCCTTCTCTTGGACCCTACTGCAGCCTCCAGGAATACAAGAATGGTCAGGATCTTCGTGCCGAGTACTTCACGAATGTGACCGACAGCATCGCTGGCATCCATGCCGACATCGCAGAGCCAATGGAGATGGACATCTACGCCGATGCTGGAGGCGAGGGAACCGTCATCGTCGAGTCTGCCAATGCTCTCTTGCAAGGACTGTATCCTCCTTACAACGAGACCCTCGCCCTGGCCAATGGCTCCACTGTGGCCTGGGACCGGGCCCAGCTGATCTCCATCGAGACTGTCGAGCCGGAAGAAGAGATCTGGATGGAAGGCTATACCGAGTGCGATGCCTGGACTACCTCTCTGAGCGCCTTCTATAACAGCTCAGATTTCGTCGCCCAGGCACAAGGAGCCAATGCCTTCTACCAGAGCCTATCGCCTATCCTTGGCAACCGACCCTTGACGTATCAGAATGGCTACAACATCTTCGACTTTATGAATGTTAACTACATTCACAACGATACTCTCAGCCCTGAGATTGCTCCCTACCTCAATGAATCTCGATACTATGCCAACTGGCGAGAGTCGAGGGCATTTGGTAATGCCGATCCGAGCAACATTGCCAATGTTGCCGGACAGGCGCTTCTGCCCTTGATCATCGACGGCGTTCAGCAGATCAGCAACACCAGCAACCCTCTGAAGTTTCAGTACCTGGCCATCTCGTACAAGCCTTTCATCAGTCTCTTCAACATGATGGCAATGCCATCTCCGCTGAACGACACAATGGTAGACTATGCCTCGATGGCCATCTTCGAAGTACGAGATGATGATACCGTCACCCTCAGGTTCCGAAACAGCAGTGAGGGAGACCTCGCCTACTACCCCATGTTCGGATCTTCGGAGACCAGCACACCCCTCGACACCTTCGTCGATACCCTCCAGCCCAATTCTCTCGACACTCTGGCCAAGTGGTGCAACAAATGTCAGACAAGCGATGCTCGAGGATGTGACGTCCTTGCTGCACTGAACGGTACCGGAGGAGGCTCCGTCCAGTACGCATCCATCACATCCACTACTGGCAGGCAGCACGTCTCACCGGTCGTAGCCGGAGTCATCGGCGCCCTTGTAGCTCTAGCGGTCGCCGGAGTGGCCCTCGCCGCCTGGCTCTTCTTCGGCGGTCTGGTCAAGCGAACCCGCCGCGGTCGAAGGTCGGGCGTGGCAGCCGGAAAGCAGGGACCATCTGGCCGAAGGAGTCAGAGCATCGCCGGAAGTATTGCTGGTGACAGCAACGTCGAGCTTCACCACTCGTCGCACAACGCAGCCGATTCTGACGGCACCAGGAGTGTCGGCAGTGGCAACGCCAAGATCTAGTCTGGGCCCTCGTCAAGAGTAGCCACGCTCCCGTACCTCGTCACCTGCTTCGCGTCCGTCACCCCTGTACTTTTCTCTGCCTCTCTTGAATCGAAACCTCTTCGCCAATAGCCCGAGATGAACGACCGGCCTCGTCTTGTTCGACAGTAGCACTCACTTCGCGGTCAGAATCCTGTGGATCGCACTCAATGAAGGAGACGACATCCGCAGCCTTCACCTGATTCTTGAGGAGGCGCGGCCAATCGCTGACAATGACGGTGAAGCCCTCTTTGGAGACGCCTACCATGATCGATCCGCAGAGCATACCAGCTCCCCACTCCTGACTCGCCATGTCACCCAAACTCTCTGCCCAGAGATGCGACTCGTCGCTGCTTGTGCCTGGCTTCAGCTCGAGGGAGATGTGTCGATCGTCGAGCGGTATGGGGGTATCTTTCTTCTTCCGAGTCTCACGTTGGTGAGGCCACGCATTGAAGCGCGGCGGATTGTTGAGATGAGAGAAGTTTCTCGCTGTCAAATCAGGCATGTATCGAATCTTGCCTAGCATTTGCCCAGTAGCCTTGTTGAAGATGTGATAGCCGTCTGTCATTGCGAACATCACAACATCGTCGTCTTGCTCCAGGTGACCTTGGGCGCCTTCTTCGATCTCGAGCTCGCGAACAAGAGCAGGATCATCAGTCGAGAGGTCCCATACCCAAGCCCGTCTCATTTCGGAAACGACGCAGAGAGTATGGTACCGCAAGTGAAAGCCTCGGACTGAATTATCGTGCGGAAGGCGTCCAAGCCGAGTGAATGTGCCTGGACTTATTCGTGCTTGCTTAGTGTCTCTGGCACCTGTGCTTCTCCCGGAATCTGGGTCATTGATACTGTGCCCAAGAGCTCGAAGCTTCTCTGCCCCGATAAGCTCGGTTCTGCGCCATATCTCAATAGTACCCTCCACAGAAGGATTCGTGGCCAGTGTGCCCTTACTGTACTCGAGATGGGCATAGGGTCCGATCTCTTCACCATTCCTGCTCCAGAGTAGCTCGGGAGTGGAAGGAGAGCTGTCGAGATCGTAGACGAAGAGCCCGCCTCGAATGCTGGTGACAATTAGCAGGCGAGCCTCGTAGTCTACTCTCAGGCGCCAGGCATCGACGGTTCTGAATTCCTGGGACACGAAGCTAGGGTGTTCTCTAGCCAAATTGGATGTGATCAGATACTGGCGCTTGCCTGCATAAAATAACGGCGACGAGATTAGGGGAGTGCTCAAGCAGAAATTCTCCTCCTCCCTACTCACAGTACTCTTTCCAATCGCCAATCCCAGTCCAAGTATCGCGCATGGCGCAAGCTTTCTGATCAATGGCGGCCGAGAGATCCGCATCAGTAACACCCACTTGCCTTGCCTCAAGACCTGTGACTCTCATCTTCTCATCGTCCATCGCTTGTGCTTGAGCTGCCCATAGCAGTCGGCTGTGAAACTTCGAAAGGGCATTCCAAGTGCGCGACAAGAGTTCTACTTTGGTGAGGGCAGGCAGGTCGAGGTAGGTGAGGATCCGCAGGACGAGCTCGTGAGGGAGAGCAACGAGTGGGTCCATTGTGGCTCTACATCCGACACTAGTACGACAGAGGAGTGGAGGGAAGCAGAGCTAGGGAAGGCTGTGAAGGGAGAAGGAAGAAAAAAGACAAGTCTACTCTTTCTCAAAGTTGTGTTGCTCTCATTGCCGCACGACGCTTGGGCCACCGCCTCTCCTTCCGTCAGACCCCTCTCCCTGGCGCGTCATCGTACAGGCCGGCACAGCTATATGAGAATATGTCGAGGGTTGCTAGATCTCAGGACCTTCGCGATGGCAGGTGTTCCATTCTTCATCACGATCATCAGGCAAGGATCTCGTTCGTCGGGCGCTGGCAGTGCATAGCGGGCAGCCTGCCTGGGAGGAAGGCTTTGGGCCGCAGATGGGCCCAGCTCAGCGGGCATCACGATGTGATCCACACTCTGCCACAATTTGCGGTCTTTTTGCTCGAGCCATATCCGGATTGACCTTCATCAATCGAATGGCCAATCTGCTTTCTCTGAGTTCATAGCATTGGGAGATGGTCTGAGTCTACCACATCTCTTTACATCTGAGCCACCAGCGCTTTCACTTCATCCTCATTCAGGATGCGGAAGCCCCCCTTCATCCTGGGTCGCGATCCAGTTCCACCCGATCCAATCTTGCTACCGTCCGAAGATGTCTCTGGCGTTCTCGGGAGCACCACGGCTAGTTGCACATTCTTCTCGTCCAGCTTCTCCTCCATCACTTGCTTGAGCACGTTCAGGGTGAGAATGGAAGCTTCTTGCAATGTCATATTCTGCGAGAATAGCATTCACGGAGAAGGATTTGATCAGTCACTGTGCTCTCATAGAGCATTCGCCCGTCGAATGCTGACTCACGTCCTTGTACTTGTCCTGCAATTCTCCTTGAGCTCCCTCCTGACCACTTCCAATTGCCTTTGCCTTGTATTGAATCGATGTTCCCGATGGGTCAGCATGGTACCTGGGATGATCAAGCAGTGTGTGAGAGGGCGACAGGAACGTCAATGGCTGGCATCTGAAAGCTCTGCTCTGACTCTGCGTCTACTCACAGCTGTGGTCCCTTTTTGTCATCGTAGCCTGCAATCAGCAGCGCAACACCGAAAGGTCGTGACTGTAGAAAGGACGAAATGGCAAGGTCGTGAGATTCGTCAAGATCGGGCCCCCCTGTCCTTTGCGCTTTGCTCGTAGCCTCGCACTCACCATCATTGCCTCCTCTCCCGAGATACTCTCTCCGAACCTCAGCGCCAGGTCACACACAGCTTGTGTCACACTTGAGACTTGAATGTCCTCGTCGTATGTGAAAGCATGGTTCTGCGCTGTGACCCTAGCATGCTCGATCATCGTCCTGGCGTCGGCTACGAGTCCACTCATTGCACATCCAATGTGAGAGTCGATCTCCATGATCTTCTCGATGGAATCGGACTCCAGCAGCGACGATTGGACTCGCTTCTCCACACCGATGACGACTCCTTCATCTGTCCTGATGCCCACGGTAGTGGATCCGAGCTTGATAGCCTCAATGGCGTACTCGACCTGGAAGAGACGACCCTCCGGGGAGAAGGTATTGACTCCGCGGTCTGTACGAGGGCAGGCGAGCGCTCGTCAGCAGAAGCTCAAATCACCACGGCAAGACGGTTGAGCTACTCACCATACTCTGACCTTGACATAAACATGATGGGAGATGTACAGTGGAGCGAAAGATGGCGATACGAGCCTTGGGGAAGAGGCTAGGAAGGACTGAGTGAGTGGTGAACGGACCAGGCAGGGCCACGACTGCTCGCGGGGCGTCGCGCCGGCTCCGAACAATTGTCAGAAAGTGGGCCCTTCCGCTTCTTCTTACCTTCTCGCCCTACCCGATTGCTTACCACCTCCCATTACCATGGCGTCACCTCTACCCCACCTCAGCCGCTCAGTGCGAGCCAGCGTGTTAAATGCTCATGCCACCACCTCATTGGCTTCGTCATCGCTCGTTCGCTCATTTGCGTCGACGCCCTCCGCCGCGGCCAAAGCACCTGCTAAGCCTCTGCAGAAGAAGAGGACCGCTCTCAAGAAGAACTCTTCTTCTGGACCCAGATCAACAGGCTCAAAGAGGAGAAGCGGCGGTGATGCCGCTTCATCGTCCAATGTTGCCCTCACAACGCCTTTCTATAGGCCTCCGGCGGATATGAGATCATTGCCAACCCTGACACCAGAGGATGCCAACAAGAAGAGTCTGAACCAGATCATGGCATTCAGCAGACGGGATCTCGATGCTTTCGAGAAGTTCGGCGTAGAGAAGAAGGTCAAGAACGCCCTCGGCTCGCATGTCAGGCCATCGTCTCTTGTCAGGGCCGCTACGCTGGACCTTTATTCTCAGCTTGCCAGTTCAGCATCGGCATCCTCCAGCAAGAAGCTTGCACTCACCGGCCCGCTTTCCGGCGGCAAGTCTCATCTGATGCTGCAAGCGGTCTCGTACGCATTAGCATCGGACTGGCTGGTACTCTACATTCCCCAGCTTGTGACCTTCATCAACTCCACCTCTGCCTTCGAGTATTCGGCAGAGGAGCAGGCATACCTCCAGCCGGAAGCAGTGCAGAAGTTCTTCAGCTCTGTGCTTAGTGTCAACCAAGAAGTACTGAAGAAGATGAAGGTAGACGCTGGCAAGGAGTCGTCGCAGGTCACATTTGACAGAGATATCTCGGTCTCCTCGACTGCGACACTCGAGCAGCTCTTGAAGCTTGCGACGTCACAGAAAGTGACCCCCCTGGCTTCTCAGCGCATCTTCGATCTCTTCCTGACTTCCATCAGTCGGCAAAAAGCAGTGCCAACTCTACTGGCTATGGATCACTTGCAATCCCTATACCTACCCAGCCGTTACCGTACCGCAGACTATGCGACGGTCCAGTCTTACGAGCTAGCCCCGGTGCGGAGTCTGATCCAGTTCATTGCAGGAGAAGGCCTGCAGTCGGGCGCCATCCTGTCTGCTGTCTCCCACAGCAATCCTTCGTTCGCGGTGCCGAATGAAGTGAAAGCAGTTTTTAATCACCAGCAGCAGAAGCAGCTGGCAAAGGGCTCGTCGTCTGGCAGCGTTCGCAGTCAACTCGACGAGACTGCGCTTCATGCATACACAGATATCCACCCACTCCATGTCGAGCACGTCAGAGCTTGCAACTGGTCACTAGTGGACGTGCCGGATGCGTGGACAGAGCCAGAGCTCAGGGCGCTGTACGAGCTGAGGCGCCAGGAAGGTCGCAACTGGAACGGCGGCAACTCCATTGCCGAGCAGGCCATGAGTTCATCTCCATTCGGGGCCGTTGCAGGAAAGGGGACCACCGCTGCTACTGCTACCGAGGATGAGCTCTTCCTGCTCAGGCTGCTGGATTCGGGCAGGAATCCGGAAAAATTCGAGAAAAGCGTGTGGGGAAGCAGTGTGCTGTAAGAAGCGGAGGGAGGTAGTGCTGAGGAAGGACGGAGTGAGTAGTAACGATGGCATTGTATTACACACTCGAGACAATAACATAGCATTATAGCGATCCGAACGAAGATAGATTGAAGCGTGACAGGTGACATGTTTGATGATGGTGCGAGATGAGATGGTTTTACCCGTGGGAGAAGGTCCGACCCAAGCAGAGTCTAGCGTAAATCTGTTCAGGTAGGCTGAAAGTCAGTCAGCAGCTGAATCTTCGGCTCCCATGTGGTCCACTTACTAGAAGAATGCCTCCAATAACCATACAAAAGCCCGCAACGACCTGGGCGCACGCCAGACCGCCCTCTGGCGCCCTCAGGATGAGCCCATACAGCGGCGGTCCGATCAGAGCAGCAGGAGCGATCGCTGCCAAGCCCTGTCCCAGGACAGTACCGAACGCCTCGGGCTCGTCGATCGCCTCTACCAGTACAGGTGCTTGCAGAGCAATCGCACCTCCCGTGGTAAAGCCATAGATACCGGCGACGAGAAGGAGAGCTGTGGGATTGCGCACGAGGATTGACCCGAGCAGAGAAACGCTCCCGCTGAAGGCGCACAGCACCATTATCTCGTATCTCCCAGTGACATCAGCTAGAAAGGGAAGTAAGAGATTGCCGACGAAAGCACTGCCGCTGATGATGCTAGGCATGTGAATTTGTACCGCCACAGAGATCCCAGAGAGATTTGTCCATTCAGGCAAGTAGAAGAAGAGGTAGAGGAAGCCGACCCAGATGAAGAAATGACCTGCGATACTGAGCGCGTAAGAGGGAAGGCTGAAGACTGCAAGATTGAGAAAAGGGCGACTACGCTCTGACGAGCTTCGCACGAGAGGTGAGTAATCTTGACGAGCTTGAGATGCTGAAGAAAGCAGTATCGAAGGTTGTCGAACGAGCAGAGCGGCCACGCTCAGTAGCAGCAGCTGAGAAACAGCCAGCGCAAGCCATACTATCTTCCAGGCCTTCGTTTCAGCTATGATCCTCACCACCACGGGCCAGAGTATAGCCCCAGCAGATGCACCACTGAGAGCCACACCCACACAAGTGGCTCGCCTGCTACCGATGCACTGCATGATGCAAGCAATGGCTGGTGTAAAGCCCAAAGACGCCCCCATACCGAGCAAGACGCCTTGGGTCCCCAGAAAGAACCAGAATTGCCCTGCAAAAGAGCTGGCCGCGCATCCCAGTGAAGAGAGGAAGGCTCCTGTCACTAGCAACAGCTGCGGTCCGAAGCGATCTGTGAGAGGCCCGGCTAGAATGCCGCCGAAGAGGAAGAAGAAGACTTGACAGGTCCCGAGCCAACGTATCTGGGACGGCGACAGAGTGGGGTAGCGGTTCGCGTCGTATGCCTAGCGATGGCCAGGGTCAGAGCGATTTGAACGAAGGCAGCAGCACTCACGACTCGCCCATGCTCACCTGAAAGGCTGCCGTCGCGCTCAGCAGTCCGAGTGATGCAGCACATGCTAGAAAGCTCCCTAGTATAGTCAAGTATCTATGCCAAGTCGGCTCTCTCGCGATATGGGGCAGCAGTGCTTTCGGCTCTTGAACGAGATCAGAGAAGCGAGACTCACTGCGTGTGACAGTTGGAAGAGCCAACACAGGCCGGATCTGTAGCCCATTCGTGTCGTTAGGGTGCCGTGCGGCAGGAGGCAGATTTGATGGACTGAGCCTATCTGAGGACTTATCTTTAGCAGCTGTGCGACCAGATTGTTGCAAAGTTTCTTGGGACCCCTGGGGCTTTGATGAAGTCTCATAGAGTGTGCTGCTTGTCCCAACCCCAGAGTCACACAAGGCAGACGCTTCATGATTGTGTACAAAAGGACTCGTTTCTTGAACAGTTGCCTCCTGGGAGACTAACAGCCAGGGACCTTCGTCAAGGACTGTGTCCCTTGCCATCGGGCGGTGACCATCTTCCGTATTCTCCCGCTCTTCCTCAGCAGGCAAGTCTTCATAGAGGGTGTAGAACGAGCCGAGGTCGAAAGAGTCGTGTCTCTTTACACAATGGCGAGACCGCCGCAAAGAGGCATGGGAGGCCATATGACACTGACTTCGGCCGCAAGATAGGAGAGGAACGAAGACAGCAAGAACGACATCTTTTGGATATCTATGCTCGACCTTCTAATTCATTTCGATGTCGGCCCCGTCAATCTCGCTCAGGCACAAGGTTCCTGACCAGCCATCTCCGGCCCTGATCGGTAGCGCCTCATTGTGCCGCGCCCTTCCGTTCCGGCCATTGACATTCCCGCCAGGCTGGGTGCTCACGCGCGCAGCCGCGAAGCCGAGACGGATGCGCGGAGTTGGATTCGGGGTTGACGCGAGGCGGAAAGATGCACACTTGGCATGTTTACCAGCCAAGCGAGACAAAAGAGCAACACTTCTAAATCCAGACATCCAGAGAGCGCACCACACTCCTTCCTGTCAAGATACTCAAGACCATCTACGGTCATCCCCGCCGACTCGAGACACCATAGTGGATCAAGGCGCTATCGAGGCACAGGCAAGAAGTTCGTCGTCATTCCCATTCGTATTCGCCGGACACTCCTACCGTTGGATGCCACACTGTCAGGACGCCTCTATCACATCGCCATCTCATCATGTTCAAGTCGATACGAAACAGCCTCGGTCTCTCACCGACGAAGAGACCAGCTCTTCTCTCGGAAGAGGGAGACTCTCCGTCACGAACACGAGATGACACGAATAATCACTCAGAGCCATCTATTTGGGGAAGATTGGAAGTGATGGGCAAGAGCGGGAAAGTCAAGTCGGGGCTAAACCTACTAGAACGCGATTGCACCATTGGAAGGTGAGTGGGATCATGCAGCTCCTGCTTTCTGTTCAAGGCGTACTGATGCTTGTCTGTTCGCTCACTGGCTTCTGCTAATCTAGGTCCACCGACAATGATGTTCGCCTTTGCGAGCTGAACGTGTCTCGCCACGCTTGCCGAATTCACTTCCTCAGACCGGGAAAGGTAAGCGCGGACGGAGGGCAAGCAAGAAGTAGGAGCACCTCATTGCATTCAGCTCACCACGATTGGACCTTCTATTTCCTTTGTAGGCTCAGCTCGAGCTACTAGGTACCAACCACGTCACAATTAACGGCAGCCATATCCTTCCCCTACCTGACTCGGACGAGCCGGTCTCAGTGTTCCTGACTTCAGGAGATCTCATTGAGCTCAGCAAATACCGCTTCCGCTTCAGCTACGCTGCCTACGACACCAGTGCAGCTTCGACGTCCCAGCTACAGTCCGTCTATGTACCCGTGAGCCCAGCAGAAAAGGGTCGGCAATCATTGCAAGGCCTGGCAACGCCGGATGGCAAGCGTAGGAAGGTCAGGACCAGTCTGGTTAGGGCCGCAGATGTTGAAACACCCAGCAAAGCGAGGGAGACTTTTGCTCGGCTTGATGCTTTGGATGCAGCTCCAGATTCGCAAGGCCTCACTAGCTTCTCACAACCACGCACAACCCTAGTACAGCTGACACCTAGACCGTCGTTGACAAACCTTTCGCTGGATTCAGGCTCTCCTCTGCAACGTCACATGTTCGGCTCTGGCGAGCCTGTCATGCTGACAGAAGATAGTCTAAAATCGATGGAGAAGAGTCTGGGTCTGATATCGGTTGGTCAGGAGATTGCAGGCTACGGGGAAGAGGACGGGGTGCAAGAAGAGCTTGTGGTCATCGATGAAGATGACGAGGAGGATGCCATCGAACAAAAGGGGGAGGTAGAAAGCTCAGGAGCCGCCAACGACGCTTTCTATGCCAGGGACACACCCCAGTCACCGGACGAAGTCGCTGCGAAGAAGGAGCGAAGGCGATCGAGTTTCCTCGGTCGCGCGTGGCCTTTCTCATCACCGCAAGGCTTTTACGGCGCCGAAAGGCAGAACGAAGCTGACCAAGATCAGCCTAGCACTCCGGAGCGAATCTCGAAGGAAGAGCAAGAGCATGGGGAGGCAGTGGCAGAAGAAGAGGTCGACGACTCAGAGGAAGAGCAGGAGGCGGATCAGTCCGACATCCTCAGTCCTCGCTTGCCACGGAGCCTGTCATCTCCCGGTCGACTAGGGTCACCCTCTTTCCACATTTCATCCAGGCGCAAGGTCAGTCTGAGGACAAAGACCCTGCTCAGATCTAGCGCGGCACTGGTAGAGCGGATGGCTGCTTCTCAGTCAGACTCGTTCCTCGCCGTAGCGAAATCTGAGGAACAGGGGCGCCCATCGTCCCCGCTTGCATCCCGAGAAGAGGAAGTCGACTACGAAGACGACGAAGACGACGAAGACGAAGTCGACAAGAGCCTGAGCCTAGTTGAAGAAGGAGACGAGGATTACGGTGACAACGAGCAGGCCGAGCAAGGCGAAGAGGAGCATGAGCCAGCCCACCCGGTCTATGAGCTACCGTCTGAATCGCAGTCCGCTCGCGACGAGGAGCCACTCGCTGTCAACCCAGCGGCGATCGCAAGTGTCGAAGATTCCTCAAACGCTGTCTCTGAAGAGTCTGAGCAGACTCAGGAACACCAGCCAAGCATCATGGTTCCGTCGCTGTCTCGGCCGACGTCTCGCTCTTCCAAACGTCTCTCCATGCCTGCGTTCGTTGGTCGCCGTCGAAGTCTCTTCGGCCTGGGCATCTTCCCACGAGGCCAGACGTCGAGTGAGGCGGAAGACGTCGTCGGCAAGGTTGACGAGATGTTCGCAAAGGCTCAAGGCAGCGCAAGCTCAGTCGACAGTGCGTACGAAGCAAGCTCGTCTGGCTCTGCTTCTCCGGACGTCGGATATCAGTCGATGTTGACTGTCGCTTCCTGCGAAAATCTCAAGGGACCGGCAAGAGAGGCTCTGAGGTACCTTCTGTCCAACAAGTCGAAGGCTACTAGCCCGGCGATTGGGTCTGATAGCGGTGACGCTTCTCAGCATGCTGCTGGCGCATCGACCGCCAATGGTGGTCTCCGGTCACTCATGCTCGGTCGTCAGGAGCCGATGCTTCTGCAGCGAGCTAGAACTTCCAAGAGAAGTAGCTTGATTCTTGCGCCAGGTACTCCGACGATGGAAGGGTTGCGCTCTGTGTCACCACAGGGAGGCGCCACGCCTGACATGGCCTTCCTGCGCCACGTGTTTGCTCTACCGAAGGAGGAAACCGATACCGATCCCCAGCTCAGAGCTCTGAGATATCTCTTTGCAGAGCACGAGTCCGTCCTCAGCCGTGCTGATGAGACTGGCGGAGAGGGCTTCTTTGACGGAGAGGCACTTGCCTTGCTGATGGCTACCCCTGCAGCTCAGAGAACCTTGGTTAGCGCCGCGTCCCGAGTAGCTCGCCTTACACCCACCGAAAGCGCCCAGCAAGCCGCTGCTGTCATCGAGATCCCCACCGATGCATCGTCATCGCTCGTGCACGTACAGGATGTCGCGTCTCCCTCTCAAGCAGCCTCGATGCGCAGAGGAAACGCGCAGCAAAGTCCCTCTTCCCTTCTCGGCGGCGGCGATGACAACGACGTTGTGCTTGGTGACGAAACTCCAAGCTACAAGAAGACGCGCAGAGGATGCCGTGGTGGAAGGAGACGGAGCAGGAATTTCAGTCCTAGCATCGACCTGGGAGCTTTCGACGTCGAAACCTCCTTGGGAGACGTTGATCTGCCACAAGTCATTCCTGAGGAGCCCTTGAGTGCCGAGCCTGAGACTGAAGCAGAAGTCCAGCAACCTGAAGCCCCGGCTCAGCAGAGCAGCCTTACGCAAGGTCCTCTTGCTCCCTCTACGCCTGCCGGATCCCCATCAAAGAGTCGAGCTGTGCGAGTAAGCAGGCAGGAGACAGGCACCAAACCGCTGGCTGCTGCAGAAGTGCTCAAGAGGAACCTTTCAAGTCGAGGCCGTCAAGCCTTGACTCCTGCTACGACGGCCAACACGCGAACTACTGCTCGCGCAGGAAAGGCTCAATTTGCTGCCGATAGCGCTCCCGGCGAGGAAGAGAACACCAGCACTCAAGCAGAGCAGGAGGTCACTGCTTCTCCAGCCAAGCCGACCCGTGCCAGGAGTACTCGCCGCGCTGCCGACGTTCCGGCCCAGCCACAAGCTGGTGACGACGAGGAGGCGACAAGTGCGAGACCAGTTCGTCATGGAGCGCGACGAGCAGAGAGCAGCAGGCCTGCTGCAGAAGAGGTAGCTTCCTCGCCCGTCAAGCCCGTCACCAGGAAGACGAGTACAAGAGGCGCTGCCGGCAGGAAACAGCGAAGCGAAGCTGCAGAAGAGGACGAGGTGGATCCTCAACACCAGCTACCTGCCTCAGAGCCAGCTCTGCCTGTGAGCACCAGGAGTCGTAGGGGTGCTCGCGAGGTAGCTCCGGCCCCTCCGGCTGCTGCTGCTGCTCCCACTCCAGCTCGCTCTACCCGAGCTCAGAAGCCCAAGTCTACTACCACCTCTACCAGAGGGAGAAGCAGACACGAATCCGACAATGAAGACGATCAGAATGACCATGACGACAACGAAGACGAAGACGACAACAATCAAGAAGCCGAGCGAGCACTTCGACGCAGTACCCGCTCCTCGCCAGTCAAGAAGCGAGCTCCAGCGCCAGCGCCAGCAGCAGCGGCTAAGGAGGTCCAATCCTCGCCTGTGAAGCCCTCGGCTCGCACTACCCGACGAGCCGCAGCGGGAGGGGCTGGTCACCGTAAAGAGCCCGCTACTGGGGACGCGGAGCCGGCAGCGGCCACCGCCACCCGCACTACGCGCCGCAAGGCTGCTGCGACTGTTCTTGCTTCAGAGCAGGAAGAGCTGCCGGCGCCTGTTGCGAGGGTGACGAGGAGTGGAAGAAGCACAAGGAAGGCGTGAGATTGGAATTTCCATTTTGCTCTCTTTCCACTACGAGCCTAGAACGCTGCTGCTGCTACTGCTGCTGTTACTTTCCTGCACCGCATTGCACATCACACATGCATTATACCCATTTTCGCCAAGCATCCTTCGATCAATGACCCTATCCATATCCTTTGAAAGGGCTTTTAAGCCCCTGTGCCACTTCCAATACCAATTCAGATCTCGCTTGCACTCTCTTCCTTCACTTTGCCGTCGTTCAAACATCAGCCCGTCTGAGACACTCTAAGTGTGTTTGATTGCCAAGGGCGAAGAGGAGGAACGTCCTCGCGATGACGTTTCCGTGAGAGTGACAAAAAGGTATCGATGTGTGTTCTGCTCTTCTTTCTGGCACCAGGCCTTCGCTGATTCTCTCTGACGATCTGCCTGCCTGCCTGCCTGCCTGCCTGCCTGTTCAAAGGTCCTCTGCGCAGCTCTCCCCCCCCCCCCTCCCCTCTCACTCGAGCTCCTTGTTTAGCAGATCGAGGACCATCGGGTCCATACCTCCCCAGACCTGCTGCATGACCTGTGGCGCGGCGGCGGACGCAATCTCCAGTGCGCTCTTTACGGTCCTCTTGAGCTTCATCTCCAGCGCCAGATCGCCCTCGCTGATGGCCCGTCCCCTAGCCGATCCAGGACTGACGTCTTCCAACCAGCCACCCTCGTCATCATCTCCAATGTCATCCTCTAGGAGGGACGCACCGAGGGAGGGAGATCCTCCACCACTGGACAGGATCTGTGGGGTGGGCCCACCTTCCTTCTCCCTGATGTCGGCAAGAGCGTCGAGCCAGGTGCCTACCCACTCCTGGATCTTCCCGTAGGCTTCTCGGTCCAAGGCTCGCTCCTCTGCGTCAGACGTGGGCTCAGAGCCGGCTAGGATGGCACACATCCCGAGAGCGATGAGCTTCCTCCTGCGAGCGGAGGCAGTGACTTCGAACTTTGCAGAGAAGAGGTTCAAGAGGGTCGAGGGCAAGGCCGAGAGGAGGCTCGAGTCGATGGCGCTGTCGGGGTCGGAGGTTGCCTGTGGAGAGGCACGGATGGCTGCAAGGGTCGATCGCAGCAGTGGTACGAATGTACCTGGTGGGAAGGAGATTGCCAGACGAGACAGGAGGGAGATGTAGTAGCTGCAAGGAGATGTCGATTCCTGTGTGTGCAAAGCGGGTAGAATTAGTACGGTCATTTAGCGACACCTGGTAGCTTGCTCGAGCCAGTTTCTCAACTACTCACCTTGAGGAGGATGGCTCCCCTGACGACGGCCTCAAAGAGTCCAGTCTGACTCATCGTCTGTGCGAGGAGATTCATCCCGTTGTAGGTCCTGGTCGGACCCTCAAGGCCCGACCCACCCTGTGACTGCATACTGCCCGTAGCCTCCATACGATCGCCTGCAAGCACACCTTGAATGATGACGTCTATAGTCTGTACGGGGAAGAGCACCATAGGGTCTTCTTTGAGTACCTTGGAGAAGGAGGTGAAGAGTGCCTGGCCGTACACTCGTACTACCTCTCGAGCAATGCCTCCGCTTCCAGCGCCGCCAGTGGGTTCGTGCCAGAGAGCATACTCCTCTACCACACGACACATGTCCGGAGCATAGTCTGGCAATTCAGTAAGTGGGCCCAACGTCCCTGGCCTGCCTTCGACGTCCAGCGCGACAGCCAGCAGATTGAAGAGGTCTCCCTGCATGGCTGCAGCACATCGTACAGCGCGATGCCAGAGGAGGAGGGCATCAGGTGCCAAGAGTGGAGCCAAGCCTGGTTGCAGACATCCAGTCACCAAGGGTGCGACCAGTGACTGGAGCTTGGCAGACAGAGCTGGGTCGCTAGCTGAGGTAGATTCTGTAGCTCGCAAGAGCGACTTGACAAAGGATAGGACAGCCGGTCGCGTCTTGCATTCGTCGTTGGCCTCTTTGGCCCACAGAGCTGGAGCCAGTTCGACGAGGGTTGGGACCAGGGGTGCCACGCGAGGTCCCGACCTCTCGATGAGGATCGAGAGTGACCTCGTGGAGAGAGCAATGGAGTCCATCAAAGCCAGTTCATCATTCGTAGCCAACTCTGCCAGCGAGCGTATAGCAGACTCCAAGTAGGGCTGGAAGACCTCTGCATCGAATGCAATGTCATCTACAAGAGCCCCAAGGGTCCGAGCAGCCGAGAGACGGACCGCAATGTCTCCGCCCAAGTGAGATTCGGGATCCAGCAAGAGTGTCAGAAGCCTGTAGACTCCGTCTCGAGAGGATGGGCTGAGTTTCTCGGAGTACTCGTAAAGCAGCCAAGAGACTCGTCGTCGAATCAGAACCCAAGAAGGTGAGACAGCAGGAGGCATTTGGGCCGCTTCGGGCAAGAGTCTATCGACGAAGGCCTTACTGATGTCGATGCGATCATCCTTGTGGCGTTCCGAATCTTCGTCCTCTCCCTCCTGCTCTGTAGCTGGCAGGTAGTCTCGCAGCCTTCCCAAAGCAGTGTACACTGCGTCTCTTCGAACGACCTGCGTCAAGTCTTGAACATCGAGATTGGAGCTCTGGAGGAATTGATGCCATACGGCCCTGCCGACCCTCCTGCCCTTGGACTCTTTTGCAAGCACCATCAGCAGCATTTCTGCACAGGGTCGTACCTCGCTGGTGTAGTCTGTCTGAGCTTGCTCTTCCTCCACGGTCCATTGCTCTGGATCTGATTCCCATCTCTCGAGGGCTGAGGGCTCAAAGGGCAAGAAGTAGTCGACGACGATCTGCGCAGTAGAGACTGCGAAGTCGTCGCTGTCAAACGGAGCAGGAGCATTCTTGCCAAAGTGCCATGCCTCGAGGGAGCGTCGGAGGAGCAGAAGTGTGTGGATGACTAGCGTAGGAGGGAAGGGCATGAGAGCCTCTTCCCCTATATCTCGAGACTTCTCCTTTGCGCTGGCCGGCGCCTGTCCCGTCTTCGTCCAATACCATGCAATGATGTCTGACCACCCTGCCCAAGACGTCACACGAGACTTGTCTTTGTCTAGCAAGCCTAGGTACAGCTTGCCAAAAGCGGACAGATGTTTGGTCATATTCTGAGCCAAGGTATGGAGGGGTCGCTTGAGCGAAGAGTCGAGGGAAGAAGAGCCCAAAACGTCGAGAAGGGAAGAGCGTACGGAGAAGACGTGGTCCAAATAGCCTCCCGTGGACTTGAACCAGTCGTAAGACAAATTTGACTCATTCTGTCCACCGTTCGTGGTCCGGCTGGAGAGAGTACCGACGTCTGCGATGGCCAGGGAGCTCATCATCTTGAAGAGCAGATGGCATACGCGAATCTGAGATGCTATGATTGTAGATGGCTTCGATGTCGCCGAGGCGTAGATGGCATCGGGCGAAGTCGACGTAGGAAAGGTTGCTGAGAAGAGGGAAGGGAAAAATGAGAGTAGCGAGGGGAGCAGTACCTTTGCAAGCTGTCGAGAGTCGGATTGTCTAGGTCAGCAGGACGGTCACTACATCTCCTTGCTATCAGCAACCACTCACCTCTGCCATTCTCATCTTTCCTGCCAGCATCTTGACAGCATTCAGCTCCTTGACAGACCTCTTGACGACCTCTGCGCTCCTAAGCATGATCAAGGCGTTGACTTCAAGCTCTCTACCCGTCACCGTCCCTCCAATAACACTCGTAGCAGCAGTGTTGAGCGCCTGCAAAGAATTGTCGAGCAAGTCTGGCCATTGATTGGGGAAGTCGGTTCGAGCAATGCGCGAGATACAGATGGTAGCCTGCAAGGCAATTGCTCGGTTCTCCTCGTACAGAACACGCTGGAGCAGCAAAGACTGCAGAGCTTTCTTGTCCTCGTCGCTGATCTTGACTGGAGTAGAGGTAGCTGCTCCTGCCTTGTTCGTACTCCTGATGACTCTGGCTGCTCTCCAATACTTTTCGATTGCATGCTTCAGTCTGATGATTGCGAGGGTGCGAATGGCTGTCATAGCAGCATCCGTCTGATGCGTAGAAGGCAGTAGGCTCGCGAGGAGACCCTGTTGATCTCCTGACTGCATTGCGATCTCAGCATAAGCTGTCCATGGGCGCGTCTGAGGCTGTGGATGAGCGTGAAAGTGAGCTTCGTAGGAGGATAGCTGTGATTCAGAGGTGGACAAGTCTGCAGCAGAGGACGAGGTGCCGAGTACGAGGAGGTGAGTGAGCGTGGGGAGAGCCAGTGGATCGCCAGACGACGATGAAGGCGTCGCCATGGTGACTCCAGCTGATGGGGAGGTAGAGAGGGAAAGGATGACAAGCTAGGACGAATAGGACGAAGGAATGGATCACAGTAGCAATGGCAAAGATGTTCGTCCGTTCCTTCTTCAGACCAACACCTCGCTTGCCGCGGCCCAGCTCCGCTCAGCTCTCCACGTCCGCACCGCAAAAAGTTCATAAAGCCCGGGCCTCGCAATGCTACGTCTTGCCTCTCTGACCTCGCTAGTTGTGCCAAGATGGCCAGCAATAGACTCACAAAGCTCGCTGTAGTACTGCTCGCAAGTCTACTTGCATCATCGGCCCTTGCGTACGACTTTGGCGGTTCAGAGTCTCACTATGGCCAAGGTCAACGCGTGCGCATGAGCAGCATCAAGACTCTCACCTTCTACGCAGGCAAGAAGACTGCCTACCGGCGTACCTCACCCCTTCCTCAGCTAACCTGCAAGGGCAGAGAATGCTCTCGGTACACACCAGACGTTATCTCCTGTCAAAGCTTAGGAGACGAGCAGTGGCGTTGCGAAGCAGACCTTCCACCTTCCATACGCATGGGCCGGGTGGAAGTCTCATGCGAAGGGTATGAGGCGCCAAACGACCCATACGTCCTCAAAGGCTCTTGCGCTCTGACCTATCAGCTTCTACCGGCTTCAAAGGCTTTCAGCTCGGAGGATGATGACCCAAGATACACCAAGGGTAGGCGAGCTCGAGGACTGACCTTCCAAGACATGCTAGACAAGATTTTCCCCATGGTATTTCTGGCCATTCTGGGTTACATCGTGTGGGGGTTCATTGCCTCTCTTCTAGGGTCGAATAGAGGCAGGCCAGTTGGTCCCATCGGTGGCGCCCCTGGAGCGAGACCATGGGGTGGCGGGGGCGGAGGAGGTGGCGGAGGCGGTGGAGGATGGTGGCCAGGCGGAGGCGGCGGAGGGGGTAGTATGCCCCCACCTCCCTATACCAAGCACGAGCCATCGGCATCTAGCAGTACCGATGCTTCGGGTTCCACATCATGGCGTCCTGGCTTCTGGACAGGTATTGCAACAGCAACTGCAGCGTCTTTGCTGGCCAACCGGAGTAGAGCGGGTAATGAGGATAGAAGGTATAGAGGCTATGATCCATATGCAGGCAACGGAGGACTAGGGGCTGGCTGGACAGGAGGTGGAGGAGGTGGATACGGAGGCAATGGCTATGGCTATGACGACAATGGGGCAGGATCCTCAAGACAAGCTTCCTCATCTTCGTTCCGAACCTCGACGGGATACGGCGGGACCAGGAATCGATAATGTCACTTATGTAGGTCACCTGTTACGGCTCACATCAAGACATACACCGCCGTCACTGTTCATAGTCTCACACAATGTCGAATTCTGTATATGGGCATCTCATTGATGAATGAGCAGCATAGCTCAAGAGGGTGTGATGGTACAAGTGATGAGGGGGCAGAGTGAAATGCAAGCCTTCCCAATCGCTGCTCGCGCTTAAGCAGTGGTGGTGGTGGGGAGGACCTTGATCTTCCTGGGACCCTCGAAGGCGAACTTCTCGTCGCGGGTCTGGAAGATACCGTGACCGAACTTCGACGAGGTGTCGATGAACTTGAGCGAGGTAGAGGCCTTCTCGAGAGCAGCACGGTGGGTGGGGGGAGAGAGCGACTTTCGCAGGGTAAGGACACGCTTCTTGGTACCAACGACACATCCCTTGAGGATCAGGAAGTCGTTGTTGACGATACCGTAGTGAGGGAAGCCACCCATGGGGTTGATGGTCTTCTTGGTGATGTCGGTGTCGGTGGAACCCGAGGTGTCGGAAGATCCGTTGCCAATTCGGTAGATCTTCTTGTTGAGCTCGGTACGGTGGTGGTAACCGTCCTGTCCAGCTCGGGGAACAGTGTAACGAACGTTGGCCGGGTGCCAAGCTCCGATACAGGCGATCTTACGCAGACCACGGTGGGTCTTTCGTGGCAGCTTCTTGGTTCCCCAACGAGCGGTGGTACCCTCGTAACCGTGACCCTTGGTGACACCGATGACGTCGATGCACTCGTCGGCAGTGAAGACGGAGGCAGCGTCAACAGTCTTCTCGAAGTGGTTCTTGGCAAAGTCGACCTTGTCAGCGACCGATCCACCGTTGACCTGGATCTCCATGAGGTGAGCCTTCTTCTGCTTGAGACCAGTCTTTCGGATCTGGGTGTGGGCGAGGACTCGAACAACAGTGCAGTACTTGCGGATACGCTCGAGCTCACGAGCGATACCCTGGCCGCCGTTCTCCGAGTGCTTCTTGGCGTACTTGGTGAAGGCCTTCTTCTTGGATCGGTACCAGTTCTTGTAGAACCGCCTCTTGATCTCGTCCGACAGGTGCTCAGCCCAGACGGTGGTCAGGGATCGCAGTCCTCGGGGAGTCTCGACGTAGCCGACGACACCGACGACGACCATGGGTGGGGTCTCAACAACGGTCACAGCCTCAACAACCTCCCTCTTGTGCATCTTGGATCCGGGCTTGTCAAGGTCACGTACGACGTGGGTCATACCAGCCTTGTAACCCATGATGGCAGTGAGGTGGACAGGCTTCTTGGAGTCGTCCTTGGGGAAAGCCTTGCACTTTCCACGGTGGCGGGCAGCCCTCTTGCGGGGCAAGAAACCGAGAGACCCATGACGGGGGTGCTCAAACTTACAGTCTACGAGGAGGGCAAGGGAAGAAGACGAAGGTGGATCACAGCAGAGTGAGCGGAATTGACTTTTTGAAAAGAGCTTCCAGACAGACGATCTGCCTGAAGCAGCTGTATGATGAAGCGAGTGTCATCACTGCCGAGTGTGATGCTGATGATACTTACGAGACATTGTGACTTGAGGGGATGGCGGGAGGAGGATGAACGGTAACAGGAGGAAGAATCTCTCGCACGCGGGCGCCTCTTGTGTGGCCCAGGGTGGATTTTGCGGGCGGGCTGGCGGAGCTTGAATGGCTGCGGAACTCGTGCAGCGCCAGGGCGCCAACCCGAATTTTGAACTTCACATCCACGACCTTCCCCCTCATCGAACCCACACCCCTCAACAAGTAAGTATAGAACCAAGGGTACACTTTCTTCCATAAATCTCCTACTCACACGACCCCGATCATCATCATCAACCTTTGATCACCCTCAGAAATGGTCCGCTACGCATTCGACGACTCCAAGGTTCCCGAGAAGACTTCCAAGTCTCGCGGAGAGTACCTCCGAGTGCACTTCAAGAACACTCATGGTTAGTGTTGCCGATCATCAGAGCCTCGAGGGCATATAAGGAGAGGTTGGACGCGCCAGACTGGAGAAGCCAAGAGTCCAGGGCAGGCAGAGTAGGCAGAGCAAGGTGGATGATCACGGTGAATCCGGGTTGGCGGTGAGGGGTCAAGCGCCTCATCGAATGGCCAATTGGCAACCGACATGCCTTCCTTTTAATGGCCAAGGCGGCTGTTGAAGATGTACGAGAGGTACACAACGACGTTGAGGCGAAGCAGAGGGGGAATATGGTGGGATCAAGGCAGACAGGCCAAGCAGTGTTGTCGGGCTTGGGGGACTAGCACATTACAGAGGGAGTACGTCAACTCACATGCGCAACCCTTTTTGCCTTTCAACCTACAGAGGTCATTGCCGCCATCAACGGCATGAAGCTGTCCAAGGCTTACATCTACCTCAACAACGTTACCGAGCGAAAGCAGTGCATTCCCTTCAGGAAGTTCAACGGTGGTGTTGGCCGAACACAGCAGGCTGGAGAGTTCAAGACTACCCAGGGTGAGTAGAAGCATGCACATGGAGGGAGTAGTAGCAGGACAGCAGTTCTCAGCTGGAGGGAGAGAAGGGCGGAGAGGACGCATCGGTCGAGGCTTAGGGATCTGGCTGGGTATGGACTTTGGCATGGGCTGGTGTTCATGAACTTGCAGAGGAAAAGTGGGATGGGCGCAGGATGGAGTTGTGATCTCTCCTCGCCGTTTGAGCAAGCGCTGACCTAGCAACCATAATGGCTACTTCTGTCATAGGTCGATGGCCCGTCAAGTCGGTCAAGTTCGTCCTGAGCCTGCTGAAGAACGCCGAGGCCAATGCCGAGGGCAAGGGTCTGGAGACTGAGGACCTTGTCATCCGCAACATCAACATCAACCAGGCCCCCAAGACCCGCCGTCGTACCTACCGTGCTCACGGTCGTATCAACCCTTACCAGGGCCACCCCTGCCACATTGAGATCCACCTGATGGAGCCCGCTGCCGAGGTGTCGAAGGCGGACTCGTCTGCCCTTGTGCGCCCTGCCAACAAGCGTCAATTGGCCCAGCGCCGAATTGCTGCTGGCCGTGCTTAGATGGAGCGGTTGGGTTCGACATGATCATTGAGACTGTACTTTAGCAGTCAGGCTGGTGTTGTGCGAGGCCGAGTGACGAGCGAGGGTCAAAGCGAGTGGGATTCGAGGCAGACATTGTGTAGATGGGCAGGGGCGAGCAGGCGTCCTCTCAATGGCTCGCTACTCTCCCGAGCCGTTTCCCATGCTACCTGGCTTTCCATTCTCTTGCCCATTATGGGTCTCTTGTGTACATTGCACTCTCCTTCATTCTTTCTCTCTCACACACCAAAACCACCTGCATTTTGACACACGCAACCACGGGAGTGAATGGTGTGGAGAGCGTCTGCTGCAACACTGCAACGTCAGAGTAGCTTGCAGTGTGAGTACTTCATGTAGACGTCGTGTGAGATTCGCGAGGGCTATCCTTCTTCCCGTGGTCAGGCGGGCCTCGGCGGCGTCGTGTTGAGGCTGTCTGCCAGGCGAGGGCAGCCGCGGAGGGTGGGGTGCGATGGCCGGGGATCAAAGGCGGCGCGCGCGGTGAGGCAGCGAGGTCCGTCAGTGGCGGCAACTCAAGGCGGGCCGGGCAAGTCATTGGCATTTGTCAGGCGCAGGGCGGATCCCACTGCCAAGTTGTGCCGCCCTGCCACGCCTGCCTGCAATGCCTGGATGAACGTCAGCCAGGGCTTCTTCCCCAGCCACTCAGGGTCACACACCTCGTCGTCCTGACTCCTCCTTACCCATCACCATCCACCCTCTGTTGGTGAGATACCTCTGAGATTCACAACACACACACCTTCATCACTCTACCCACGCATTCAACATGGACCGCTCTCTATCTGCCCTAAAGCAGTTCAGGTCCTCCTGCCCTTACCTGGGTAGGACCCCAACGGGCCAACTGCGAAAGATGTCTCACACCTCTTTCCTCCCCGGTGGACCCACTCGCCTCGCCGTACGAGCGCAGGAGTGCCCAGTCATGAAGGAGGCAATTGAGACGGCCACTGCCACACCCGATGTTGCGGAAGAGGCCGCCGCCGCTGGTTGCCCTCATGCTGCATCCCTCAAGACGGCCGCTCCCACCACCAGCGCTGCTGGGTCTTACCTCTTTGGTACTGGCCCTCACAGCTTCCTCAGTTCCGGCATGGCTCACACCATTGCCGCTGGTGGCGCAGCCCGAGGTTGCCCTCACATGATGGCCATGGCCAACAGCACACCTGCTCAGGCTCGCTTCGTCAGCCGATCTGCCCATCAGGAGGCTTCCGTACGAGACGTCACTCCCAAGGACCAGCTCGACCGTATCCATGCAAAGGAGGGGGTACACACCGCTGGCATGGGAGACGTGTCCAGGTGTCCTCATGCCCGAGCAGCAGCTGCCTCGGCCGCTGCCGATCAGGCAGCCGCCTTTGTTGCTCAGGGTCGAGCACCTTACCGACAGCAGAGCATCAAGAAGCAGGTACGAACGCCAGGATCTGGTCTGGGTATACCACCCACTCCCCAGCCCAAGACTGGGCCAGGCTTCGATTACGAGGCCTTCTATCACAAGCAGATCATGGCCAAGCATGCCGACAAGTCCTACCGATACTTTAACAACATCAATCGTCTGGCTGGAAAGGCGCCGAGGGGTCATCTGTCGGAGGAGGGCCAGGAGATCACCGTCTGGTGTGCGAACGACTATCAGAACATGAGTCGTCACCCTGATGTTCTTGCTGCCATGCAGGTCACTCTTGAGAAATATGGTGCCGGAGCTGGTGGCACGCGAAACATCGCTGGTCACAACCAGCACGTTGAGCGAGCCGAGGCAGTCATTGCCGATCTTCATCGCAAGGAGGCTGCCCTCGTCTTTGGGTCCTGCTACGCTGCCAATGACGCTACGCTATCCATTCTCGGATCGCAGCTACCAGATTGCGTCTTCCTGTCGGACTCTTCCAACCATGCCAGTATGATTCAGGGCATTCGCCACTCTGGCGCTAGGAAGATGGTGTACAAGCACAATGACATGGCCGACCTCGAGGCAAAGCTCGCATCGCTGCCCATTGACACTCCCAAGATCATTGCCTTTGAGAGCGTCTACTCCATGTGCGGTACGGTTGGTCCCATTGAGAAGACGTTGGATCTGGCCGAAAAGTACGGTGCAATGACCTTCCTCGACGAGGTTCACGCCGTTGGCATGTACGGCCCACGAGGAGCCGGTGTTGCAGAGCATCTGGACTGGGAGCTCCAGGAGCGAGGTGGCAATACAAAGGGCTCTCTCATGGACCGCATCGACATCATCACCGGTACCCTCGGCAAGGCCTACGGCAACGTAGGCGGCTACATTGCCGGTTCGAACCGCTTCGTGGACCTGATCCGCTCATTTGCGCCCCAATTCATCTTCTCCACCACTTTGCCTCCCGCTGTCCTCACGGGTGCAACTACGGCAATTGAGATCCTCATGGCCTCGAACCATACTCGCAAATTGCAGCAGGTTCGAACTCGTCAGACCAAGGACGCCTTGATTGCTGCTGGGATCCCGCTGCAGCACAATCCATCGCACATTGTTCCCGTCCTGGTCGGATCGGCAGAGAAGGCTAAAGCCGCCTCGGACATGCTCCTAGAGGAGCACGGCTGCTATGTCCAACCTATCAATTACCCAACTGTCCCCCGTGGATTGGAGCGATTGCGCATCACCCCCACTCCTGGTCACTCGGCAGAGGATGTAGAGCACTTGGTAAAGGCACTCGACGACGTCTTTACCAAGCTCAACCTACGACGTGTGGCCGACCTTCGGGCTGCCAAACCAGGAGAGGATGCACTGGCGGACCTCTTTGTACAGGCAGAGAGGGACGAGGCGAGCATTCCACTTTGGACTGATGAGCTCCTGGGCGTACAGAGTGTCCTTGCCGGTGAGGAGGGAGCAAAGGGGGAGAGGAAGAGTGAGAAGATGGACGTCGCTGCCGGAGTCGCAATCAAGGGAGATGGAGGAGCTGCTGCTAGCGCTTGAGCTTGAGCTGAGTCGTTGTATTGCAATGAGCGGTGCAGCCTTTCTTCAGTTGTGGCGCGCCGATCGATCGATCACACCTCTGTCTGTGCGAAACCTTTCTTCTATTCTCTTTGAACTATCAAACCCCTCCGTGTTGGCCCTACCAACCCGCTTCTTCTTGTTCCTTTATGTTTCGTTCTCGACAAGCGTGACTTTCTGATCTCTGATAATTCTCGTGGGGTTTTGTCCCTAAGTACAGACATGACAATCTACAACGTCAAGACTACAAGAATACACAGTCAAGATCAAGATCAATAGGCGCCCGCCCGCCCGCCAGCATCGCGGTCCATCTCGAGCTCACGCCTCAAGAACGAGAACTCCCCGCAACCAGGCTCGACGAGCATGTACTAGCCTCGCTCCTTCAGTGTCATCATCCTCTCCCTCACCATCACCATCACCATCACCCTCGCCCTCGGCCCCTAGCTTATCGATCCCCGCCACCACTCCACTGAACTCTTCTCCGGTCTCTCCTTCGGCTCGGTCTTGAACTTGAGGTAGAACCTGGGATTGGAGTTGGGGTAGAAGAGGAATTTCCTCTTGTACTCGCTCAGGCTGATGCTGATGCTGGTACTGCCTAGAAGTGCTGCGACGCAAGTCGTACCGGATTAAGTAGTCTTGCAGACGTGGGTGAGCGCCTGCTCCAACTCCTCCTGTCCCACTGCTGCTGCCGCCGCTGCCGCTGTCGTTCTGATTTGAAGTTGGAGAGATAGGGAAAGAGAACAGCGCTCGTGCTAGGGAGCGACGCTTCTTCTTCTCCTCTTCATCGTCATCAGCTTCGAGTTGCTCTTTCGCCATGCTTCCCTCAGCCTCAGCATGCTCCAGTCGCACCTCACGCCAGAGAAAGGAGCACAGATGGTCCAGTGCGATTCGGAACATCAGTGGCTGCGTCTTTGGCGCTAGACCAGGGGCACCCTCAGCTCCGCCGGCTGCGCCAGAGGGGAGTAGTGCGTTAAGATAGCACTGGAGCATAAGTGCTTCGTCCCGCTTTGCCTGGGAGGAGCGCTGCTCCCATGCGGCTTGTTCCTCTAGGTGGGCTTCTGCATCTGCATCTGCGTCTGAGCCTGAGCCTGAGCCTGCTGCGGAGAAGGAGCGCCGATCAGAGCGACGAGGAGGAGGGGAAGAGAGGTACGCCTCTATCCCACCGGGCGCTTCCGCCACGCGCATCCGCATTGTAGGTAGAAGATGGGCGTAGTCCTGCCATAGCAGCCTGCGGTAGTCGACGGCATAGAGCGGCTCTTTCCCAACATCGCCGCTAGGAGATGCGATGGTGACAGTGGGAGGGAGGAGTGAGAGGGCGAATGATGGGTCGCCATAGGAGATGGAGTCGTACAGGCCTACAAGGTCCGTATAGAAGGAGTAGTACGTTGTCTCCTCTCCCAAGTGCTCAGAGGCGAGTCGCTCCAGCGTGACCTCTTGCTCAATTCCCGATGGAAGCTTGTTTGCGAGGAAGAGGAGACGCGCAAGAAGAGGAGCAATGCTCTTGTCTCGGAAGAGATCCTTGCCCGTGACCGCCCCAGTCCACTTCTTGAGATCGCCCTGTATCCCAGACTCGAGCATGAAGACCTTCTGAGCTGCAAAGTATACATGTGTCGCACTGAGCGTCTTCCCTGTCTCCACCGTTGGCGGCGCGGTCGCTTGCGCGGGCACTGCCTTCGTGATCCCTTCCAGGATCCAGTTGGTGAATTCCAGCGTAGCCTGCACGACTTGGCGCTCATTTGGGTCCCAGTCGGCGGGAAGATTGTCGGAGCGGTTGAAGACGGAAGATTCAGCGCTGCGCAGGAGGTCGTCCAGAGGCAATAGAGGCCAGTCTAAACGCAGGGGCAACCCAGAGGCGGGACAGGTCCAGAGAGGCGTGTTGGTGACGGGATCTAGCTCAACGTTTACTTCCTCTTTGGCGGAGGCCTTTCCGTCGCCTTCCTCTGTATCGCCTTCTTCTGACACGTCTTTGCTTTTGGCATCGAAGCGATGCGTGCTGCGAGGAGGCGGGCGTAAAGACATGGTCCTCTTCAAGTGCTCCGGGCGCGTCTGGCTTGGTGGGTGCATAAGGAGACGCTGCGACTCGAGATTGGGATTAGGTCGGATGCCGAGACACTCCATGTAGAACGGCTTGAGACAGCCTAGCAAGCTGCCCCGGTCTGTATCACCTCTGGCGGCGGAGAGTAGGCAGGTGTCGATGAGCCTGCAGGCGAAGGACTCTTCTCCAGGCCGTACCGCCGATAGTAGAGCAAGGGTGAACGGAAGGTCAATGTCGCTAGGGCTGTCCTCAAGTAGAGCAACAACAAAGGAGAGGACTTGCTGACGCTGCTCTTGACTTGCAATGGAGAGAGCTTTCATCAGAGACGCACGTTCGCGGAGCTTTTCCTGACCGATTCGTCTGACTGTGTGCTCGAGCTCAGAAGTGCTTGTCACCGCGGACAGGTGAAGGAGGCGGGCAGCAGCCTCGCAGGAAGTTGCAAAGGACTCTGCAGCCCGGGCTCCGTCATCATTATCGTCGTCAGCATCGGCATCGGCCTGGTATGCACTGAAACCGCTCTGCACCTGGGCTACGAAGTCATCACTAGCCTCGGCAAAGGTTCTGCCGATCTGCTCAATCACGCTCATTCGACTCTCCGGCGCATTGCGCATAGCACCCTCTAGCCAAGCTTCAAGATGACTCAAGACCCCACAGAGCGGTCTAGCCTGGCTACTCGATCCATCGGAACGACTGCTGCTCAGCGCGGATAGAGCATCGAGACTGAGCTCGATCCATCCCTCTGCCTGGCTCCAGGTCACCTCGTGCTCAGGCGTCGTCTGGTGAGGATCAGTGGCGCAGACCGTCCACATCGCGAGCAAACGGTAGAATCGCTCCGCCACTTGCTGCTCCTGATACGTGCGCGACGCTGACTTCAGGAACCAAGCGTGGATGGGTTGAAAGACTTCCCACGCCCTCGAGACTAGGCTTGCGTGGAAGCCATATCGGGCCAGATCTAGGAAGATTTGAAGACTTGTAGACAGAAGGTCGTAGCCAATAGACAAAATTTCTTCATCGGCGTCTCCAGATTCTGACAGCGTCCAAGGTGGGACTGCGACGAATCTGAGCAGAACATCGAGCGAACCTGTTTTAACAAGTCGCTCAGCATTGGCCCTTGAAGAACGTACAAGCTGCAGCAGTAGCTCTCCAGCAGCCGGACTCGGCAGAGCGACGCCATGCACCTCGCTGCCGCCTTCGCTGGCAGGCCATCTCATCTTGAGGCCAGTCTGAAGGAGGGTCTCTAGCAGTCTCCCTCTGTCAGCCTGCATGAGCGCCGTGGAGCCTTCAGCGTCTGCTTCGCCTAGCTGCAGCAGTATTTGCAAGATGAGCTCGCGGCTGGCTTTGCGCTCCTCCTCATCTCCTCTCAGTACATTGGCGAAGCCTGAGAATAGACCGCTGTCGATGATACTGCGCGCCGTGGAGATGCCTCTCTTATCCGATGTTGCGTGCGAGGGCTCGCTCAGAGGAGGCCCGAATAGAAGAGAGATGCGCAACGTACTCAATGCGGCAGATCTAACGCTCCTCTGCCTATCTATGAGCAAGAAGATCGAGATCAGAGCGACATTGCTGTGGAAGTCGACCTTGGATAGCCATGAAGCCACCACACTACCATCTGGTATGACATTAGGCATGAGCTTGAGTCGATTCTCGGTCAGTTCTTTGATTGCGTTCCGGGGCGGATACAACGAACAGACTCGGCTCAAGAGATTCAGAGCTACTGTCCTTTGACTGGGTATAGTGCTTCTGGCCATCAGCAGAAGCGAGCTTGGATTGTAGCCCTCGTTCGATGGGTCATGATGATCGAGGCCGTACTGCGCGTGTGCATGGCCATGATGCGAGTCGACAGGGTGCCTAGGTATAGGCAATGCCTTACCAAGGGAGTCGAAGAAGATCATGTCGGCTTGAGACTTGCGTGTGGGTACTCGCGGCTCTTCCAGGTTCTGGGCAGGGACAGTAGAGGCAGATCGATCCGCTTCTTCTGCGTCAAGCCTCACACTACTGCTCTTAGCAGGCCCAGGTAAGCTCGGGCCAGCCGGAAGAGACGATGCTGACGCTTTTCCGGTCTTCCTCTGTCGCAAGCCCTCGAGCAGATCTTTCCCGAACATTGCTTCGAGATCCTTGACATCCTGCTCAATTTCCTCCTCTTTCATCGCTCTGATCCTCTCACTGTTCTCCTGCGAAATGGACCGCAAGAGCGAAGGCAAGTCGCCTTCGCCAGATTCGGACGAGTCTTCTGCATGCTCCTCACCACCCTGACTGGCAGGTCTAGCTATACTATCTTCCTCTGGTGGCGCTGGACCCGCCCTCTTCTGCTTGACGCTGCCGCCAGGAGGCTTAAGACCTTGCTTCTTCAGCCTGGCTTTCCTGAACGCGCTCATAGGTTTTCCATTCTCATCGAGCCATTCCTCACCCTCTTGGCTGCCCGATATCGCCTCTTCGTCTCTTGCAGCAATCTGAGATGCCTCATCCCGTTTCTTTGTCGAGCTACCAGTGGTGGGTCTGATGATTGGGGGAGCTACGGGCCTACCTGAGCCCGATGGATCTGAAGAAGTCGCCTGAGCCACCCTTCTCTCTGCTGCTTTGATGGCCTTGAACCGAGAGGCTCCAGATGGTACAGAAGCAGCGGAGGTGCTTGGTTCAGCATTTTGTGAACCTGCCTGCCGACGTGGTCGTTCCTGCACAGACGCAACCATGGGCATCCGGGGCACGGCAGGGTAGGAGCCGTTTTGGCCACGTCCATCAGCGTAGTCTTCTCCGTCCAAGGGCAGGCGGAAGCGCCCAGCGGGAACGTCTGCTTCTTCCTCTCCATCCTCAGCTTGACCATGCCCACTTTCTCTGCTGGTGCTCGATCTGCTGGCTTTGAATCGCGAGGGTCCAGGTGACAAAGAAGCTGCAAATGTCTGACCAGGTACCTCCCTCTCCTTTGGCGCTGGCTGGAAGTACCTCACATCTTCCTCCGTGGGCTGGGCAATCCTCACTGTCTTCTTGACTTTGGATTTCTCTGAAGCTGATGGAGACAAAGTTGTTGTCGAAGCCGTCGCATCGCTCGGTCCTTTGCCCTTTCCCTTGCCGCTGCTGAGCGTGGGAGGAGCTACACCTCGAGAGACGTTGGCGGAAGGAGGCCATTCGAGGGCTTCAGCGTCGTAAGTGGCCAAGTCTCGCGCAGACGGTCGGATCTGCTCACGTCCGAATGTAGACGGAGGTGGAGATGAGCCTGACATGGCCCTTGGTAGCATACAAAGCCGGAGAGGACTGCTCTAGACTTCAGGAAGGTGAGCTGAGCGGAAGGAGCAAAAAGTGCGTCTGAGCCAAATTCCGTGTGGAGCTCCCCTTCGCCTCCTCTTCCGTCCATCGCAGCCTTCAGACTCCCGATCTCGCCCATACGCACTGCCTGCCTGACCATCGTCATCGCCTAGGACCTGAATCTACACTTTCAGCGACCTCCCTCCGCTCGTCTCTCGGATTTGAACTTTGGGGAATTCACTCGGCTGACAGCGTTCAGATAGCAATAGGGCCGATCGGAATCGAAACCCAAACCGCCCTCTTCCCGTCATGTCGATGAAGCCTTTGGTCGGCCCTGCTCTCGGTAAGTGGCGACGATGCAGTTGATGCGAACAGGGCAAGAAATTCTGCCGTTGTAGCTTGACGATAGGACGGCAATCAGAACTTCGGCTGACAATCTGAGCGGATCTCGACGTCCCTCCATTCCTGTCCCGGCAGCGAGCTGCTGCACAGTCCTCTCAGTCTTTGGAGTGCTGATGCTCGCAGTGATTGGTCTCGGTGAGTTTCAGCGGCCTTTGTTACATGCTCGACGATCATCCTTATTCTCTGCTAACGATCTCACCCGCATTTCTGGTCACTACAGGCTTTGCAAATCAGTGGGAGGCTTTCGAAGGCTCAAAGAACGACCCGGAGGACTACATGGGAGTGGCAACGGCATGCTACGGAGCAGCACTGGTGTATGCTGCCTTCATCGTGTTTTGTGGAAGTCAGATCTTTGCCAATAGGAGGTACAGCAGGATACAGATCTAAGACGATGGGAAGGGCCGTGGTAGGCCGACCTGTGCCGTGGAGGCGACGGGAGGTCATAGGGCCCATTCTTCATGCTGTGTGGGATTGATATCGTCCCGTTGCGACGTTTAAGGCCTGTAATGACGATCACATACCATTCATCGTCGTCCGTCGTCGTCGATGCTCGCCTTGTATCCACCACCTTGGACGTCCGTGGCGATGACTGCCGGGCCGGAGCGGGGGCAGGGCTGGCTGGATCCACCCGACGGGCGAGTCGCGCCAGGCACTGCGTCTGTGTGGTGTTGGACCCGACGACTGGCCGAGTGCTTCGTGCGCTCCTCGTCTTGCTACTCCTCCTCCCTCTACCCCTCCGTGTCATCATCCAACCATCACTCGTCATCTCTACGCTGCCAGCTCAAGGCCATAGATTCCGTTGCAGTACCAGTCCTTCCGTCCTCTTTCCTCGCTCCTATTTACCTCCCCGTGCTTGATCCCCAGTTGCCTTAGCCGACAATGGTAAGTGGTAGCAAGCAGTCCACAAGACTGAAGCGGCCTTAGCAACAGCAACCTCGACCTCTATATTAATGCATGTCCAACGGACACCTTGCCTTCGCCCGATTGCTCATCTGCGAACAGGACTTGGACGAGCTGTAAGTCAAAGCAATGCTGGAGAAGACCGAACCAAGATGCACCAGACGAGCTGACCTTTGCACTTGACTACTTTGCCCCTCCAAACCTATGCTATCTCCTACACCTCGCTCTCTGATTCTTCATCGACGCTCTCAACACTTCTGCTACTGCTGCTGTGCATCACTGCAAACACGTACGCTATGCTCTCTCGCGTGGTCCCCGACAATGCTCCTCCTTGGCTGCGCTCCACCTCACTGAACAACCTCGACATCGACTTTCAACTGCTGCGAAATCGCCTCCTGCGTTCCTACTCTTCAATCGCCCGTGCGAACGTCGCTCTTTCTGACGACTCTTTTGGCCGATGTAGTGGAAACAAGATCTCGAATCTGACTTTCTACGACCTCAAATCAGCATGGACGTGAGTAGGATTGATCTAAGCGGGGACTCATTGCTACTCCTGCGACTTTTGCTCATAGACCATTGCTGCCTCCTATTCCCACCACAGCCAAGCCAAGAATTATGCTCTCAACATCTCGGACATCGAGGCGAAAGTAAACGAGGCTACCAGTGATGACCCATGGGGAGCCTCCTCGACTCTGATGCAGGAGATTGCAGGAGCCACCCAGAATTTCCAGGACTTCAATGAGATCATGCCGGCCATCTTCCGAAATTTTATGGAGAGGGAGGCTAGGGAATGGAGACAGATCTACAAGTCTCTCACCCTGCTCGAGTACCTCACCAAGCATGGCTCTGAGCGTGTCGTAGACGATGCCAGGGCGCATTTGGGTACGATCAAAATTCTGCGGAACTTCCACTACATCGATGAAGCCGGCAAGGACCAGGGTCTGAATGTGCGCAATCGAGCCAAAGAGCTGTCAGAGCTACTTTCTGACGTAGACCGCATCCGACAAGAACGTCGCAAAGCGCGAGCAAATCGCCAAAAGTATCAAGGCGTCAGCAATTCGGACTTTGTCCCAGGCTCTGGCGGAGGTCGTTATGGAGGCTTTGGTAGTGATAGCTTCAATGCCGGTGGAGGAGCCGTTGGAACTAGTAGTGGAGCTGGCGCATATCCCGGTGGCGCAGCAGCACGGGAGAGCTTCGACGAGTACGATGCCGGTGACGACGACGTTGCAGGTTCTGCCCCCCGACGGTCCACTGCGTCAAGATCATCTGCATCTGTGCAGAGCAGCAGCCGAGGAGCGGCAGCCCCGCCAAAGAAGAAGGCGCCCGAGGCCAAAGTAGCGGACCTCTTCAGCTTCGATGATGACGAGCCAGCTGCTGCTCCCGCTGCTCCGCAGACTGCAGACGCCTTCGGCGATGACTTCGACGAGTGAGTACTAAAGAAAGGCTCAGGCGCTCGGTAGACTGCTTACTGATACCGTCGCGTCACTCGCCTCTGCTTCATCAGCTTCCAAGGCGCTCCTTCCGCAGCTCCTGCCAAGCAAGCAGCGTCGAGAGCCGCTCCACCTCCTGCCCCGAAGGCATCGGGAGGGGACATTTTCGACTTCCTAGGTGGAGACAACGGCAGCAGCAGCTCGGCTCCTACCAGCTCCGTCACGTCTCCTTCTGCTCGCCCTTCGACAAGCAGCGTCCTCTCGCCTTCCTCTCTCCGACCCACAATGCAAACCGCGTCTTCTAGTGCATCCCTGCCTGCAGCCCAAGCCACCCTTCCCTCACAGCAAGGCGCTCGTCCCTCAACATCCAGCAAACCAGCGACCTCGTCTGGTCTTTCGGGTTTCGACGATCTCTGGGCCTCGAGCGCAGGGTCATCCAAACGCTCAGCTGCTGGAAACGGTAAGAAGACAATGGCCGATCTGGCCAAGGAGAAGACCGGAGCTGGCGTTTGGGGAGGTGGAGCATCCTCCGGTGGCGCACAACAGCAGCAGCAGCAAAAGAAGGACGTCTTTGACTTCCTGTGACGTGTTCGTCGGATGGCGATCGTAGTTCCCATCGATTCGCCTGACCTCTTCTCGCCGGCCCGCTCCCTGTGTCCTTGTCGCTCTCGTTTCTCGTCCTCAACTACAATTTATTGCTCGTGCAATGAACCGATCCGAATTCGCAGCTCGTTTTCTTGGTGAATGCACCCCTGTCTGTGCGCGATGAGGGCCGGGAGCGGCGGCTGTACCCCTTTCGGGGCTCGGGAAGTGACCACCCCTATCGATGCGCGATGCGCTTGCGCTCTTACAACTCGCGACCCGGGGACCCCTATTTCCATCCGTACGCCGACGCCAAGAACTCAATAAGGTCAAGGCGGTGCATGGTAGCTCCGGTTGGGCAGGAGGAACGTGCCGTGAAGCAGACCTTGATTTGGTCAATTAGGAGTTGGATGTTGGGCGCTGCGTTTGTAGCTCCGGTCGTACGGCAATGAGCTGCCGGGGAGCAGCCTTTCATCAATCAAACCATGAAATGGGAGTGGACGGAAGCAAAAGTGTGGCTCGGATCTCGTCGGAGGTTCGAGCGAAGGCGTAAGATGAGCCGCAAGAGTGGATTGTGGGCGTTTGAGCAGACCCGTCGCACTTGCAGCCGCCGGAATTCAGAGTACAGGAGAACTTTTTGGTCGGGTGTGAATGATGATCCATATTGTATGAGATTTAGGGGTGGAAGCTCGGATCTACTCGAAGCGGGCAAAGCGCAACTCGATAGATGGGAGAAGCGGGTGTGACTAGGATGGTACGACGTTGCTCGGGCTTCAGCACTAGCAGTGTCAATGCTTGGCCCCTCATCTGAGGCAGTGGTACTACCCTTCGAGAAAGAGATATAAGACGGGCATCTAGAATCCGTTCTCAACATTCCTATCCTCACAACACTCTACACTCTCTCACTCCCACTCCCACTCCTACTCCCACTCCTACACACTCCTTCTCTCGACTTCTCACTTACTACCGTCTACCGGTCCAACACATTCTTTACACTCTAATCGCCTCACCTTTTCCACTAATCAGCGCAATGCGTTCCTTCATCTCTACCTCCCTCGTGGCCCTCGCCCTGCACGCTGCAACTATCAGCGCCGCTGTTACCCCCAAGCAGCGTCTCCCCTCGAGCACTGGCGGCTCCCTCATCGATCTCAGTGACTTGACTGCTGACGTCGATGTCCTGAGCCTGGACCAGGTCGTTGGCAAGAAGCACTCCGGTCGCTCTCTGCTCGACCTCAGCGGTCTCAACCTGGACGCTAATGTCCTCAGTAGCTCGACGTCCAGCTCTTCTGGTTCGAACAAGAAGCCGGCCACGAAGTCGTCGGGCGACTCGCTTCTTGATCTGAGCGGCATCAATGTCGACGCCAACGTCCTCAGCACCGAGACCACCACTTCTTCTTCCCAGACGCAGCACAAGAAGCATGCCAAGAAGCACTCCGGTCGCTCTCTGCTGAATCTGAGCGGACTCAACCTGGACGCCAATGTCCTCAGCAGCAGCACGTCGAGCTCCTCTGGCTCGACTAAGAAGCAGGCAACAAAGTCTTCCGGAGACTCGCTCCTCGACCTGAGCGGCATCAATGTTGATGCCAATGTCCTGAGCAGTGAGAAGACCACGACAGCTTCGTCTCCCAAGAAGCACCACAAGAAGCACGGCAAGAAGCACTCTGGCCGCTCTCTTATCGACCTCAGCGGTCTTGACATTGACGCCGACGTCTTGAGCGGTGACATTGAGAGCTTCCCCCATGGCGAAGGCCTCCTGTCCAGTATCCTTCGCCGAGGTGACTTCTCCGACGAGGCCGTTCTCGCCGCCGTTGGCGACTACGCTAAGCGCGAGGTAGCCGTCGTTGGTGATAATTCCCTCTACGTCCGCGCTCTTGGTCTCCAAGCCCGCAGCAGTGACAAGGAGTGCTACAAGGTCTGCACCACTACTACCACTACCAAGACCACCAAGAGCTCGCACGGCCATAAGGCTACCTCTACTGCCGATTGTGATGATGATGGTGACGACACCTCGAGCAAGAAGAGCCACAAGACTACTCACAAGGCTAAGCACTCGGCCACGACTGTCTCTGCCCCGAAGACCCATCACCACAAGGCCACTTCCACCGCCGACTGCGACGACGATGACAATGACAAGCCTTCGACTCATAAGAGCACGATGACCACTCACAAGGCTAAGCACTCGAGCCAGAGCACCGCTGCCACGAACACCCACCATCACAAGGCCACCAGCACCGCTGACTGTGACGATGACGACAACTCTTCGAAGGGCAGCAAGACTACTCACAAGGCCAAGCACACCAAGGCCACCTCGACTGCACCTGCCGCCACTAGCACCTCTGGCCTGACTTGCCCTCCCGGTACCTACCAGGCCACTCGAGCCAAGAGCAGCAAGAGGTCCCTGATCGACGCTTCCAACGTGACCCTCAAGCTGTGCATCCTGGACCTCTTCGGAGATTGCAACCCTACTGACACTGTGCCAACTGCCGACTGCTCGGAGATCTACTGTGCATCCAACGTGACCCAGACTAGCTCGCTCACCACTGCCGACAAGGACTCTGACTCGCTCATCGACCTCAGCGGAGACAACATTCTGCTCGACATTGGAGGTGGACTCCTCAGCCTCCTCGGCCTGATCCTGTAAGAGGCTCTAGCTATATCTGATTTGCTCGCGAATGATTCCGGTCTCTCGTGTCCTCCATTGGCCACATTGTCAGGCTCGCCCTCCCCTCCCCTAATCCTTGTCTATCTTTTACTCTTGGTACACCTTCCCCTCCTGTCTAGATTTCTTCATCACCTTTCTTTCTCATCACTCCTTACTTTTACCATTCACGGTCAATCCATTATACTTTTCACTCTCTTCGGAGCATTGACGATCTGCCAAGATGTACGCCAGACGCGTGCCTGTACGCCCTCTTGACGCCCAAGGGCCCTCCGCATCGCAGGAACGGAAGTGACAAGCTCAGGCACGCGAGTCGTGAGATCCCGTTGCAGAAGAGCAATATTTGTGTCCTCGGCTTCACTGCCAGCCTCGAAAGGTAGGAGAGCGTCAGTGTTCCCCTCTTCATGCATTGCTGACCCTCCGTACTGATATTGAACCCCTTTTGCAGTGTGGGACCTGCCTTGTTATGAGCCACGCGGGGATTTTTAGGGCATGCAAGGGGCCGCCAGGGAGATTTCGCACCTCGGAGCCAGGTCAGCTCTCGGGGCTTTGGCCTCTTCCCCTGCCCCGCGCTACCTCTAGTAAGTTCCGAGGCCCGATGCGAAAGCCGAAGACGGGTAGCATAAGCTCGAGTATCATGGCGTCTGAGGTAGGAGCGCTCTCACGTCGGCGCGGATGATAGCAGACCTCTGCTTTGACAGCTGGTAAGCTCTCAAGGGGTTCTAGGACAAAGGGCGGTGCGGGGGGGGCGTGTAGGCGTGTGATGTTGCGCCACGGGCTGCGACGCGCTCGGCACGTCGGCTGAACCAACACCTGCGTCGTTGCGCATCAGCAAAGGGCAAAAGGCAAATGGCCCACGCATCGCACCTGAAACTCAATCGCTCCGACGCTGATCCGATCCTCGGTCCATCTCTCTGTGCCCCTCTTGGCTGCCACTCACCCCTCCTTCGTCGCGACCTCACATATTGTCATCCTCCTTTTCTGTCTTCACCTCATACCTGCGACGTGCCAGTCTGCATACAGTTCCTCTTACTGTCCGAACCTTGGCATTGTCGTGCTGGACAGCTACACCTCCTGCTTCCTTTACCGAGGTGCAACGCGATCTTCTCGCGCATACAGAGACGCTCCTATACTCTGTCTCTGCTGCACTCTCGATCATCGCGTCAACGCTGCTGGTCAGTGGTCAATCTATTGAGCTTCATCATCGCGCCAGTGTCCATTCGAAGCCCACTGTTGCTGCTGCCTCATCGAGGTCAGTGACCGCGGCCCCGTAGACAGTACCATGGCAAGGTCCCCAGGCTTCTCGCCAGAGTACTTCCTCTGCCCCATGGACAATGGACCCTCCTTTTCTGCTTCCGGCCCAGCAGCGCCACAGATGGCTTCAAGGGCTCGATCAGTGCAGTCAAGGACCAATATGGACCTCCCGCCGATACCTCGCGACCCCGAGTCGCGTCTGGGTCAGAATCCTCCCGTACCACTGCCAATGACGAGGAATTTTTCTCGGCCCAGCCATCAGCCTTATCCACATAAGCCCAGTGCTTCATCAGGCGATAGTGCAGAGTATGATGGCAGCAGAGAGATCATGAGACCATCTCACAAGCCCGTGGGTGGTTTGCCCAACGCAGCTCGGGCGAGACATGCCCACGCCTCTGGCGATTCGACGGCCAACAGCTCACGCAGTACTACAGAGTACTCCCCATCCTCGTCCCGCCCACCAAGTCTCTCTCTATCAAGCTCAAGAGATTCGGAGTTTGGCCACGTCGATTCGCCGATCACGCCTCTGCGTCCCATTGGACCTCATGCTCCGCCTCCTCCGCCCATCAGGAAAGACGCAGTCACTGCGCCTCACTCTTTCCTGCTAGCACCTCCTTCTACAGAGGTCTTTCCGCAAGGGACAACGGGAACAAATGAAACTCGCGCAGCCTCGCCTGTACCCAGCTCATCATCTGGTGGCGAGGTCAAGGGAAAATTCAGTCGCTTAAGACATGCAGCTAGCGCGTCCAACATCGGACGTAGCTTCGGCAAGAAGGGCAAGGCGGCAGCGGTGGACTTTGATGTCAGTGAGGCGCGATCAGCAGCCAAAGGCAGCTTCAGCGATCGCAACGCGTCGTCTTTCGCCCGGACGATCAGCCAACCAGCCAGAGCGCCTTCGCCAAGCGGCTTCAGCATGAGCAGTCGCGACGATGCAATGAGCGCCAAGGACGTGGGCAAAGGGAGCTTACTCGGCCACGAAGCGTCGGACTACGGCCGCGCGAACAGTCCAGCTTGGCGGGAGTACGACGATGACGAAGAGGAAGTAGGAAAGAAGAGCAAAGCGGGAAAGATTTGGGGTCAGCTCTTCAGCAAACAGAGCCAGCAGGGCTCTGTATGGACCTCAAATTCCTCCACTGACGGCGCGTCTCAGCTATCAGGTTCTGGAAAATCTTCCCACAATGGCACATTGAGGAAGGCGGACCGACTGCTCGGGCTGGGAGAACAGGAGCGTCTTCGACAGGACCAGACCAGTAGTCCAGAGCCACGTGAAGGGGAACGCCTCCGGGCGCTCAACAAAACACCGCAGCCGCGTGCAGACTTCATTCCGGACGTCCTCGCAGAGTATTCCGCGGACTGGCGGCCACCTTATCGTCAATCTACCTCCTCCCGCCCCTTCACTCCCGGACATCAAAGACAGCAAGGCAGCAGGGGAAGCAGTCAGAGCAACATGACGTCTTCTTCCGTGAGCTCCTCCTCTTCGCAAGCCAGAAGACTTAATCACAACCACAACATTTCGACCTCTTCCCACGATAGCTTCGGTACATCGACTACATCGGAATCGCGCATCTCAGATCAGGCCCCTGTCTTGGATCACCCTCTCGTCCTGGCAGGAAGAGACCTGTCAGATGACATCGAGGCGATGCTCCGATCGCAACGAGATTCTGTCCAGGATCTTGAGGCCCTGCTAAATGCTCACCGTCATATCACGAAGAAGAGGGCGAGTCAACTTCCTCAGAGAAGAAGCAGAGACAAAGCGTCCATTGCGTCCCATTCAGTCCCTGCCTTGCCAGGATCTTCCTCGACCTCTCCGGCTTCCCTGCATGCGCAGGCACTTCCCTCCCCGCCAGAGTCACTGACTTTCTTGCCGACCCATAGAGGCGGAGGGCGTATCGGACAGTCCAGCCTGTCTTCGGCAGTGACGGACTGGTCGACCTCTTCGTATAGCCAATCGACATCTTTCAGCTCCAACATCACCCCAGATATCCGCACGACAACAGATCGAGCGGGCAATGCGTCTACACGGCCTCCATTCATTACTGCTAAGTCTGAGCTGCGCAAGGGCTCAACGAGTTCCATCGACATGTCGCGATTGTTGTCCGAGCCTGCCCCGCCCACCAATGGCAAGCTGACGCCTGATCAGTTTCAAGACGCCACGGAAGAAGCTCGCAGCCAAGGAAGTCTGCCGGCCGGAAATGGGCGAGGCACACATCCACGCGAGGAGGTCGACGTGACTGCAATCGCCCTCCCTCCGACGTCTTCGAAAGGTGGACCCGCTACGAGGAGCGCTATTACCAGCGATGCGCTGTACACATTGCCCGCTTTCCAGAGAGTCACGTCCCAGGCAGTCTTAGACCCTGGAGTGGGGGACGCGCGTGACGAGAAGCTGTCGAGAAAGGAGAGTCCTGCAGAAATGTCAGCTGCACCCGCGACGCTCCCTCTTCAGGCACGAGCAGCGCAGACGCTGGCTTCGCTCCCTCCGTTGGCTTCCCTGCTGGAGGCTTGCCTCGTGGCCAGTGGCAACAACAGCAAGGCAGCGAAGAACCCTTGGTATGGCTTCCAACAGCAGCAGCCTGATCTGCTGACAAGCAGCACTCCGAAAGACCAGCTGCCAACTACTTGGGCAGCCTATATGCAGCTGTATGCCCAAGGAGATCTGGATCTGACAGATCCTCCGCGACCTGTGAGTGCGCCTGTCATTCGTAAAAGTAGTATGCGCTCTGGCCCAAATCCGGCAATGGATCGCTTCGGGCCGACAATCGAGCTCCCTTCGAACAACGGAGGTAAGACGCCGGGTACTGGACTGGACTTCAAATTCCCATTGCCGCCTAACAGGCAGGGAGTATCCGTGGCTGGCGGTACTCAAGGCACGGGCGCAAACTTCATGAAGATGCTCAAAGGTCAGCGCAAAGGAACCGGCTCTGGCGACGCTACTGCTTCTGGTCGTTCGACACCGGCTTTGAGCAGAGTAGGCTCTGCTGCCGAAGGCGAAGGACTAGAGGCTTACCTCCGGGACGGAGACTTGCTCGAAGCGGTGGAAGCGGCTGCTGGCGGAGGAGTTGGTGACTTGAAGGCGGCGCGTCCGCCGTACGAGACAAAGCGGCAACAGGCTACTATGCTGTATCTCTCTGCTTTGGGTTTCCTCGATTCTCGAGGCAGGAGAGGCAGTGATCCTTTCGGTCGTCAGGACTCTGTTCAGCAAGCGTCACAAGCCTATCGCAATGCCCGGCTGATCAGCATCGTGGAGCAGATTGCTGGCCTGCTGAACACTGCAGAGGCATCAATCCAGCTCATCTCGGATGACGAGGTCCTTCTGCTGGCTCACACTGGGCAGATGATCACCTCACATGATGACATTACGCGGACTCCAAGGCCGAACACTGAAGGGCGCAGTCGTGGAGGAGCTGGGGCGTTGGGGGTCAATCTGTTTGATGGGTCAGACAGCAGGCGAAATTCTGTCGCCGACCCAGCAAATCTGCGAGACGACTCTCTGGATGCACATGCCATCCTGAGCCGACGCGGAGCTCCTGTCGTGTTGCCGCACATTCAAGGCGACTGGAGATTCTCGCAGCGCGATCGGGTCAGCGGTGCGAGTAGTTCGGCCGCTTTCTGGGGTGCCGCTTCTATCCTTTCGAGCGATGGCATGCCCGTCGGCACGATCAGCGTATACGACTTCCTGCCTCGCCGAGAAGGCTTAAGCAAGGACGAGAAAGCTCAATTGGCAGAGGCTGCGAAGGAGGCGGGGCTCGAACTGGAGAGGATCCGCCGCGTCGCCCTGGGTAACAGGCTGGCTCTATTCGACGAGAGTCTCCTCTCGTGGTCGATGTCCGACCACCGCGAGACCTCCTCACACGAGCAGGCGGTTGCCAGTACGTTCGGCAAGAGCCAGGGTCTCCTGGTCCCTCCGGGATCGATTGATCCCGGAGCCCTCTCTGCTCTGCCTTTGCAGCCTCCAAGTCCAAACGGCTCCCTCGCTCAGCGTAGAGGCGTCAAAGCACCTCGAAGTCTCGATGTTGTGGGCGTGGGCCCAGCGTCTCCGCGTAGTGCTAGCCTTCACCCACAGATGGCGACGTTCCAGGCAGCTCTTCGGACCATTGCTTCTGCTCTAGGCATGGACCTGGCATACATCGCCCAAGTCGGACTGCGGCGTGCCCCTACTTCGCCCGAGATGTCAGAGAGCATGGAGTGCACGACAATCGCGCGGTATGATGCAGGACTTACAATGTCAGCTCCAGAGCTTGCATTGGACGCACCTCTCCACCTCTGTGCCTTGGCAGCAGCTAAGCGAGGATTGCACTTCCAACAGGATCCTGTGCGAGTCTCACAACTCTTGGGTCAATCTCCGCCATCCGCTTCATCGACTGCCGGCGATGTCTTCCATACCGCGGCAGTCGTGAGCTGTGGTCTCAAGGACGGTGCACGCGGCGCCAAGAATCCCGAGGGATGGGTCCTCGCAGTGGCTAGCTGCGCTCCTCGTGCACGCATGAGCCCGGAAGGCACCGTCTACCTGCTTCGCTTTGCAAGTCTCTTGGCCCCCTTCTTGTCCGAAGCACCCAAGTCACCACTTCCCGCCAGTGCGACTGCGCCCGCGACTCGAACCATCGGCCGAGCGAGGGGCTTGAGTTCCCCCGCTCTGCCCAAATTCCGACCACCGATGCTGAGCGAGCACCGCAGTCGCAGCATCAGCTTCTCACGCAACAGTCCAGGAAACACCATCTCGCCTCCTCTACCCCCACCCAGTGGCGCACTCCCATCGCCCCCGCCCTTTTCACCCAGTGTGGGGTCCGCAGGCTCCTCGATTCGCTCTGGGCCGAGCCCGGTCACTAGTCTGAGGCGTCTAGCGCCCATGGCTCCACCGCCGCTCTCGCCTCCTCCGACCGAACCTCTCCCGCCGCTGCCCAAGGGTGGTGGAGTTCACGGGGCAAACGTAGCCGTCAGCTCTCCTCTGCGAACCTACTCCCCTCTCCCTGCTCAACCAATCAGTCTCCCTACTGCTGCTGCTGCTGCTGGAGGCTCTTCTTCCTCATCGCCCGCCAGACCTAGCCCGCCAACACGCAGCATCTCGCAACCTCGCACACATCAGAGTCGCGCGGCGATGAACCGGCACAAGGCCCGGTCTTCCTCGGCGCACCTCGATGGAGAGTCGGTGGAGACGGTGGCGAGCTCTACTTCGCGTACGGAGCTGGCGGCGATTCAAATGCAGAATGAGAGGTATTGAGTGGGTAGAGGTCCTGGGAATTAAGTGGAGGAGAGGAGGAAAGGGAAGTCGTCGCGGCCATTACGTTCTCGGGTCATCCTCGTTCGTTCAGTCTCATCTCATGTATGCTTCGTGTGACATTCTAATCCCTCCTGTATCTCTAGCCATCCCAGACGCAACCATTATCGTACATACGCATAGCGTTCATCTCTCTTCCGTCTCTCCATTCCTCATTCGGGTAACAGCCAAATGTAATCTTATGAACTCTTGCAAATGAATGAAGCAGCGAGCAAACCAAGGAAGCAATTGCGAAGATGCCGCTCGGATGACTCTATCCCCCTGACATCTCAGAAGAGCAAAACGGCTCGGCAAGCACTGCATCTCACCTCGCTCCACGCGAGCATCTCCTCGATCTCGAGTGCGTCGGGCAGGCGAAAGCGACCTTGGAAGATGACGTGGAGTGCTGCTGCTGCCATTCCTGCTCCTGTTTCTACTCCTCTTGCTTGCTCGTTATACGAGCCGGGCTGAGAGACCGAGGAAGGCGAATAGCACAGAGCTCTATACCCTGCTGAGAGACCTTGGCCCTTGATCTGCAGGTGCGCCCCTGGTGGGACACGAGAACCGACGTTCACCACTACTTGGGTCTCGAGGTAGGCAGGAGAAGGAGAGGACGAGGACGAGGATGCGGCTGGGGCTGCAGACTGCGCAGGCGGATCACCCGCCGTCTCCTCTGCCGCTGCTGGGACCTCATTGGGTACAGGTGGGGGAGACCGGACCACTCGCTCCTGACGGCGGTAAGCTATGTGCTTCGCTCCTCGTGCAGACCGCAAGTGCTCCCAAGGTCCATTGTCCAGTCGGTCCGTCTTGAGGACCACTCTGACATGACCCAGACCCGGACACGTACGGAGGAGGGAAACGACCTCCTCTCCGCTGATCCCGCTCCACCCGATCAAACTCAGCGTGCGGAGGGCACCTGCGCTGCTCTGTCTAGACCTACTGGAAGGGAGAGCCATTTGTGAGGTCTCACATCTTCCAGAGGTACGCTGCTCCTCCTCCGACGGTACCCCATTCCAGGGAGCCAGCCCCTCTGCAAGCCTCGGCAGATCAGCCAGCTTGCTTCGTCTAGCCGCCTCAGCCATCCTCGCCTCCCAAGGTGGCAGAGTCCACTCTGGCGGGAGTGTCTCTGTGGGACTGACGAGTGTCAGGAAGCCGAGGATGCGTCTGAGCATACGCGCCTCGTGCGCCGGACCAGCATCACGTCTCTCCTGTACACCGACCTTGTGAGTATGATTCGCCAGCCGAGTGCTGGGCGCCACTGGGCGGGGGTCCGAGGTCGTGCTCCTCAAGGAGGCTGCTGCGCCCTGTTGCCAGTCAAAGGCAGCAGGCTGAAGTGCCAGACTGTCTCTGTGTGCTTCCAGATCTGGCGCGATCAGGTGCTGTGTCCCTGAGCTCTCGTCAACCACTGTCTCCGTGAGGTCTCCATGCACCTCTTCGCTGTCCTCGTCCGGCCTGGCGAGACGTAGCCGCTGAAACTCCTGCCTTGCGGCGAGCCATTGCGAGAGGGAGAAGCAGTGAGGCGGGGTGAGCTTCAGAGGGCCTAGATTGAGACTGACAGTCCGAAGACGGCTACCTGCATTATTCGTGGCATTGCTGAGGTCGCTACTGCTGCTGCTGCTGTTCTTCTGGGGAGCGTGCGCATCATGGCTGGTGGTACGCAGCGCACTGCATACCTGAAGGCGAAAGATGAGATGCGCGGCCAGGGGCAGGTAGGCTATGATTTCGAGTATGAGCTCAGGAGGCAGGGAGAGCAAGTCTGATGAGCTTGACGAAGGATCATCTCTTCCTGCCTTTACCATAGATGAGGGTCGCTGGGAAAGGTAGTCTGATAAGACAGGGAGGGGAAGGAGAGGAGGAGGAATCACTGATCATCTACGACGCGGGCGTCCGGGAAGCTCCGCTCACGGAAGCAGGAGTGGAGGAGGCAAGTCTTGAGCCCGCGGAGCCAATGTGCGACTCGCTCAGGCTCACGTTGGCTGCCCTGTCACTCTCACCACTTCCTCTACAGTTCACACAATGCGACTTCCACCTGTTTGACCCTCTTCGCATCAGAGACAGATTTGTGCAAAGGACAGAAGCGGTTAGCCCCGGGCAGCGGCGCGAAGGGACCTCGCATTGCACTGTCTCATCTCACATCGACACCACACCGTTCCAACGATACTGCCGCTCGCAATGTCTACTCCGTCGTCTGACACTCGTCGACGCGGCGTCATACCTCCTTGTCGCGGCGCGAGCTGGAGTTCTAGCAACGCCGACAGTCTCGATTCACAGCAAACCTCAACATCGGACCAGCTTGTGGGCTCTGGATCATACCGCGACATCAATCTGCGCTCCGCCAATATCTTCATCCATGAGCTTGAACCAGAGCATTGGCCGCTTGAGATACACACATTCGTCGACCATTTGTTTGCCGTCGAGAAAGTGCACGTAGGCACTCCTACCGCGGAGGCGTTGGTTATGCCTGACACCTTGAAAGACACTTGCGTCGCCCTCGCCCATCAAGCAAGCCGCAAAAATCTGGAACAGGAGATTGCCTGGATGGACTTTCACAAACTCATTCTGGGTCTCTTCAATCACGAGAACATCTCCTGGCGCCAGGGTCGAAGATTCGATGTCCAGGTAGGCCCGAGTAGCGATACCGACCAGAAGCTCTCTACACCAGTCCCCGACCTCATCTTCGGTCTCGCCGTCTCGGTGACACAAGATGTCATTCTCAGCCAAGCTCCTACTCTCTCCAACAGACTACTGGCACATCTCGTCTCTTTGTGCGGTATCCAATCTTTCCCAACGCAAGATCGTCGGGACGTTGCCTACCCCTGCGTCATCTTTGAGGCAGAATCGGACGCTGGCAGTCTCCTCGCGGCGGAGAACAAGGCAGCGCTTGCCGCTGCTCAGGCCCTTTCAATGTTGGAGACTCTCAAAATCGTTGCTCAAGCCTCTTACCGTCTACCGGCGATCGTCATTTGTACCCAGGGCTCCATCTACGAGGTCTTCGTCGCCTTTGACCTGCGCGCGGACGACATTGCCCCTAACGCAACTTCTCGTAAAGATTCTGGCCCTGCTTATCCTCTACAATTCGGAGTGCACCTGGTTCAGATCTGGTTGGGAGACCTACGACGTGCGGAGGCGATGTACCAATTCCAGAGACTCTGGTACAATGTGACGCAGTGGATCTTGAATACCTGGAGACCCACCATCATAGGCATGCTTGACGCTGTCAAGGCGACGATCCCAGATTAAGCTTCTTCTGCCTTGCAGCAAGACCACTAGACGTGAGGTACTAGATGCCGAAGAGATTATGTCCAAGAAGGAGTTTGTAGATACATCATTCACGTCACCGTTCAGGAAGAAGCTCAATTGTATATCCATCTCAATGATTTCTGGCCGTCAAAAGTCTGTGTCTTTGAAGGTGTGCGGGTGCAGAAGGGATACAATGGGCCTGCGTGTGTACATGGGCGACTGTCTGAGTTGAAATAGCCTGCGTTCCGACAACAAGTTCCATTCCGTCTTCCCTTGCCGCCTACTTCCATCTGCCTTGGTGCTACCTTCTTGATTGCCTCCTTGTCTTGTTACTTCTCATTCCCTATCATCGTCTTACTCGTCGAATTCCACACACACTTCGACCTGTCTCACAAGCGACTGCGCCACGTGCTCCGGCTCCGACTTCCATACTCTCCCTCAACCTCCTTCCCCCTCTCACTGACTGACCTCACTGCCACGGCAAGCGAGTTGTTGCCTCCCTTGATACGCACAGATGGACAGATTGGACTGCAAGTTACTTGACTAGTCTACACCATAGTCATCGCCTCGTCCCTTGCCACTGGCAGACTACTGTAGACTTCATCTGCCATACCACACCATACCATACCATACCACACCATACCATACCATACCATACTATCACCGCCCTCGCGACATGTCTCACTCCCCCTCTTCCCCGCCAGCCACCGCTGCCACTGCCGCCTCTCCACCTCCATCGGCTCGCGAGGCCATCGCTGCCGCGGCTCAAGCGCGTCTGGCCTCTGCCCGTCATGGCGGTACAGGCAGCGAAGCCGAGGCACAGCGGGCAAAGGACGAAGCAGACCATCTCCTCCTCTGCAGACGCATCGTCGATCTACAGATTCGCCGCGACAATGGCTACGACAAGGCATTCGAGTGTCTCAAGGTGAGTCAAGGGACAAATTCCCCGTCAGGTCTCGATGGGCGCAAGGAGAGCTGAATGGACGTCTTCCCTGCCTGCGCCACCGCTTCACAGACGCTCGATACACTCCTATCCAACATACTCTCTCACCCCACCGAAGAGAAGTACCGCTCCTTCAAGTCGGAGAATCCCCGTCTCCAGCGAAGCGTACTCTCCGTACCAGGAGGCACAGACTACTTACTCCAGGCGGGCTTCGGCACTCGCACCGTAGAATTCAAGCAGCAGTGGTACCTCCACTCGTCCGTCCAGCCGCCCAGCACCTCAAGCGAAGCATCCCCCGCCTCTGCCTCTGCGTCTCCTTCCACTTCCACTTCTACTTCGACAGTCTCATCAGGTAATGCACAGAAATGGCGACGTCTCCAACTCGCCCATCGAGTCCTGCAAGAGCGTCTAGGGGAGAGTGAAGAGCGTGCTGTGCAGAAGCGGGAACAAGCTCGTCGCGAGGCCGAGGTGGAAAAGAATCGTGCGGCGAGGGTGTTGCAGGAGGCACAGGAGGATAGAGAGAGGGTGGCGCTGAGAGCACAAAGGGAGAGGTTGGCTAGGGCAAGAGGACAGGAAGAGCCAAGAGGAGGAGGGGCAGGGGTGGGGCCTTCAGCTGTAACGGGCAGTCGCAGTGGTGCTGTCTATCAGCAGCCACCCCCCGGCAACAGGCCAGAGTACCGCGTCAACACCTCTACCCTCGTCGGCGCTGGAAACCAACACAATGCCGGTAGTTCATCAGATGAGCCAGGAGCTGGAATAGATAGGAGCGACTATACGGCCGAGGTGCCCTTTGATGAACCGAGCAGCCGAGGTGAAGAGGCAGAGCTGGATGATGAGGATGAGCAAGGGGATAAGCCTCCTCCGTACGGTAGGGAGGAGTGGGGCAGCGGAAGACGTCTGGGGTCTTGAGAAAGGGAGAGAGAGTCAGTATCGGGAACCTAGATTTTGTACAAAGGTCCTCTTACTTCACCAAAGTCACGAAATCCATTACGATCATGAGTTACAATGCATATATTTCTACCTCCCCAGTCTTTTCCACCCCCCTCTTTTGAATCTCAATCTGCAAAGCGTATCGACCCACCTCCCCATTGACCCCAAGCCGGTTGTCCCGATTGGCCCTGCTGCTGCCCATGTTGCTGGTCCTGTTGAAGTTGCTGATCAGCAGGCGAGCTTGGTCTGCTATTGGTAGGCGTCCTGTTCGTGTCCTCTCCAAGAGCAGACAAGACGGCATCTTCATCGGCTTCATCCTCATTAGCGCGCTGCTGCTGACCGTAGGGAGAAGGGGCAGATGTAGCCTGTCGTCCCTGTGGTGAGGCTTGCATCTGGCTTTGCGCTTGAGCGGCCTGGGAACGAGTGGTTCTCCGGGATGGCGTGCCCGCAGTCGAGGTCGAGGTGGAGGCTCTAGGGCTCGCCGTCGCTCCTGCAGTGCTTTTCCTCGCACCACTTCTGGTAGCAGGCGAGGCCGCTTGTCCTCCTTCTCCAGCATCTTCCCAGGGTCGTCTCCTCTCCTCGAGGCTCGTTCCTTCGAATCTTGCCACGAGCTGCTGTACATCAATCTCCCTCGCTCTCCTCCACTGATCCACCGTCTGCTTAAACTGCGTAATCATTGGTGCGAGGCCATTGTAGAACTTGAGACCTTCGGAGAGGTTGGAGTGGACCTCGAAGAATTTGGAAGAGGAGAGGGAGAGATTGGAGAGAATCGAGTTGCGCTGGGAGAGGGTGGCGGAATTCGCCTTGAGCTGAGTCGTGAAGGTCTCATTTTGTGTCTGGGCCGAGGAAAAGAAGAGCAGATAATGGTCAGAACGTCGTCGTCTTGTCTTCACATCTTGCGTGCTTGTACTTACTCCAGCTCGTTGCAACAGCCCTTCAACTCTCTTCTCGAAACCATCCAGCTGCGACTCGACTCCCTTGTACTTTCTGAACTCGCCGTCAAATAGTCCCTCGAACATCTCCGGGCTCAAGTCCACCTCACCGGCGTACCCACCCTGCCCACCGATTCCCTGATCTCCAGTGGCGTTACTTGACAATCTCACCACCTCCCTCATGACCTTGTCACGGATATCGTCAGACCTGACCAGCGAACGAGTCTCGGTTGCCAGAGCAGCAAATTCTGCTAGGGCATCATCAATGCGCTCCAGCGTGGAACGCAGCTCCCTGACAACCGAGCTCGAGCTGCTGATCGACGCCGAAGAGGAGGTGTTTCCAGCATCGCTTGGCAATTGAGCCCTCACCACTGCCTCGCCAGCCTCCAATATTTGCCACGACTGACTCCACTTGGTCATCTTGCTCTGCACAACCGCATCGCTGTCCCTGGCCATCTTGATGGTACCCTTGAGCTCCTCCAACCGCTTCCAGTAGCCTTGACCAGCAATCCGACTCTCCTGCCGCGTCCAATGCTTAGAACCGCTGAACGTCTCACGCACCGAGGCATCCTCTTTCGACTCGGCCTCTAGGGCGGTCTGCGCCTGGAGGAGGGTCGACGTATTCAGCTGAGACATTTTGTCCACATCTCCTTTGAGACGGTACAGCGCCGTAAGACCTCCTTGCTCTCGGAAGCGCTCCATCTGCTCCACCAATGCAGGCGGCAGGTCTTGCGCTTGACTCCCGGAGGCATTCCGATCTAGAGCGTCGATAGCGGCAGGGAGGCTCAGACTCTCCAATGTGCTCTTGACCAATGCTTCGAGCTCTTGCCGTCTGCCCTCTACGGTATCTCTCCACCACGAGTCCTTCCTGTCCTCGTACACACTGATCGCTAGATGCGCTCCGTAAGGGACCAAAGCTGCAAAGAGCGGCTTGCCCAAAGCAGGTAGGGAGGCGTCGCCGCTGCCGACAGCAGAGCCAGGGGCACGAAGACACTCGACGGGCTTTGCAACTTCAGCGGGAAGCCTAGCAGTCACCATCCGGGCTGCTTGGATCGGTGCTAGAGAGCCACCAGGTGTGACCGGCTCGAGGTAGATGAGATCATTGTCTTTCTTTGCCCTCTTGAGGTTGCTCTCGATGGCTCCTTGCAGCCCTTTGAGATCCGAAGCGACCGCCTCAGATGATGTGGTAGTCGGCAAGCCCTTCTTGAAGGCGGTCAGAGCTGACTTGACGTAGCCCTCTGCAAGCTGTAGTCGTGAAATCTCATCTCCGTAACGTGAGCTAGCAAGATCGTCTTGCGACTTTCGATATTGGGCAGCCGCTCCGAAGTGATGCCGCTTGACGGTGATGTGGTTGAGCCAAGTCTAAAGGGAGCGCAGAATACCTCTGTCAGCATTGTGCAACGCCTGCGTCATCTTTCTCGCGCTTGAGCTCACCCTGGGAATGGCCTCGATACCATGCTCAATCTCTGCCCTCTTGGCCTGATCTGCAGCCTGCTCATACAGCTCCTCAACTGCCGCCGCCAGCTTCGCAACAGTCCCCGACTTCATCCCATCGCTGACTGCCTTCTGCCAGAAGCATTCCTGGGCCTGAGCAAGCGATAAAGTGGCCAGAGGCTGTAATGAGACTGGCGAGAGGCCGTGAGATGGGGAGGTCGGCGGAAGCTGAGGAACGAGCGAGGGCATGACTTGCGTCTCTAGATGTGATAGAATTGCCGAAGATGTCTGTAGAAGGCAAGGCAAGGCAAGAGTCAGCTCGCTGAATGGTCAAGCTCTGGTCAATGCTGCGTTGGTCTCACCTGAAAGTACGCTACCGCCCTCTTGATGCTAGCTCCATCATTTCTCGATTCCTGCGCCCCTAGCGTACTAGTCAAAGCAGCAATCGCATACAACACGTTCGCCCTCTCCCAGGCGATGAGGGGATGGCCGACGAAGACCGTTCCGTCAAAGATGACTGCAAATTCCTCGCTCTTCTTCCACATCGCAGCCAACTCGGCTGTGCTCTCGCTGGACGAGTCAACATGTGAAGCGCCAGTACCACCGCTCGCTAGCGCTCCCAAGAAGGAGACAGGTACGAGCGGCTGAGCCCAAGGAAAGGAGATGGGCACGCTGGCTGGCAACTTGGTAGTGGCAAAGACCAGCTGGGCGTAGTACCGGTATGCCGTATCCAGACTGGCCGCGTGGGCCTCCATTGCTCCAACCCGAGCGCGTAGATCCACGAGAGAGGAGATGTCGGAGGCGAAAGCATCAGGATGATGAGTCTCACCAGAGTGAGAGATGATGGCCTGCCGCAAGGAGGACGTGAACTGGGAGGAGAGGTTGGGCGAGGAAGGGACGGGCAACGCGAGGACGTTGCGGGCCGACATGGTAGACTCTACGCCTCTGCTGGCCGCGAGGAGTACGAGATGCGGTGGGAGGGTAGAGTGACTGTCAGAACAGCCGCACTGCTCGTTCTGAAGGCAGGGAATCCAAGCAACGGAGCGGATGAGATGTGGTACGGTAGACTATCGAGGCAAGTAAGGCTAGGCTGGTCACAAAACCTTAGGCGTGCTGTGTTGATCTTCCCGGACCTCCACTGCAAAGACGCAGACGCAGAGGCCACTCCGCCGACACGATCCGAGCCGTCGGACGATCATTAGACGTCGTTCTTTGGTCATAAATCAAGGCCGGTCAGAGCAAATATAGATTGAGACGACAATATTGCAATAGGTTGTGGCTGTGGGCAACGACGACCATGTACAACGCTGCCAATGTCCGCTCTCTGTCTGCTAATCGAAGCTCCTTTCTCTCCTCCTCTTCGGTCCATCGTCATCATCAAAGTCGTCCTCATCGCTGTCTCTCCGATCTCTCTTACCAGGTCCGATGCCACTGTCCCTGACATCCGCTGCATCGCCCCCAGCGGTACCCCTCTGCTCGCCCTCGAGCTCAAAGTACTCGGCATCGGCACCTCCAGGCACTGTAGCACCCTGCTGTCCAGCTCCCTGTCCTTCCATCTCGGCATTCCTGTACAGGCTCTCTTGCTCCTCCTTTCTCTTTGCCTCCTCTGCCTCGCGCTTCAGGCGCTCTTCCTCCTCCCTCAGACGTCCTGCACCCCATCCTCCTCGTCCCGCATCGTACTCGATGCGGTGCTCGTCTCGTACCTGCCCGCCTGATCGGCCTCGACCGTACTGACGGCCTTCTGTGTAGCCTGGATCCAGGTCGCATCGGATGAGACGCTCATCCAGCTTGGTAGAGGAGATGTGACGCAGGGACAACAGGGCTTCCTGATGAGTGTAGAACCTGATTGGGTGGAGAGAGCAGTAATGTGGATGAGTATGAGATCCAGCTGCCACACGGTCAGGACCGAGCTCGTCCTACTCTCCAACCAGTGGGTCGTACTCGAGCGAAATTCCCCAAAGTAGTCTGCATGGATCCCAGGCTCAACTCACTCTACAAAAGCGAAGCCGCACGGAGTCTTCTGCACCCGATCCAAGCCCATGATGATTCTCCGTATGCCACCTCCCGACGAAGGCAGACTGACTCGGTTGAAGAGCTCATAAATCTGTTCCTCAGTAGTGTAGAATGAGAGGTTGCCCAGGTACAGCGTCGAGGTTGAGGAGAGGGCAGCCTGGTATGCCTGCTGCGATGCTCGAGACCGCGAGTCGCGGTCTGAGGAGGAGGAAGAGCAACGATGAGTATAGGTGAGGTCAGTCCCGCCGGGCTCTGCAGTGCCTGGCTCCCGTCCTGCGGCTACTCACATGAGGAAGGGGCGTCGAGACTCTCTACGATGTTCATGGTCGGCGATGATGTCCCGCTGCTCGTTGTCCCTTGGTATCCTCGGAAGCACTCGTGGCCGGGTAGGAAGCTCAGGTGAAGCGGGTGAGTCCAGTGGCTTGGCCCTTGCGCGCAGAGGAATTTGGGCCCGTACCGAGATTTCTCCTTTCCGTCGGCCGCGATTCATATCCTCATCTTCCTGCTGCCTCCCTCACCAAGACATCCCTCTCACCTCACACTCGAGCTGCCTGCCGAACGATGCCTTCGGTTGCAAAGGAGAACCTCGTAGAGGTCCGACCAGAGCGAGTTGGAGGAGTATCCACTCCTCCCGACGGACCCTTTGACCTCTCTGCCTTCTCGCAGGCTCTTACCGTTCAGCCCACCCGCCTCTCCTCGGAACGAATCGAATTCGACCTCATCGGCGTTGATGCCTCCGTTGCCAATGCTATCCGGAGAGTTCTGATGGCAGAGGTACCAACTGTAGCCATTGAGAATGTGTACATCTTCAACAACACCTCGATCATCCAGGACGAGGTGCTCGCCCACAGACTGGGTCTAGTGCCGATCCTGATCGACCCTGAACGGATCGAATTCCGAGGAGGAACGACAGAGGCGACCGAGGAGAATACTTTGGTGTTCATGTTGAATGCAAAATGCGAGAAGAACAAGAAGGCTGCAAAGGGGGAGAAGGATGAGGAGAAGAAGTACATCGAGTCGAATAGTGAGTAGCGGTGCTTGGCATTCGATTTCTTCGGTCTTGCTCGATCTACGACATCTTCAATGTTCAATGCTGACAGCTTTTCACACACCTGCACTACTCTCTCTCAGTCTACGCCTCTCACATGCAATGGGATCCCAAAGGCGACCAAGAGAACATGTTCGGTAGCGCTCCTCCCCGAGCAGCCAACCCAGACATTCTCCTAGCCAAGCTGCGTCCCGGTCAAGAGCTCGCCATCGAGCTCCATGCCGTCAAGGGCGTCGGTCGTGACCACGCCAAATTCTCTCCGGTAGCAACAGCATCCTACCGTCTTCTACCACACATCGACATTGCGGCAGGTGGTATCCCAAAGGAGCACAGGGCCAAGTTCATCAAATGCTTCCCCGAGGGAGTGATTGGATTGAGGAAGAGGAAGAGCGATGGTGAGGAAGAGGTGTATGTGAAGAATCCGAGGAAGGATACAGTTTCGAGGGAGGTTTTACGGCATAAGGAGTTCGAGGACAAGGTCAAGCTGGGAAGAGTGAGAGACCACTTCTTGTGTGAGTATGAAGCCAAGTGGAAGAGGAGGCACTGCCCAGCTCGTAGAGCTGAATCCTGACCTCTTGCTTTGCAATCCTCGTCGTCTTTTCACTACAGTCGACATCGAATCAACAGGTCCCTATGCACCGGAGCGTCTCCTTCCAGCCGCCATCCGCTGTCTGACCTCAAAGGTAGACACGGTTCTCAAATCCTTGGACAATCTCGAAGCAGATCTAGGAATCGCTTCGTAAAGACTCGAGGAGCAGAGCAGGAGAGGAGGAGGAGGAGGAGGAGTGAGGGCAGTAACGGCGGCGACGGCGGCGACGGCGAACATTGTAACATTTTGTACTTAGAGCACAACAACAGAGATCTTATCCACTATCATTTTGGTGAGGCCGAGGACGTGTACAGCGTAGATGGCATAATTGTGCTAGCGGCAAGAGGCAAGACGAGATTGTGCAGTCAGTCTGTCCATCGAGCGACCAGATCCTTTTCAACTTCCTATTCCACAACCACAAGAAGCGCAGGAAAACGAACAGACAATGTAGCGCATCTGGGGCAGAGTCGCACAGCACAGCACAGCACAGTACGGAGGACAAGCGTAGCTTCAAGATTGGACAAGAAGAATGTATAGCTAGCTAGAGATCGTGCAATTTCAGCTCCATGTAGAGTGTATGAGCAGCGCAAAGAGAGGGGCAGACAAAGTAGAAGGGGCCAAGATGTGATGCAATACGATGCAATGCGGTACGATCCGACAAGAGGAGAGGTGAAGAAAGAACAACGAAAGAGAGCAGAGGGCTGGACATGAGTAGAGACGCAGGGACCATTCGTGTAGTCGAAAGTTGGAAGGAGGCAAAAGTTCGTGAAGTGATCGAGGACGGGACGAGAAAGGGGGGGAGGCAGAAGAGGATGATAGAGAATGGGGATGCTTACGCGTGGATGATGGACATAACGGGTGGTTGGAGCTGTTGGCTCTCTACAGCTCTGGGTATATTTGCATTCTCTGCACAGAGGCGGGCGGGAGGAGAGCAAACACTCCTCCTTTGCTTGCGACTAGTCAAGCCCAATCGAGGCCTCCTCGTCGCCTCACATGTTCACGCCCAACCCAACCATAGCGGGCGAGTATTGCGCTCCTCCCGTTCCTGCACCAGCAAATCCAGGCGCATCAAGAATCCAGTCTCTCCTGAGTTGAGAGTACATGTTCTTGAATGCCTGCGAGTTGCCCTTCTCGAGTGTGAAGGTAACCTTTGTCGAGTAGCCGGTAGCATTGAGCAGCTCGGCGCCGCTGTAGCGCGAGGAAGAGCTGAGGGCCGGCGAAGGAGCCAATCCTCCTCGGCCCGTGCCGGACATGGGAGTGCCGGGAACGCTCAGAGCGGGCGAGGCGAGGAGAGAGGAAGCTCCGTGGGAGCCAGCAGGAGAAGAGCTGATGTTGAACTCAATTCGGAATCGCAGCGTCTTGGAATTGTTGTCCTTCATGGAGCACCTCCATGACCCCAGAGCTTCGGAGTCCTCGATGAAGACCTTGGCGCCAGAGGTCAGCAGGAGACGCTTTACCTCCATCTGCGTGCCAACGAATCCGTCGAGGGAATTGAGGTGGAGGGAGGTAGCCTTCCAGTTGAAGAGACCTGCGAACCAGCTCTGCTTAGCCGAGGGCCCTGCTGAAGGTGTGGAAGGAACGCCATGGGTGGAATGGTAAGGCGTCGTTGGGCTCAGCACAGAGGGACTGGTGGCATTCTGCTGTTGCATCTGCGTACTTTGTTGCTGCTGTTGCTGTGTCAAGTCCAGACCCAGTCCAGGGTTCCTCTGCTGAAGACGCGTGGGACGGGCAGAGGCATTGTGGGCCAGACGGCTCTGCAGGGGAGTCAGTTCCTGCTGGGGGTGGGCTGGCGAGACTGGGAGCGCTGTCTGTCTCTCCTGAGGGGAGACTTGCTGCTGATCATAGCTCATTGAGACCCTCTTCGACCCCTCGACACCTGAGCCCGAGGAGATGTTGGAAGGCTGCTTCCTCAGTCCCAACAATGACCGTCGCTTCATGAAGCCGCCACTCTGCTTGAGCTGCGGCGAAGTAGCCTCGGAGGAGGTGGCAGGAGGACCATTGACAATGTAGCTGTTGGGTCTTGAACCAGACGCCACAGACGATGGCGCTGGACTTGCAGGTGGAACAGCGAAGAGGCCGCCCTGGGGTGCACGGTGAGCGGACAGGCGCTTGTTCGCATTGGTCGACTTGTCAGAGACGGACAGAGGCTTGGTCGTTGGACTGCTACCGTAGGCGGGCGGCAGAGGCGAAGATGCTGGAGTGTACGGCGACGACACAGAGGGCCCATCACCGGCTGCCATCACAGACGACAGAATCGAGATCTGGTCGGCATACATCGCAAGCTCCTCATCAGCATCGTCGAATTGGTTGTGCTCATCACTGCGGATCAAATCCGGTGTCAGAGGTGCAGGAGCGATAGGCGAAGGGGCAAGTCTGACGGCAGGCTGTCCGGGCGCTGTACCGCGGTCCAGCTCCTGAGAGATGCGTCGACTTTGCTGTTGCTGTGAGCGCGAGGGACCCTGCGGCTGATGCTGAACAAGAGACTGCTGGGCAATGGTGGGAGAGGCCGCTCGAATGCTAGCCAGCTCTGCAGCGATTTCCTGGAAGAAGCGCTGAACAGTGGCGTCGCCAACTTGAGGGACGGCAATGGAAGGAGCGTTGACACTCAGAGGTCTCCGTCCGTTTGTCGGTGAAGCCATGGAGGCACGCATGGCAGCGGCTGCAGCCGCAACATCAGAGACATCGTACGAGGCGGCGGACGTCTGCTCCTCTGCAGCAGACTTGCGGTGACTGGGTGATGTCATACGGCGAGAGAGATCAGCCGGGGCTGATGGCTGCACTGGCGTTGGAGGAGCTCGATACGCGCTGGGCGCGCTTCGACCGACATCGACACTAGCACGGTTGGGGTTAGGCGAAGCGGGAGGCGCTGGGCGTGGCCCGGCAGGTGGCTTTCCGGGCGAACGAGGAGCATCGCTGTAGGCTCTCGTGTTCGAAGGTCGGTAGGGACTACTTTGTGCCATGGGAGAAGTAGCAGGGGTAGCTACTGTTGCCGAGGCGGTGCGAGGTGACGGCGACGGATTCCTGCTTGGACGAGGGGAGCTGCTCTGGTCCGTGGTAGCTCTGAGAAGGGGCGGCTTGACGGGTTGCAACGTCGCTGTCGAAGGCTCGGCGGTTCGAACAGGCCTGCTCTGTTCCTGAATGCGAATCGAAGGAGGTCTGGCACCTGACGCTGCCGATGCCACATTGATACCGAGGGACAGTCCGAGGGAATTCTGACTTCCCGCATTGGGCGCAGCGGGTGCCGGAGGTGCAGCGCGTGGGTTGATGTCTTCAGCTTCATCCTCGCTGTCTGAACCTTCCTCGTCGTCCATGCTGTGGTTGTCTCGGTGCTGAACAAGCAAAGAGTAGAAGGTCTTCTGCCAGTTGGATCCGGGTGAGGTCAGCTGCTTGACAATGTGCCGTGAGGAATTCTCAGGCCACAGCGACTTGAGATTCTTCAAGATCTCGACGTCAATCTCTGCTTCGGTCAGTTGCACCTCGGTGCCCAGCATAGCGGCACCGGGTCCGGAGGGGTTGGTAGAGGACTCTGAACCATGGTTGGTGAACCAAGGATGGCGCATGATCTCGGGCATCTTCATTCGCTTCTCTGGGTCTACCTCGAGCATCTTCCAGATGAGATCTTTTGCGCCGTCCTCGAGGCCTTCGGGCATCTCAAATCGGCCATCTCGCACCTTCGAGAGCAGCTTGCCGATGTTGGGATCATCGAAGGGCAGTCGACCACAGAGAAGAGCGAAGAGGATGATACCGCACGACCAGATGTCCGACGCCGAGCCCTTGTAGCTCTTACCCGATACGATCTCAGGGCTCGCGTAGTGTGGACTTCCGCAGCTCGTCTCCAGCATGCGCTCGAGTGGCTGAAGAGCAGCCATTCCAAAGTCAGCCACCTTGACGACCTTCTTGGTACCATCGAGAAGGAGGTTCTCGGGCTTGAGGTCGCGATGGCAGATGTTGAAGCGGTGGCAGTAGTCGACACCAAAGATGATCTGGCGGAAGTAAGAACGCGCCTCGGAAGGTCGCAATCGTCCCTTTTGTACAAGGTGGTCGAACAGCTCCCCACCCGCGACATACTCCATGACCAGGAAACTTTGCAATAAAGGCGCGAAGAAATGAGTGAGTAAGCCGATCGCGCCCAGTCACACTGCTCTACGCTGTTCCACTCACAGCTCCTTTGTTGTTTCATAGACATCCCACAAGCCCAACAAGTTCGGGTGCTCGATGAGCTTCATGATGACAATCTCACGCTCGATGCCCAGTGTGAGCTTGTCTTGTTTCTGACTCATTTCGCCCAGACTCATCCTCGAGCTGGCAAGAAGATGGCGAGGTACGATCTTGACAGCAGCCGGTTGGCCGGTGGTAGCATGCTCTGCAAGGCGGACTCGACCTGTTTAGATTGAGTGAGCAGTGCGTTTTGTTACGCGATCAGCTTTGTTCCTACGCGCCGGTTCCTGCTCTATGTCCCGCTCTGCACTCACCACTAGCACCTTGACCGATGAGCTTTCCCAGCTTCCACGGTCCGATGTTGGGCGGATCTTTGTAATCCTTCTTCTTCTCTCGCTCCAGACGCGACTGAGGTCGATTGGCTGGAGGTGCGGCTTGCTGACGCTGCTGTTGTGCTGGTGGATGTTGGGGATGCTGTGCCGATGGTTGGGCTACTCTAGGCGGTGCGGGCGCCTGCCGTGCTGCCTGTGGTCGATGCACCTGTGCAGTGCCCGGGGCAGCATTCTGTTGATAGTTGTAGGAAGATGGTGCCTTGGATGTTGTCCGAGAAGGGGGTGCAATCTTGACTTGGCCGTGTGCGGGACCTGCCATTGTATTCCTAGTCTGGCCGTTGGGACTCATCCGCATCTGCAGTGGACCTGTGGCTGCACGAGAAGGCGGCTCCATGGTGGACCCTCCAGCAGCAGAGGAAGGACGATAGGACATGGCGTTGCAGCGAAGAGATCGCCGAAGCTGATCAATGTATGATGGAAATTATGTGACGCCTTCTGGAGGGTCTAGTGGAAGACTGTCGTGGGCAGAAGGAGTGAATAAAAACACTGCCAGAGAGAAGAGGTATATGCAGGTATAGGCAAGACGTTGCTATAATAAACTTGCAAGTATGGGAGGAGCAAGATGAGAGAGGTGCCTTGTTGATGGCGTGTGTTGCGGTGAGCCTGTTATGCCGGATGAAGAAGGGAGCGTGAGGAGATGGGTTGGGGCAGCACAGAGACCCTTGTGAGGAGGCGGAGACGAAGCGGTAGGAGCAACGAGGAGGATGAGCCGGAGCAGAGGAGATCAGGATATTGGGAGGGATGGAGGGAGAGAAGGAGGGGAGAGGGATGAGCAGGGAAGGGGAGATACCGACGGCAATTGAAGATGGAAAGGGGAGGAGGCGGAGCAGACGTGGTCCTGGGTGGGAAGCTCGGGTGTGAGTTGTGGGCGTGTGTGTGTGTGTGTGTGTGTGGGCGTGGGCGGGCGGCGGGCGGCGGACGTTGGAGCGCGAGCGGAGGCGCGCCTTGTCACATGTTCAACTTCCAGGCCACGCGCCCGTCCCTTGTTTTGCCCGTTGGCCCCAGCCACGCCCGATGCTCAGGTCCGCAATCACCGCACCAGCATGCCAAGGGTCAGGTAGGGTTCAGGCCCTTCTTTGTCAAGCGAGTCTCGGCCTGTCAGAAAGTGTCCGAGCTTGTACACTAACATCTCATCGCCCGCGGATCTGTTAGGTAGAAGCTCGCATTTTCCTCAGCAATATTACGTCAACGCTCCAGGGCATCCCCAGGACGGTACGGGCCTGGACAAGTGGGGACACGGCCGATCTTACATGTTTGACAGGCGGAATGAACTTGTGGCATGCTGAAGCCGCACCTGTTGCCATGGCTCCAGGCGTGCAAGAGTCTCAAGCACGTTCCTGGTGGCCGAGACATTGCGAAGTCTTAGCTTGGATCACGTGAACCTGTGACTGGGTCTGGGTCTGCCATACGAATACTACGGTAGTCAAGCGAGGAAGTCTGAAGCAGTTACAGTATCGGCAAAGGGTCTCGGAAACGAGTGGAGATGGTCCCTCGTCTCTGCCATGCTCCAAGCGAAGCAATCGCCAGCCCTGAACAGTCACGAAGCGAGGGCACACTGGGCATGCAGTGGCAGAGCACGCTGGAGCAAAGCAGAGACACCCAGATTCGCCGACTCCCCTGAGGTCCTCCTATAAGTAGAGCTGAATTTCATCCCCCATCCCAGTCCCTTCCTCACCACTTCTCTCAGCCGCTTCTCGCCCCAAAGAACCCTGCCTACCGAGTCAGGACTTCCTCACATTGACTCCACCACCTCGTTGACCGAGTACTCCTTGACACCTAAGCGCCGCTCCCGCTCCTGCTCATCGGCATCGCCCTCTCCGTGTTCAGTCTCGACGATGTTGTCTTCTCGCGTATCCGCCTTTGTTTTCCTCGCCCTCGCTCTGTGTTCCATGCTGGCACTGCTAGCTGACGGCAACCCTGCTCTTCAGGCCCGAAAGGCAGAGATCGTCTTCAACCCCAAGATCCTGACACCTAAGCAGGGAGACACTTGGGTCCACGGAGAGGCAAAGAACGTCACTTGGTGAGTAGAGCTGCTGGCTATAGAGCGACAATGTTCCCCTTCTGCACGGAGATGATTCTGCCATATCGTCTTCATCACCGTCACTAGGCTCTGTAGACTGACGCTGCCTTGCTCTACCTCTTTACTCGCCGTCCCTGACAGGAGGACCTCGGACATCCCTCCTCCCCTCAAGTCCGCCAACTCGACCCTGTACCTCGGCTACCTTCCCAAGAACAGCAAGTCTGGCAACGAGCACCTCAAGTGGAAGCTGGCCAACAATTTCCCCCTTTCGGCCGGAACCGTCTCCTTCATCGTACCCAACAACACTGTGCCTCGAGACGACTACATCGTTGTTCTCCTAGGAGACTCTGGAAACCGTTCTGAGCGATTTGAGATTGAGCTGAGCGAAGATGAGGAAAAGAACGGCAAGATTGGTACTCCTAAGATTCGCGAGCCTACCAAGACGCTCGATGTCGTCCCTTTGATGATGCCTACTGGCAGGTACAAGGTCATCCAATGGACCGCTTAGACAGATCACGAGACCTCGCATGGGCCGTCGAGACGTAGCGCACAGTCGAATTTATCGCTCTGCCGTCCCATTCCATCATTCTCTCTCTTGCGTCTTTTCCTCTCCTCACCCTCCTGTTGTATGATCAGCGTCTACCCTCAACAGTAGCGCTCTTCCGCCAGCCATGTCGACCACTAAGCTCCCTCCGCCTCTCATGTATCCCTTGCGACACTCTGCTGTACCTTTCTCAAAATCAAGACTGTGCTCCCAAGAAACGTGCTCTTATCTGTTGCTATCCTCAAAGCCTCTCGACCATCACCTCGCTGGTCATACATGGCCAGGTCGGCCATCCGCGGAGCCGCATCGGCTTCGGCGGCTCTTTCCGCGGCGGACTGGATCCCTTTCCGCTCGCTCCGCACTAATTACGATCAGTACCTCACTGACTTGTACATCACCCTCTTGCTCTCTCGAGTCTCAGACCCTTCTGAGCAAGAGCAAGGGAAGTCGATGTCGATGGAGCTGCAGGCAGCATGGTCCTCTATACCCTCAGCCTCAGCAGGACCTCGTGCCTCCTCGACTACACCGCCATCCTCGCCTGCAGCAATAGCGAGCTCCCTCTCCGATCCTTCTCCAGTCCCGATCCCGGTCCCCAGCTCGCCACCACCAGAATCTTCAATAGCAGCAGCAGCAGTAGCAAACCCTCCAGCATCTGCCAGCACGGTTTCAGAAACGCAGCAACAGGCCCAGTCCCAAGCTGAATCTGGAGCCCGCCCTGCAGTCCGAGCGCGAGTCATCCTCATCCGCCACCCACAGACAGAGGCCAATGCCGCCCACCTCTTACAAGGCACTACCGACTCTCCCTTGACTCGGCTGGGGGAGGAGCAGGCGGGGGCGCTTGCGGGTTGGTTTGCTGAGATTAATAGGGAGAAAGAGCTGGATGACACAATGGACAGAGATGTGGACATGGACGTACGGCTTATCGTGCACAGCCCCCTGGGACGTACGACCCGATTGGCCAGCTTGATCCACACAGCACTCTGCGACCAATGCACCACCTCTTCCTCTTCCTCCTCCCCACCTGCATCGCCCGTCGCGCTCCGTGCCTCCCTCGACCTGCAAGAGAAGTCCTTCGGCCCCCTCGAATGTACCCGCCGAGGTCAGCACGCAGGACCGAGATGGCCTCGAGCTCCATCGGGGGCCAAGCAGGAGGGGAGGGAGGAGTTCTCCAAGAGGGTTAGGAGGGCAGGGATGCTTTGGATTGGGAAGGCTCTGGAGATGGCTAAGCAGGGAGAGGAAGAGAAGGAGCCAGAAGACGAGGAACATGGTGCTTCTGTAGAGACAGAGAAAGAGGGACTGGAAGTTGGGGATGAGCCCACGAGTGACAGGGGTGGGACTCCCCCTCCTCCTTCTCCTTCTCGGCAACGACCACGGCGACGCAAGGGCATCCCGACAATCCTAATCGTCACGCACGGCCTCTTCATCTCCACCTTCTTCAAAGTCTTCCCCGTCCTCCCTCCTCTTCGCACCTCCAAATCTTCATCCCCACAAGCTCGAGGGAGCGCTTCTACAGAAGTAAAAAGAGGAGGAGGAGGAAGAGGAGGAGAATTAGGAAGCGATAGCCGTATTCCCTTTGCCTCCAATACGGGAATGTACTTGCTGGACCTCTCGGCACCGATTTCCCCCTCCCCTTGTCCTGTTCCTCCTTTCTCCACAGCAGCGGGCTGTACGCTCCGTCTCCTCAAGGCAAACTGGACACCGCACCTTCCCTCCACGACTACGCCAGGGGCTCCAGGAGGAGGAGGAGGTGGTGGGGGTGGGGGTACGAAGAGGACGGGCAGAGAGGCGTTGGCTTCTGCTGCTCGCGATCCAAAGCAGAGGAGATTGGATGGGGTGGGTGGATTCTTCTCTAAGCCTGCAGGTACAGCGACGACGATGGCGGAGAGTGGGTCACAGGAGGACAAGAGGGCGAGGAGTGGGTCACATGAGGATAAGGAGACGAGGTAGAGGTAGAGAAAGTGGACTCAAGGTTTACCACGTGCTTGTCCACGCTTCGATCAAGCTGTACTTGTAGCTATACCCCCATTCCACACTCACTCGAAAGCTCCTGAGAGAGCAATGTATCATATACCCGACTGCACCTCGAGCGGAGCGGAGGGGACTCGATCGACCGAAATACTTGTGCGATTTCTAAGCAGTATAAAATCTCTTCAAGCAAAAAGATAGCAATGATTCTAGCATCTAAAACAAAGTGTAATCCAAAGCACTTTCTT